ACTGTGTGTGTGTGACAGGACACGAGAAGACCAAGCGGTCCGTGTATAACGAAACAGTCAGAAGGAAGACTTGGTTGTAGTGAAAGGGAAGCCGTGGTTGTTCTCTGGCCTGACACAGCAGGAAAAGAAAAGACAACATTGCCGAACAAGGCAGCAAGGCATTCTTCCCTTTTTCCACTCTGCACACTCCTCACCCCATCAACCTCAACCTTTCATCAAGCACGGAGATAGAGGGTTATTGGCGGACAAACAATGAACAGGCTGTGTAAAATCTGGGTCTTGTGATGGAGCCCTAGAAGGCAGCGAGGCGTGGGGGGGGGGGGGGGGAGTGTGTGTGTGTGTGTGTGTGTGTATATGTGCGGGAGTAAAGCAGGGAAAAGAGAGTCCAGTTAGTCTTTTCCTGCTCAGTTCTATCGTTTTGGCAGTTGCCGGTCACATGGCTTTCGTTGCCTTGCCGATGCCTTTATCGTGGCCACATTCCCATGGAGATTGGTGTGAGGTGGCAGCAGGTTCAAGCAGACAACCGCACAAATGCACTCTTTGTTTCACAATTTTGCGATTTGGAACGGACCATTTAAGGTGTTAGAAAAGAGAAAGCGGTCTTTATTAGACTTGTAAAACTTGTGCTTATTTAGAACCGCAGTTAAAGTCTTTAGCTTTTCTTGCACGAGGGGGAATTTGCGATCCAGTAAGTCAACGCTAACTAAGACCTGACCCGGCTCAAGCTCATACTTGGTTCAAGCTGGAAATCGGGAAAAAGCTGACAAACTCATGTTGAATGGCCCTCCTCCAATACAGAGAGACTCCGGGTCGTCTTTGCTGACACGAAGCTGATCTGAACCATTTTCCTCAACTGGACGGTGAATGACTGAAGGAGTGCTGTTGAGGGGTTTTCATCAATAAATCTATCACTTATAACTAAAGAGTTCCTTTTCCTTAACAAGCAGCTTCATCTAACGCTTTTGTTAGTATTTGCAAGAAGTTAGATTTAATAACGGGACATGGTGGCTCCTCATTTCAGTTGCTTGTACTTCTTTCCAATTACTTCATGAAACATTTTGAAGAGCATGAATTAATACGGTCCTTTTTTAAAAATAAAAATGACCTAGAAGTTCTAGACTATTTTGCATAATCCATAATCCTTTCTGTTCATGAAAGTGGAGCTCCAGTAGTAAAGTCATATTGGGGGATTTGTGCTAATATGATTAATATCTCTGAATTGGACAAACAATAGAGGTGGGCGATATATGACCCGAGTATCATATCACTGTATTTTATTTGCTTTCTGCGGTAACGGTATTATATCGTAGTACAGTATTAAAAGCATTTGAATGCATATTCAAACACAACGACTCCTCTACTTCCCCTCAAAGAAGCCTGTGATATGAAAATCAGTTCAGTTCTGTATGAGACCAAAGAAAGTTATTTTTATTTGTCACTGTGTGTGCAGTTCTCTGTGCATTGTAGCTGAATCTGTGCGTTTCTCTCCTGCAGAGGTCTATATGGCCCTTTCATAATAAAAGCATTCCCACTGCATGATGGGGGGGGGGATTTTATTGTGAAGGATTAGTCGGAAATAGAACGTTTTTATCAACAAACAAACAGAGCTTAAACAGAACTACAATTAGCGGAGAGTTTTCGTAACACGGTTTACAGTAGTATTTACAGCCTCTTTGACCACGAGTCACAGGCACAGCTCGCTTCAATTGCTCATCTTTAGACAAGCGAGACATCAGTTAAAACACCCTTCCAGCACATAGAACTGTTGTAATGGACGTGCAAATCTGTTCTGCGCTGGGTTAAAGTGCCGCAGAGTCAAGTCATTCAAGCGAGCGAGCACACCCACTTAGTGTTGCCGTAATTTACTAAAACATGGAAAGTGGATTATTTAGTTTTACCTGATTGCTGTGCCTTGATTCACTCTGACACCCGCTCTGACACGAGGAGGAGGCGGTACCCTTTTTATCAGTGAGCGTGTGAAACCACTGGCTCTGCTCCGAGTCTCCAAGCGAAACAAGCAGAAGACAGGGGGACTCATTCTGAGCCGTCTTCAGTCACTCAAGATCAGTCACTCTGTTAAGTTTCTGTTATTTACCCGCCTCTGTGCCTGACAGGTTGAACAATCAGTGTTTCCTCGTGTGTGTACTACAACCAGCCGTGTGTATTTAAACCGGTGATCATGGTTTCGCAAAATCCAAGTCCTGAATGTAATACTGTCACAGTATTGATACCGCCCCCTTACTAATAACAGGGAACCAATCCTCTACTCTGATATGTGTAGTAGGCTCCTAGTCATCTACAGATCCTATATGTTGCCAAAAAAGCAGAAGAAAATGTGCATATTTAAATTTAGTTTCCACCCCAGCCCACACAGGCCTCTCATCTGTAATGAATAAGGGCTGAGTAATCGTCGCACCAGACGCAATTTCTCAAGGTAGCCCGTGTTTCTCTCTTTTTATGGCTGTAGGTGGTGATGAGTAGGTGGAGATGTAAAGGGAGCCCAAAAGGTGCTGAAAGAAGTATTTAGTTTAAATGCAGTGCTGTTTTCGAGGGGCGACTGTCCCTAATGGCTGCAGCGAGCGTTGGGGAATGAATTACATGTTATTTTTTTTCTGATTTCAAAGCAGCTTACTGTCGGGGCTGCCAAGTTGGACGACAGCCAAGGAGAAAGCTTGTCTGTGCAAAAGCGGCCATTCATCGTTTGTACAAATTGGTGATATAATCCAATGTCCTGCTTTAAAAAAAAAAAAGGCCCAAAATTATCTCTTGTGAACCGAAATCTGCATCTGTCTCAGTGTTAACTATATATCAGTTTCCTTTAATAAAACCACAGATAATCAGTCTCACAAGTTATTTTAACAGTCAGAATATTGTTTATGTGCACAATAGACTATTCAACAGATGTCATAAATTCAGGACTTGAGTGTGCTTCTAAAATACAACACCTATGAATGTTGTGTGTGTCTTACTCCACTTCACGCGGTGACACTTCAAAATAGAGATGTACCAAGCTCTCCTATGTCACAGGTCTGTTTATAGACGAGGAAAGAGCGGGCCAAGCACTGCTAATCCCATGATGGTGCAATGAACTTGTAGGTCAGACTGCTGTAGTGGTTTCACCTGAGGGGACACTGCTTGAAACCTTGACCTGGATTTGTCTGAGTTTCCGCTGCTCGTTAAACCATCAATCACGCAGATAGACCAATGAGGTGAAGGTTTGAATGCCCCATGGGGATGGAAATAAATACACAGACATAGTTGACAACACTTTCTAGGTTTACTTTCTAAGACCTTTCTGCACTTTTCATAAAGGGAAAGCCACACAAATGGTTACTTTTACTTATCCCACACATAGACGATATTACTGGCCAGGTTAATTTATGGCTGCCAAAGTATATTTCTGACCTATTCATATCAATCTATAAAAATTGCCTCATGCTCCGCAAGAGAGAGTGGAAAGACAGCTGACCGTACGTCCCTCCCATAAATGCACCAATAGAGATGAGACGTCTCATGTTAACACTGAAGCTCCTTCTGCCGTTGTTTAAATATTTTCCTGCAGCCGCTTGATGCTGATACTGTCCTGCACTCCTCGTTTGAGATTATTGTCGGGATACACATAATCATAAATAAACTCGGATCACTTGATGCAATGGGCCAAATGTTATATTGAGTGAATCATTTCAGAATTGGAGAAATGTTGATGAATGTGTCAAAAGAGCAGAATCACCCCAAAAAAATAACAAAGCTACAGAATGAGGTAGGGAGGGTTAAGCTGCCGTTTGTAAGAGAGGTGAGGTGAAGGTGAAGGTGTGTGTAGATTAAAGTGAATGGAAGGGATGTCAAATGACCAGATGAAGTTGTTTGTTGCACAAACAAAATAGTAACGCACAAATAAAAATCTAACAATCTAATAAGCACTTTGAATTGCGTTGTTGCCGAAATGAACTATATAAATACACTTGTCTTGCATAATATTAGAATATAACCTTTGCAAGTAAAAAGGTGACGACCCAAACTCCACCACCCAGGTACAGCATCAATGTGTGGGGAACACCGAAGTGCGTTCTGTCTTTTCTGCGTGTTATTGTTGTTTTTTGACATATGATGTGTCACTAATGGTGAGCTGTTGAGTGAATATGAAAACACAAACGTATTCTTAAAATCATAGATTTTCAAAATAGAAACATTTCAAGAAAACTGCATAGTCATCACTTATCTGTTTGAGAAATACCCAACATTTGTCAGATCAAAATAAAAGGAGGGATGTTCAACATTCAAAAAACCCATTGACTTAGACTTGTTGTTTCTTGTTGCTATTTAAGACACATCTATCTTTTCACTAATTCTGATGCACATGTAGTTCTTTGTTTATTTTCACTTATCGTTGTTCAGCTTTCTGATCCTGTATTTACTCGATGTCTGCTTCTTTCCATCATCCTGAAAATTGTTTTCTGTGTTCGCTGTGTATGTCAAATGGGCAGGAAATAAAATCTCCCATCCCAGTAAAAACCTGGCTGCTTAAAAGGCTCGAGTATGTACGACCCATATGATAAAACCAGAGATGATAGTCAACAGACATACTCTCTTTACTAAAGGACAGCTGTTCTTTGATCTACATGCTGATGTCAGCATGCTAACATGCTCATAAAAACAATGCTAACATGTCATGTTCAGCATGCATAATGTTTACCATGACTGTGAACATAGAACAAGCCTCAGCCTCTTCGCCTGGAAGCGTTTAGGATAATCAGAGTTGCAATAACTCATTCTGAAAGGGAACATGGATGTCATTGCCAAAACTGGATCACAATCCATCCCATCGCTGTCAAGACACTCAAAACCACTTTGTCCTCCTTCTGTTGGCGCTCCAGGAGTCATGAAGCTCCGTCAACTGGGATTCATCATGGCAACTGTTTCAAATAGTGTGATTAATGAATGTTCATGAATGTACGCTGGGCCATTTTACATGATGTTTTTATGTGTGGTCTCTTTCTCAGACTGGTGTCCTCCATCCATGCCATCATGGCAACCACGGCAGGAGTCATCGTTGTGTCATCATGCCGGGGAAGCGTCATTAACGACAGGTCAGATTTCACATTATTGATCACCTTCTTGAACCGTGTTAACTAAAGGGTCACCCCTGATGTCCCTCTTAAGCATTACATGCTCTCACCTGAACTGTTATGTTGTTAATGTGAATGTCAGAAGCTTGTGCGTTGCTGTCTGACACACAAAACTTGAAAAGGATGCCATTATTTGAGCTTTAATAGTTTTACAATGGTTCTGTTTTGTGCAAATGATCCTCACCTGGCACCTTCCATCTTGACTTTATTGCCTTTTCCTGTTTATATTACAACCCAATATACTGTATTTCTAAAAGCTATTCATAATCAGTGGGCTGCTTTTCCTCCATATTCTCCTCGATGATCGTCCAATCTGCCCTTTTACCCTGAGCATCTGCCATCCAAGCCGTGCATATCAAAGACCTGATAGCAAGCTAGTGTTAGCTTACCATCAAGCGCCCCGCGCAGTTTAGGAAAGTGTAACGTTAAGCTAATGCTAGCTCTTAAACCCTACCGAGTCTGCGGCCAGAGCAAGGAAGGCCCAGTTGGAGGCTGCTAATCTCCGCCGCCCCTCCCCTTCGCACACAGAGCTTAATTCCTCCACCACGCTGCTCAGTTCTGCTGTCCTGTGACGTGCACAAGGCCTGCAGCTTATCTGACACATGCTCCAGAGTCAGGCCCATGAATACTCTAATACTCCATCACAATCTGTCACTTCATTCAGCCTACATAGCCCTGGTTGCGGGAACTCTTTACTTTATTGGGCAGTGCAAAAATAAGAGAGTCGGCTGCATCTTTTGGCTTCAGACTCCAGTATGAGACTCCCCCCCCCCCCCAAGTTTGTACTTGATCAGTTCCACCCTAGACATTACTTTGGGTTTCCTCTCCAATTAAATTAGTTTGAAACAATATGTCTGAGCTGCAGGTTTGTTTATCTGGTAGTCGGACTGCTCGTGTTTTTGTCTCTGATGTTTCCAGATATTAGCAAGATGATTTAGTTTCATGATTGCGTCTTTAGTAGGAATGTGCATGATTGGTCGACTTAAGGATTCAACTTTGTCACCTTCAGTAGTCTGCACCAAACACTTACTACCAATTATAAATATTTGTATTAATTCAGGCCCCCGTATTCAGTCAAATGTTGTGTGTAAGCTTTAAGCTTTTAACTGGGCTGTCTGCTGGCAGCTGGCGCTGTAGCCCTAGCTAACAGCTACAGCCATACTGTCATAATGCTCTACTACCAAGATGTAAACCAGTTTTAAAACTAGATGGAATTTGGAGGTTAAGTTTTATGTAGGCTGTGTCAGGTTAAACTCTCATATATCCAGAATCAGCACAGGCATGTGGACGTTAACCTGCAGGGTTTACTGAAGGCTGATAGAGCTGGTGCTGCAATTTGACGTTGTGTACCCAAAGATTCTGTGATCCCGAGCTTCGGCATTTTCAATAAATTGTGCTCAATCGTGCCAGTTTTCAGAGTGTTTTATGACGTTGATACTAAACTATACTAAACGATACTCTAATGATTCAAAATGGGCATGTATCAGTCACTGAGAGTGGAACGAAGCTCATCTTATGCCAGTTGCAAAAACAGTTTAATTCACTCAACTGGATATTCATTGCTTCATGCATTATTCCGAACTGACACAGATATCAGTTTCAAGTGAATGAATGGTTCAAGGGTTACCTGAAGATATACCGGCAAAACTTGCTTCTAGCTCACTAGCTCGCTAGCTAGCCAATGAATCTTAGCACTGTGCCATGTAAATTGAGGATTATGCTGGATGTTACGATATTATTGGTATACACTGGCTTGCATATTCCAAAGTTTGTCTTGCAAATTGGAAAACATGACTAGGTTCTAATTTAAGATTAAATGGAATCAAAGCTCCTGTTTAAAATCCAACTGAACAGTTTGGACGTTATTCCTGCTTTAGTAGTCTAAACAGTTCCAAGGGACAGAACAGAGGAAGAGTAGAGGATGGTCTATTTAAATAGGGACGCCTGGGGTGTTTCACCTGTATTTTCCATTGCAAATGTACACACTGCAGCATTGACTCATGCAGCCTTCGTCCTACTCCGAGCTGTTTGTTGTGCCTTGCTGCTCTTAATCCCCCCCTCCACTGACCTTAAGAGCCGAAGACTTGAGTCAGAGGTCAGAGGTCAGTAGCTCAGCTCTGCCCTGCAGCTTTACTCCATTCTGTCCACATAATTAACCATCACTGTAATCGCTGCTCATTAGAGCGCTGCAGCCATCCAAGCTGTTTGTTATACTGTACTTACATAAGCCTGCCTTAAAGCCTCTGCATGCTCAAGTTAGAGAAGAGACGTATAAGGGTTAAACGGGAATCTGTCTTCTTTTATTTCTACTCTGAACTTAAAGGTCGTTCAGTCTTTCATCTACTCCTGTGTCTCCTGGCTCTGAATTCTGTCATATTACTACTTCTTCAGTAACCAACACAACACAATAGGTGCACAACAATATCTTTTTAAATATTTTTGATCTTACTTTTCTGTCTTACATAAGTTATTTAAACTAACTACTGATTTATCGCTTATTCCTTCCATATTTATTTGCCGATACCAAGAACCCCCCAAGAACCAGCAGTATTTAAAACTTGTGGAAAAACACAGAATTGTTAAAGGCACATAATAATTTACTTGAAACCTTGAGGAGTGATAAGTGGAAGTTAATAGATAATGGTGTCAGATCAGTGCATTTACTGGTGTTCTCGCTGACACTGCATTTTTCAGATTCAGAATCAGCTTTATTGGCCAGGTATGCTTACACACACAAGGAATTTAACTTTGGTGAACTTTGCTCTCTATGTACAAAGATATAACATTAAATACACAAAATAAGCAAAGACGTATATGCACAAGACTAAATAAGAGTAGTTTTCTGAAGTATTGTAGGCTCATTCTTATACTGAGCATCAGGATGGGAACAACTCGTGTCTTAAATATGTTTTTTGTTGATGGTATGGATTTATTCCTTCACTGGAGTTATCATCATCTCTCAGATCATCTCTGTACATTTTATATTTGTAACCCTTGAGGGAATAATCGTGGCCCGTCTCTGCTTGACTCATGCCAGTTGATGGTGCTGCAAAGCTCAGCTTGTCAAGCCCCCAGCGTCTTGTTTAAGATCTTAAGGCACATCTCTCATCTCAAAAGCCAATCAGCTTCTCAAACCAGATGCAACATATTCATATGTTGTTTCAGTTGTATCAATACAAGGAATAAATACTCCTTGTTAAGATATCATTAACAAGTATCTGTATCTGCCTTTGATACTGCCTAAATGAACTTATCAAAGCTTGTAAAATAGCAGCAATCAGCTGTTTTTTGCTGATATTTTTTGTTACATCTCACTGGTATTGGAGAGGGAAACAGGTGTCAGACAATACTCAAGTCAAGGTACCATTGTTTTGTTGTTGTTAAAATGATGTCAGAACATCTCTATTAGAATCACAACCTTAAAAAGTACATATTTTAGGATTAAGCTTTAAAAATATGATGCGCCTCCACGTCCTCTCGCGGTACAAATCAAAGGTGGTGCCAAAAGAAACGATTTCACTAAAATTTTGCAGGCTAACATGTTGGAAGGAGATTTAAAGTTTCAATAGGAATCTTCGGCCTGAGCTGGCTCTCGACATTGTTTTTTGTCAGAACACAACGCTCTGTTTCAATCATTCAGACAAATTTGGGTTTCTACCACTTTTGACCCTCGCTATCTCACACTCACTACAATTATAATGTACACATCTTCTCAAGTTAACTCATCATGAGTTAAGTACAAGGTTCCAGATCTCTACGCCATTACAAACACGCTCTGTAGCTGTATTCAGACTGCCGGTTCAAAGTGGGATATTTGTGTTCCTGTGATGTCTCGACTATAATATGAGTGTAACTGAGGTGAAACGGGCAGATGAAGTGATCCCACCTCTGTGCCACCATTGATTCTAATATTCATGTCATTTGCATTGTTGTCTTCCTCAGGCACTGGCTGGCGACTGCCTTTGTCGTCTGGTATGGCGTGCCCTACATGACGTACGACATCTTCGCCATGTACCTCAGTCACTTCCACCGCTTCCGAGTCAAAGGGCACGAGGACTACAAGCAGCACTCCCTGAGGACAGTGCACTCGTTCATCCGCAGAGAGTTCCTGCTGGTGTTGCATCACATTGCTCTGCTCACCATCCTGCTGCCCGTCACACTGGTGAGGATGGGGGTGAGGGGGTGAGGAGGGGGGGTATATTCAAGCAGTGTTGATAAGGTCTTGTTGTCTGTATTCAAATCCGCTGATATAATGGATCACTTGTTTGCTGTATTTGTTGCTGGTTGGTATCACTGTCCAGCAGAAACGATTAGCACCACAGATCACAGTCTTCTTTCCTGTTGGATTACAGGCTGTTTACTAAACATGTCATGGATCTTATGAGGAACTTGAAACCAGACTTTCCATCGGGCAGATTTTGCACTTGCTGACCGAGTTAAGCAGTTTGCAGGACTGAAAACCATTTTGATTTGCAGCCCAAAGTCGTTTTGGTTATTATTTCTTAGAAGTGTTTTAGACAGAACATAGTCCTTTTTTAGTTTTGTAAGTCTGATGAGTGGGCGGGGCTGTCTCTCTACCCCACGTGGTGTCAAGGCTAACGGTTAGAGAGGAAGGGGTTCACATCACACAATTACATGTATGACACATGTTTGAGCGTCTCAGCGACACATAAACAAACCTGACCTTTTTTTTACCGATTTTCTTTTAGACCAAAATAACAACAGATTAAGTGAAAAATAAACATTTAGCACCAGTATTATCCATTTATATGAATTCAGCTGTCTTAACTGTCCATTATGTTTTCTATCGAAGTGAACTGTTGTGATTTTTATCACCTTACTATTTTGTCCTTAATGCAGCTTTGGGTTTCGGTTTATTTCAGTGCAGCCAATAAAAGTCAACCAAAACGCAGCTGAACGCTCTTCGATGAGTGATAAGTTTTTTGTTCTTTGAGTACTGCCAGTAATGCATTATCACTGTGGGCTGTAATGCAGTGTGTTGTTTTCAAATCAATCTGTGCTTTAACCTACATTATCTCTTATTACATTAGACAGAACAAACTATAGACCTGTGCTCACTGACATGGATTGTCTGTAAAGTAAATTTTTAAGCGACTTGGAGTCAGGACTAATGATTCAACCTGTTCCACCAGGACTAGACCTGTACAGATGAAATTTGATGAAAAGTTGAGAAAAGTCATTACCTTTTTAAATGAATAATGTGTGGGCTTGTATGATAATATTAAGTAATACAAAAATGCTTCAACCTGGTCCTCTAAACATCTGTAATCTCACTGCCTTTGTTTGTGAACATCACATCAATGTATGTTCACAAAACTGGATTATCAACTCAACAGTCATGAGTACACATTCACTGAGGCTGCTTGTACTTTCTATATCATTTGTTAATCAAAGATATTCATGACATGCACCAAACTCTAAACCTTGCTGAACTGACTTGAGCTAATCATCAATGCTGCTTACTGAAGGTTTTTTTGTTGTTGTTCATTGGTGACTTCAAACTTCAATTTAAAGTAAATAGCTTTCTGTTTCAAAGCTTTTCTGAAAGACCGACAACACTCCCAAGGATTTAGGATCACAGTTTGCTCTGTCAGTGCCAGGCACAAACCCCTACAGGGGTGCTGTGCTGGTTTAGACTACACAGAGTCTTTACACACTAAAACTTCTCCAATTGTAATTGAGATGCTTCAAACATAACTTTATGATGGATCCTGATTTGCTTATTTACCTATTTTCTTCAGATTTTTCTAATCGGCTACTAAAATTTGTGCATGGCGCAGTATTTGCCAATTGGCCAATGTCAGTCAACAGAACCAGAATCAGAGATACCAATGTCTAACCTTTAAGTTGGTGCATCACAGCTTTGTTCAACCTGTCATGTGTAAGACTTAAGTTAGGCCTGACCCTTAAGTTTTAGTTTCTAATCACTACTAAAAACTAGAGGCACCAACATCACTGGGGGCATAAAATGTAATTCCTTATTTGGACAGAAAGTTACACATTTGGAAAGTGTCCAATCAACTATGAAATACAGAGCCTCAGTTGTCATGGATTTCTTTGCTAATTACTTTTTGGCCAGCTGACCGCTTTGGCACTGTAACACTTCATAGTAAGCAAGACTGATATTGAAGTACAGTAATAGAAAATTAGGTCCTTACTAGATTGCTGTGTTGCACAAAAGCATGCAGTTAATTAAAAATGAGGCCGTGTGGTGGTTAAACTGCTGTTTTACAAGAAGTGAGTGTAATTCTTGGACATATTATTATTAACACCAACCCTGTGTGTGCCACTGGTTTGGTCCAGGTAATGTTGTTATCTCCAAGGTGCAACTGCTTAACTTGAAGAACTGCATCACAACACAACTTATATATGATTGACCATATAAGCATGTTTGGTTTAACTTTTAACATCAGTTTTATAAAAGGTTCCTGGTCCTCCGGTTTACTTTCCAAGCATACCCACAGACTCAAAGTCCACGGTAATCTCAGAGGGTTGACACTTCTTTTTTAATTTAATCTCAGTACCTTGAAATGTAAGACTTAGTCAAACTTCTCGTGAACTTTTGCAGTCCATTACAGTCGAATATTTGGCCCATAATAACAAGTGTTCAGACTTCCAAGGAAGAAAATGGCAGGAAAAGAGAGAGCACAATAAACCAGTTAATATGGATTACCTTCTTTGAACAAATAGGAACAAATCATTCCTTGTTGTTAAGTTTGATGCCTTTTAATTGTAAGTTTTGCATAAATGGACACAACTACTAAGAATGGACATTAAACGGGAATGAAAGGTGCAGGTTGTTTCCTGCTGAAATGTGTTTTGCTTGAGTGTCAAGAGGAATAAAAATAGAGGCCAAACAAAGATATCAACGTTCATTAAAGCACCGAAGCTTAGAAAACCATTTGAATAGATGAATACACGGGCAGTTGTTTAGTGAGGGAAAGGGAGGAAACGGCAACAAAGGAGTGGAGGGACTGTGGAGCATGATGACTTTTAGTGAAAGTATGACCAGCAAATTAGAAAACCTACTGAACTGTTAAACCAGAGTTCCCAGTGAACACTCTGTGAGCTGTTTATTAAGAAGTTTAAAAAGGTTATTAAGGTACTCTTTGTTCTGATTAATGAGATTTAACTAAAGCCTCCTTTTCTCTATTGAAATGTTATCACACTCATGAATTAAGACATTGAAGCGCTGCAGACTGATTCCAACCTGCAGATAGATAATTATGTCCCTTTAGAGATTATAAACCATGTAACACAACCACTCTCTTTCTCGAAGTCTATCGCAGGTCAGTGAGCCAGGTGCAGTTGAAACCCGGCCTTTTGTTTGCAGCGGCAGTCAGTTGCAATAAGAGATCACATTACCCTACATTATTCAGCTCCAGCTGCAGTCACCCTCTCTTCATTTCTCACCCCTCCCTCTGATCCTCCTCTTGTTCCCTCACTCATCAGCTTTGTGCAACCCGGGCTCACCTGGCTAACACATGAGCAGGTAGAGTTATCCAACAAGCTGTCAAAGGACAAGTCATCAGGTTTCCACCCAGAAGCAGTTCTGAGTGAGGGCATTGTACCTAGGACTTTCTCGGTTAAAGGAAGAAGGAGAGGATTTTAAGTTGTACTAAACATGTCATGTAATGGACGGGATCATCAGCCAGTTGAGGCAGATGGCTGTCCACCAATGTTTCTGGTTCTGCCCGAGGTTCCTTGTCATTGGTGATATAGTTTGGATCTCTTGAAAAAAATTAGAAACAGTACAGTCTTGATCACGCTATATGTTGTCATACTCGGTGCTATATCAGTAAATATGAGGGCCACCAAAATGAACAAAGAGTGATACATCCTCACAGTTGCCTTCAAACTTAGGGTTTTTTTGGTAGATGTCATAGGTGTAAGGGTCACAGGTAGCAGTAGCATAGCTGAAGCATAGCCGAAGCTAATCTATTGCAAACACAGAAAAATCATTTGAAGACAAAAAATGACAAAGCAATGAACCCAGTGCTCTGGAGCAAGTTTGACATTGATCAGTAAATCTGTTTAGGTCGCCTTGTGCTCGTTTTCTCCAACTGGGAGTCGACATTGATGCATTTCCAGAACACACTAACCTAGGAACTAGAATAAACACAAACTAACTGAAAGAGAGCCAGGTTAAATATGTGCAGGGTAAAGTTTGAACCATGCCTAATAGAGCGTCTCAAACATAAAAACAAAGGTAACGTACACCCTGACAGGTGGTGGTGTGGTGTAGCCAGGTAGTTGTTCAGGTGTGGTGTAAAGTTCCTCCCTGTGGTCTCGCTCGTTCTTTGACAGGCAGATGGCAAAGCCACGTCTGAAGCCGCTCATCCTTTATTCATCGTGAGCACACAGCGAGCCATGCTACCAGACAGTGCCGGCCTTTTGTGTGGCGGTTTCTTTATCCATCCAGGCTGATTCACCTATTCTAGGACGGCCTCTCCTCTCTCACTGCACAGCAACGAGCCGCTGGTCAATATTTGAAAGCTTCATTCATTACTTATGAACAGGACATCCCGCCCCTCCTCTGCTCGCGCTGCCGTGTTTAAGTTGTGGTAGAAGAAGACATGGCTTAGTGGTTTTGCTGTTTTAAAGTCCAAAGTAGAGATTATCTTTCTTATATCAGCAGCTTCTCCATGACAGTCCTAACTTAATTCAACCTTAAATTTATTCAGGATTGAAACACCCTGATTTTTGACATGCTTTTTACTGTTTTCATTATTATTTTGTTCCTTTTGACTTAAAATGTTTGATAAGATAATTGTTTTCCACTTTGGTTTCATTTTCAAATGTATGGACCCCAGTAAGAGAAGTGGCCATTGGGATCCAAATAAATTCATAAATACAATACAAGTGTTGCTAAAAATAGAGTACTAAACCATGACTCACTTTTAAATGTATTTAAAGCATTTCAAATAACCATCAATTTTGTTATTGAAGAATATGATGAAGAGGTGATCTAAACACCCTCTTACTTCAGAGAGAGAGTTTTCACATTTTCAACCTCCAGACGCTAACGTCTAAAGGACCTAAATCAAGAATATGACAGCAAACATTTCCTCTAAACAATACTTAAATAATAAGTTTCAAATAATTTAACAAATCCTGAAAATGTTGAAAATATCACGACTATTCTGGATGGTGATGTGATGTGTGCTTCAGTTGAGGAGACAAATCCAAAATGTAATTCAAAATGTCGTCTAAAAAGTTGTTTAAAATGTTATTTAAAAGGCTATTTAAAATACAACCCTTTTAAAATGATAACCTGTAAACATTATGAACATCTGTCTGTGGTTTTGGACCATGTTTACAGTTTACACATGTTCAACACAGTAAATTGTGTTAAATTTGTACTTCTCTCTGAGTGTTTTTTAACCCTATAGCTAGTCGTGTTGTCTCATTGTCCCTCTCAGATGTGGTCTCTCAACTCCAACTCAATCCTCGCTTCACAAGTTGTTTGTTACTCTGTAAACAATCCAAAAAAAACTAAAAAGGAAGTCATGATCAGAAGTCCTTTAATGCTAACTGCTAGCTGCACTGGAAGCCACAAAGAAGAGGCTTTTATGATCTCTACAGTAAAGCTGATGGGTTTGGAGATTGTACTGAATATGACTTTTTGTGTTAATTTGATGAGAGCTTTTAATTGTGTTGTATTTCTAAAGGGCGGGTACACGTTATTAACCTTCAGGGCCAAATGTAACAGAGTCACTGTTAACAAAACACACGTGGTTAATACCTGATATCATCCCAGCTGCTCATCACATTTCCAGTCAGATTGTTCCAGATCTTGTCCTTGAATTTCAGCTGTGAGTGTTTTTTTTTCTTCTTCTTCTCCATGCTCATGTTTGTTTGCTCACTCCGTGTGTTCTCTGTTTGTCTGTTCCACAGTTCTTCAGGAGGGAGCAGGGGGATTTCTTCATCGGCTGTTTGTTTTTAACGGAGCTCAGCACACCCTTCGTCTCCCTGGGGAAAATACTCATTCAGGTGAGGCTGCATGTGCGCACAGGTGCATTTACCTGACATGAACTGGGAATTCATACATCTGTCATGGTCTGTTTATGATAAGATTCACACAGCTGAAGGTGTTGACACTGTGCCGAGTCGAGGCTGCCTGTCGTTTTCGGACAGTTTAACTTCCACAGTGGCAGATTTTGGATTGTCCAATCATATCTTAGCAACTGGGCTGTAACTATGCCTGTCATGCTTTGGGTTTATTCACATGCTTAAACTGTATGCATGGGGTATAGATACCAGAAACACTATGTAGCTATTTTAAATTTTCAGACATCATGGCAAAGCAGAAGGGACCGATCAGCCTTGAGAGAAAAACAGCAGGCAGCTAGAGGCCTCACGGGAGTAGATCTCAGATTAGCTTCTACTTATTGGCATCAGAGTGTAAAGAGTCGATTAAACAGAGTTCCAATGTAAGCTGTAAACGTTCTCATGTCCGGCTAACAAGTCTACTTCCTTCAGGGGGTGATGGAGCACAGCTTTCAAGGCCAAGGATCGTACCTTTAACTTCATTAGTTTAATGGGACGTCCTGTTCACTGACAGCACATCCACTGTGTAGCATTTTCCATCTCTGTGCAGGCTAGTTTAGCATGCTAACATATCAAAAGGTTATGAGTAACCTGTGTAACCTGTGTCCCTCAAAAAAGTTCTAAAAAAGAAGTCACACCTGAACAGTGTGTGCTGATAAATAAATGACCTATTAAGCTCAAATGTCTTTTCTGTGATCCTGGCTGTAAACAGGCTTTTTTGAATGGCTGTGTATGTGGCTTCTGGGGCTATTGCAGCCAGCCTCCAGTGGACACTCGAGGGACTGCAGTTTTTGTTATTTAATTGCTCCAGCCACCATCTGGCAGTAGTACAGTAAATAAAATGTATTTTTTAAATGAGATATATGTCGCATGAACACTTTAATGTTTTTCATAAACTAATGATTATTTGAATATTCTGAAATTGAGACCAATCCCTACTTTCAGTTGTGGAAAACATCTTTTAAGCAAAGCACAAAAAACAAATACCACTCTCTGCCAAGTGTATTGTGATGCAATTAAGTGGAAAATGTCAAACTGACCTTTTAACCTAAAGTCAAGCTGACATGGACTTTAGTAAAACAAAGAAACCATCTGACAATGGGGATATGTGGAAAAGTCTGTCGTAAATTAATGAGTTTAAATACACTAGTAGACGCTTAAGATGTGTAATCTTATATCTAATATAGAGTTATACATGCATTATACCTTCATGGTAAAACGTTTAAGGCCTCAGCTTTGTGGAAAAAAAGAAGATGCATGCATTTGTGGCATTTCAAACCATATTTAACACGTACTGTATAACAGGTGAAATATGGTTTGTACTTTAGCAACGTAGCATCAGTTCTTTGACTCTCTCCCAGAACAGACAGAACAGAGAGTCATGCATCCTGTTTATGTTGCACACTCATCAGGTGATGTGCAGCTTCCTCCTTGCATCATCACAAACCTGATATCTGCATTTCACTTGGGATGTCGCTTGTCGCTGTATCATCAATAATTAAGGTGCATAGATCACCCAAAAAAAAACAAAAGAAAAAAAAACAGCCTTAAGCCATGGTGCGTTCACAGGCACTGCCTCCTCTGAAGCCATCCATTCATAAGATCCATCCCACACACTGGGACTAACATCCCACACATACATCATGCTGCACAGTCAGAGACTATCTGATGTGGAGAAGCCGTTATCTAAGAATAGAGGAAGCCGTTCTGTGTGTCTCAGTGAAATCAGTGGACCGTGTGGACTTTCAGGTCTGTGCTGACATCTGGTGTCAGCAAAGAGAAAAAGAGCAAAGCAAAGCTCAATCTCTCCTCTCTGTCTTTAAAACGCTGCCCTCCTTTGGACTACATCAGCACTAACAGAAGACCCTCTTTTTTTTTTTTTTTTACTGCTTTGTGCAGTTTGATTTCTGTTGTGTAGAGGGCTTCCCAATTCAATGAAGAAGAAGATTTTCTTAAAATGAGCTAATTTTTACCCCTGGAGATTTCCCTGCACTGCACAGTACAACCACGACTGATCATAAACAGTATATGTATTAAAAAGTAAGCATATTTCTCTCTATGAACAAATGGAAAAACATTTTGTGAAGAAGTAGTGAACTATGTTTTAATATGATCAGGCCTTGTTACGCCTCAGCTTAAGCCTGTAGTCATGCATTTCTGTAAACATTATGTAACATTCATGTGATGGTCATGAATAGTTATCTTAAATCACAACCAATCAATCTTTGCCTTTTGCAATCCTTCAATCCCTTAAAAGTCAACATCTTGTAGCAAACAAGAGTACATGTATTCAGCTTTGGTGAAGTTGAACGAGCGATGAGATTTTTGTTTAAAATGCTGCCTATGAAATGTCCGGTATTCTCCAAAGTCTCTCATATTTATTCTCTAAGAATAACGAACGTCTTCAACCATTTTCTGGACTCTTCTTTGTTAACCACAGGAGTGGATCTCGTCTCGACTTCCGTATATCTATAATATGAAGTACAATCAAAGTAAACCAGAATATGAGGACAGATATCATTTCAACAGAGATTTAAACAAACCCTGTTGGTGAGAATCGAAAAAGACCAAGTACTTAGTACCCTAACCCACCCAGCTCAAAGAGTCGACTCTTTTGACTCCCAAACAGCTCTTTATTGGGAACCATTTTGCAATTTATTACATCAACTACATTTATCAACTTTGAGCTATGAACAATTAATCATTGTTATTATTACACTTAACTGTTTAATTCCCAGAATAACGCTGTCATGTGATTTTTTGGTATCCCTCAGCTCTCCTTGATGCTTTTATCATCACATCCAAATTGACGTGAGAGCACACACATTTGAACATTTAATCAGGGCGAGATATGCCATGTGGCCAATCCCTTTAGCTGTGTGTTAAATAAAATCAAAAAGAGGGGAAAAGGAAAACCAGTTCTGAAATTAGAGCCGGCTCCCATCTTTCACATTAACGTGCCGACTCATTCACAAACGGACACATCACTAAATCCTTTGGAGTTTGGATTGGATTACCCTGTATAAAAGATAGATGAGAGAATATGGAGGAATACTCAAGAGGAAGAAGACCTCCGCACCCTGTTGTAAAGCATGACTGTTTGATTACATTTTAAAATGTTGAGCTTCATTTGAGCTGCCTGACATCCAAACTCCAAACAATTGAAATAATACACTACACATGGGAAGGCAAGCCAGAGGCCTGACATCTGATTTGATTGGACAGTTTACGCCTCTGTGTTCAGGGCAGGTCATCAAAAACACTTAAACCCAACATTCTCGTTTACTGCACATAGTTCTGGTTACATCTGGTCACTACTGCACATAGTTCTGGTTACATCTGGTCACTACTGCACATAGTTATGGTTACATCTGGTCACTACTGCACATAGTTCTGTTTACATCTGGTCACTACTGCACATAGTTCTGTTTACATCTGGTCACTACTGCACATAGTTCTGTTTACATCTGGTCACTACTGCACATAGTTCTGGTTACATCTGGTCACTACTGCACATAGTTCTGGTTACATCTGGTCACTACTGCACATAGTTCTGTTTACATCTGGTCACTACTGCACATAGTTCTGGTTACATCTGTTTACATCTGTTAGTCCGATCACTGTCCACTTATATCTACTCTTTTAAATTTTTTATTTTTAAGTTAAGTTTAAGCTTTAAGTTGTATTTAAATTGACACTTTATATTTAGGTTAAAATGTTTTGTTTACTTGCACTGTTGTTAATTTACTGCTCTGTGTGCCTTTGAATTGCCCCCCCGGGACAAATAAAGTTTTTTGAATTTGAATTTGAATTTAAGAAGAAGGGGAGAAAGCTAGTGTTTATTTATTTTTTCACAGAAACCTGAAACAGTAAAAATGTCAAACCGGGTCAAAACTTGTCAAAGTCCAGTTATATTTCAGTTTGTATTTAAGTACTTCATTAAAATCCTCTTTCTTCTACCCCCCTCCCTTGTTTTGTTTGTCTCCCCCCCCTCTCCAGCTCAGCCTCCAGGAATGCTGGCTGCACAAGGCCAACGGCGGCATGGTGCTGCTGACCTTCTTCATGTGCCGCATCGCCCTCTTCCCCTACATGTACTGGGTGTACGGGCAACACTACGGCATCCCGCTCTACAGCGTCCCCTTCCACCTGCCGCTCCTTACCAACCTGGGCAACTCGTGCATCCTGGCGCCGCAGGTCTACTGGTTCGTCCTGCTCTGCCGAAAGGGCTACCGTCTTTACAAGCGCAGCCGCAGTCAGGACTCGTCTCCTGTGGCCGCCGTCACTGACAATTCAAAGGATGATTGAAATCCGATTTCACGACTGCTCGCTCAAGCCGCACACTCTGCTACTAACGCAACTACTCCTGCAACAGGCACTACTTTGACTTATCACATTCGAAAAACCCCCCACCATCGTACTGTAGTACACCAGGACTGCCTGCTCTCGTCCCACAACTCCTGGGCATTTTCCGTACACTTTTACTCCTCCGTTTTCAAATCTGCTGCTGGAGCAGACTTCTCCTCCTCGGATAAAGTTCTACTACTGAAGTTTGAAGATTTGTTTTATTTTTTTTTGTGTTTTTTTTGTTTTTCTGGATTTGGCTCTTTCCTGGATCTATTTGAAGTGCTACTTCATATTTAACATTTACAACACTAAAGAAAAAAGTCATGTTTGCTTCACTGAGAGTAACATGTGGAGTAAAAGCTGCAGAACCAGAAGAAGAAGAAGCCTCCACGGAGAGACTTTATCTTATCTCTTAACTCCTACTGTGTTTACAGCCTCTGCTGACTCGGAAGGTCTGTTACAGCGTGAGTGTGTGTGAGTGGCTGATACGACGGGTTGTATTTATTTTTCATGGATTTGCTGTGACGTATCGGATAGTTGCGTTTTCCTCTCCCATCCATTCACTAATCACACTTGACGAGAAGGATAAGGAATAGTGGTGGGTGGGGATGCAAAAAATGAGGCAGTATTAGCTGAAAAAAAATAATTGTTGCTTCATCCATTTCAGAGCTTAAAAAAAACGACATTTGCTTGCAACCCTGTTAATGTGATAGGTTCTGACTTTTTTACCTCCGTTCATTTTGGTTATAGTTCTCACTTCAGTTTTTTTTTTTAAAAACTGCAGCAACAAATCCCGTGTTCCTCACTGCAACCTCCTTCACACTTTTTCTGGCCCTGGTTCATTTGTATCCAGTGGCTGAACGTCAAAATAAGAGTGCTCGCTCTGTACGCAGGAATCAATGCTGCACAAAGACTTCAGTTTCTGCTGTCGTTTTGAATTCAGTTTTGGCAGTATCTTTGAATGTTTATGGCAACGACAGGGGATTACCTCAACTGCTGGATCCATCCCTCATTTACACATTCCCCCCCTCCCCCCCGAAAAGCATGGCAGAAAACACGTGCATGCCGTATTTTATTTTTCTTAAAAAGTTCAGTCAAGACGACGAGGAAACTCCGTAAAAAAAAAATTGCAGACCAAACTGCTTTGATTGTCTTAAAAATGAAAACATAAAGCCATGTGAGGATAACATATCTGATGTGTATTTGGATTGATGTACACCCAAGTGCATTGATTGGTGAAATTCAGCTTTTAAAATTTTTCCTCTAGACCTGTTTTATTTTTTTGCATGTGCGGGTTTTTACCGAGCAGATTATAATGCTACTGAAAAAAAGTTTCATCTTTTAAATCCACAATCTGTTTCAGAAAACTATCGTCAGAAATATTTGGAAACTTGTCAGAAATGTTCAGAAGCTTCATTAAAAAAGTTTCAACACTATCGTCAGTCATTTTCGGAAATTTTCATCAGAATTTTTTTGAAAAATGTGTCGGAAATTTTGTCAAAAAATCCCTTCAGAAACGTTTGATCAAAACATGATAAGAAAACGTAATTGGAAAACATTTTGGAAACTTTCTTCAAATAATTTTAAGAAACGTTTGAAGGAAATTTTCTTAAACTTTCAGCGTCAAATGTTTTGAAACTTTGGACGTACCTTTTTCACAAACTGTAGTCAGAAATGTTTTTACACTTTCGGATAACATTGTCAAAAATCTGAAATTCTCTGATCTTTCATCTTAAATTTCCAGAAACTTTTATCAAAAATCTGAAAACTTTGTTGGAAAAGTTGAAATAGAGTCCCACCCTTTTTCGTTGGTAACTTGGAAAGAGTTGGCCACTGACAGCTTTTGTGTGATGTGGGGCAGCTCGGGACGACGGTCTTTAATAGTCACTTACAGTTTAATGTGGAGTTTGTTTTCACCTGTTATGGGTCAGCTTGTCCCACCACAGAGGAGTTTATGTGGACATGTGGGGGTTAATGCCCAATTTGAGACAAACTCAGGGCAGAGGTCAGAGCAATAAGGTGAGCAGCGACTCAACAGGTCAAAGTTAGATGAAGGAGTGACACTTCTGAGCCTTTCAGTATCGTCTTCATTTATCAGGAGGGATTCTTCCTGAATCCTGGTTTTATCAAACCGTCTCTCTTTAGAGGCTCCAGAGGTGAACATGCCCTTCACACAGGGCTGTGTATATACTCCATGTATCTACATCATGTTTTTATTTTCATCACAAGAAAATAGTTTTAAAATCATATATCTTAAACGTTTGACTTGAGAGGACCATTTTTTTTGATGCATTCACAGTTGCATAAAGACATTAGTCTACAAATCTGTTGCGAGACGAGAGAGGCTTCACTTTGTGGATCTGGAGAGTTTTAACTTATTCATATCAGAGAATTAAAAAAGAGACTATTATCATCCTTCTTAACCCTGATATTAGTTTAACTCCTCGGATAATATTCACTCAGTCATTTAAGCTTTATAATCGACGTATCGTGCATTAAATGGCCTTTTTTTTATATCCTGCAAATTTAATCTATGCAAAAAGAAAAAAAAACAGGTTGTGGTGCATGTACACACTATTAATGTCACGTCATGTCACCGTAACACGCTCTGTTCAGTTCAGATACTTTGGGACCGTTTATTTACACTCAGACTAGAAAATTCATCCTCTGATGTTTTTCTTTTTTTCTTTTTTAAAATCCTCCGCTTGTCTTTTAAAATATACCTCACTGGTGTTTCCACAGCTTGAAGTTGATTTAATGCTTAAAAGAAATATAAATATATATCTTTCTGTATTCACAACTTTTGTAGCAAACAAAGAGACAAGTTTACGACCGCCGCTCCGTCGACACATTTTTCCGTTTGGACGCTGATTTTGATAGAGGTGTCGCTTTTTTCAACAAATCAAGAAGAAGGTTGAATCAGAAGGAATTTAACTCGCTTAGTTGTAATCCCCACCTTCAGAGTAGAATATACTCGACTTTACAAGTTTTGTTTTCATGTTAGCGTTAATGTTACCTCTTTCATAATATTTGAGATGTTGCATACAGATCCAGAGCGTTAAAGTGAATGACTCCATCTGATGGTTTCCCCTCATGAAGGCCAGTTTCTTCTTCTTAGTGTAAAAGTGAGCTCGTGTGACTTTATCGGGACAGCAGCCACTGTGAAGTGCAGATCAATAAGTGCTTTTTGCATTCTCAAGAAGTCCTGGTTTTGATCTTCTTCCCTCTCTGATATTTACATGGAACACTTTAAACCTGGTTCTGTATTTCCTGGTAGACATGTTTCTGTCAGGATCCAGGTGTGTCATTATCTGTGGGCAGATGTGACCGGATCCCTCACCGTTTCAGTCGCTATGTTCCACACCAAAGGAGATAGTTTAGAATCCTGGAGAAGGTGTTTACATGCTTCAGTGTTCTGGTCTTTATCGGAGTACTCCAGGTTTCTTGTTCAAGTTTCTCTAAAACCAGGAAAAGATGTTTACATCAGGGATGTGTGCAGCAAGCCGACTAAACGTTCTCTAGTCAGCTCCAGAATTACTAGTCCTTTAAAATAATAATCAATATCTTCATACATTGGCCCTCAATAGAACTGTACCGGGGCTGTAGCCGTACACCGACTGTAGTCCTGGCTAATGGACTGTCTCTCCTCGCTCTACTGCCTGGATGTAAACCAGCACAGTAAGCAAACAGCATCTCATAGGAGCATTGTGATATGTAGGCTGTGTCAGGTTCAACTGTCTTATTGGCCAGATCAGTCACCACATAAGTGAGTTAAGTTATCACGTTTATCACAGGCATGTCGACGTTCACCAGGCTGGTAATGTTAGCCTCACCATGCTAACCAAATTGACATCATCTACAGAGATGCTGTGATCGTACTCCTTTCTGAAACATAGATCAACAAGACGCTAACTGCATAAGAAATGTGACTTCAGTTGTGCTCAATTTAGAAACTTTTCTAAGTGTTTTCTTACCTTGACACTGATTGGCTAATCTAAATTCATATTCCTGTTTAACCAGCTCATGAATGAGTCGCTTGGCACGTCCCTAGTTTACATGAAACGGCACATAACAGGGGACACTTCCAAACCTGATCCTAACCAGGATTATAGTGAGCATGTGGATGCACTTACTGTAAATGCTGAAAACAAAGTGTACCAGTGACTGAATCTGAAGTTTTGTAATATAACAGCGGTCATCATAAGCTAAAGCTCTTTCCAGACAAACTGAGGCGGTTGCAGTGAATCTTCTGAGAGAGTTTAATATTTTTCCATCCACATATAAGAAAAGTTTGCATACATATCATGCTTAAAGAGATAAAAACAAGAAGTTACAGCTTGTTTTTGTAACACAAAATGAAGGCATTGACCTATTTAACTCATCGTGTATATGCTGTGAATTTAACATTCTGATAAATCGTTTGACTTCAAACATTTACGCTTGTCTCAAATTTCTAATAAAGAAAAAAGTGAGCCGTGATCCGAGGGTTCATTTGAATCTCAAACCCACATTTTCAAGCTTCAAAAAACTGCTGAGAAAGCCCCAGGGTGCCGATGATGCATTGTGGGATATGTAGTGTCACTGGTGTGGAAAAGCTGATGAGTCGTCTTGCTGGTGGACAGACAGACTGTATGCTGACGAGCAGCGTGAGGATGAGGGCGGTCGGACGAGCCGAGCAGCTGAATGATGGGATTGTTTGTCGGGCTTGGCTGAGGTCCAGGAGAGTGCAGGCCTCTTGTTGTCCAGTGCTGACCGGGGCCGCTCTGACTGGGAAACATCCCAGGCTTTTTGTTCTGCTTTCAGTCCAACTTTTTTTTTTTTTTTTTTCACTGTCCTGCTCACCAACCACCAAGACTTCATCTCCCATCAGTTTTATTGACTCATATGATGTCATGGCCATCATTCTTCTACTTACCTCACAGCTCTCTGTTACAGCTGCCACTTAAGTCAGCCATTTTTGTTTTGTTTCTAAGATTCCAAGCTGCAGGTCTCGCCGATAATCGCCCGTTTATTTACCAGTGTTTCCTCCCAGCCTCCCTCCCTCCTCTCATCATCTCTGCTCGTGTCTTTTCTTGGCTGGTGAACTCTGCAGTGATGTAAAAACTGCTGAGAGCAGACCAAGCACTCCCTCCTCTCTGCTGCCATCTGTCGTCAGGATTATCTGCTTGTCCACTCAGCACTTTACATACAGGGCCAGTTGGAATTAGCAGCACCAGTATAGGGCATTTCCTATTAAGCTGTGCATGTTTCCTATGTGGTCTGCTGCCGTCATATACATTTATTTACAGTTTTTCAGCCACAGTGACCTCACACAACTACACTTAATACACTAAAACCCTGACCTGAGGGATTGTTTGAATGCTCTAAGTTGGAATTCATTGGATGTTTTCAGTGATACTAATCAGATGAATGATTGGTTTTCTGAGTAGTTTAAATCTGACAGCAATGCCACCTGACGTGTGTTTATAAAGCTATCCTTCCTCTCTGACCTTGAGTTGAAGAAGCTGCATTTACACAATAAGGTCAAGTTTGCTGAGCGAGTTTGCGATTTATAGACGTGCGCCTTTATTTTGCCTTTGCTAGAATCAGTTTTTACATTTTAGGGTTGTCAGGATACAAAAATGTTAAACTCTAATAGGATACAAGAAAACATCTAAAAAAATATCATGACCTGTTTCAACACCACAGCAACCAAAATAGAAGTCTTAGGCACCCAATATTTGGTAGTTTTTTGTTTTTAATTGATTTACATCTGTCACACTGTCTGAATTGCACAAAAACATCGGCAACATTTCGGTATCAAAACTTTGCCGATGTGTTTCGTACAAGATGGCGCTCCGTGTCTTTCTCTTGCAGCAGCTTTGGGTTCAAATTCTACTAAAGTTTCTGAGCTTTTCAACACTAAAAAGTCATTTTAAAACACACAATATGAAAAGGTATTAAAGTATTCAACATTTTGATAACCTTAAGACATTTGAAACCTCCCGTTGCCCATTGCTCTGATTTTGACAGGTCACTTTGGAGCTAACGATTCAGAAGAAGAGGGTTTGAAGTTGATTGCAAAATTTTAACCGACATAAAAAGATAGCAACCATAACATTCCTCACTTCCCCTTGGTTTTATCATCCAATGTTCCCATTCTTTTTTCTTTTGATCGCAGTAGCTTTTCATTCAGGCAGTTTTTAAGAGTCCCTCCAGTGAATAAAAACTGAAAATATTTATTTGTGAGAATATGTGTCAAGAATTCAAATGTAATGTCCAGCCCTGCTCCATTAAACCCATAATGACTGAACACACTGGGGTTTGTTTTTGTGAGACAAAACTTTGCTAAACTACCTGCGAGGAAAGAAGAACCTTCAGAGGCTTTTTAAGCATTAGCCATTGAACAGCCAATAAGAGCGCTGAAGTGATGTTTGCCAATCTGCAGTTGTTATAGTAGCATCAAATACTTAAAAACAAGATGGAGGTCGCCATGGTTGAAACTCTGCGTCAGTTGTGACTTGGGTTTCAAGATCGTTTTAAGAGTCCCGAAGGAGCTGTGTGAACTTGAACCAAACTTATGATCCATCGTATTTGTTTGGATTCATTTATTAAGGCCTACATCGGAGCTGTTCCAGAGGTTATCAGATGGTGATTGCTGGTGATTTATCAGTGAGGGCGTTTTAACCTATTATTGTACTTTAAGTTCTAAAGGTTCCTCTTGTGCTTTGAGAGTATCTTCTCCAAAGGAAGAGCTGAAATCGTTCCCTCAAAATGGTGTCAGAAGAACTACGATTGTTCCCAGTTTGTTGAAGATAAAACTCAAGAATAGAGTGACGGGGTGGGGCGGGATCATCAGACTGTTTTTGAAAGTACAGAAAAAGTTCAGACTGTCCAAAACACGGTACCTCGTTTTTGGTTAAATCAAATAATCAAATAACAATGTCATATTTTTTTTGGTTTGGCCTAAAGTTATCCCAGAGCTAAGCTAACCGACCTGACTACAGTTTTCAGTTCTTTGTTCCATAGTCGCACAAAGACGATAAACGTTATTTCCTCAGAGTCCCGATCACGGCCCCATGTGGTCATGTTAGACACAAAGATCTGATCCAGAACCTGAGAGCCCCTCAGTAAGAGTTATAAAAGGCTGAAGGCCAGCAGAGTGCACATATCATTTATTCTTCATCACGTGATCGTTTCTTAATGTAGAAAGTCTTAAGCTCGTCCTCTTCGCTCAGGGTTTGATGACGTTTGATGAAGTTGTTGTATGATGAGACTCTGAAGATGATTAACATCGAGTTTGGTATGCTGATTCTTTTCTATACAATGATTTTAAAGCATTTTATTGTTGATACTTTAACTTCTAAGGGTTGGTAAACCAAAGACTGTCCGATAAGTGAAATGCTGCGATGTGAAGAGAGATCCACTTAGATTTGTTTTACTTTTTTTTTAGATGCAATAATCCACTCTCATTTAAAAACAAAACTACCCAGTAGTCTTGTTATGTTTTCATTGCGTCCCAGAGAGAGACACATTTTGTTGGATTTGTGATGGATGGAAGGAAGTAATAAAAACATTTAACAGCAGTTTATTTTTTCTGCTAGCACGTACACTAAACGCAGCTTACAGTCGAGGGACATCTTTCTCTAATTAAGGCACATATTGTGAACACATAGTCCAAGTCATGGCTGTGATTATAAACTTTACATGTTACAGAAAAACATTAACGTTCGAAAAAAATATACTGCTTTTCTTGAACTTGTTTGTGAGGCGAGAATTTGATGGGATGTAACGATACCTTGCAACACAATTAAAATCCGATACGAACATGAACAATTTAAATCGATGAGAGAAAAAATAATTGCAATACTTTTTTTTGACCAACAGAGGGTGGTATTTTTCCACATATTGAATTTGATCTCATTTCCCTATGAGAATGTAATTAATTGTGACAAAAACAAACGGATACATAGCATATCGCGGGTTGAGTGTATCGTTACATCCCTAACTTTAACTGTGACTCTCGCTGAATGGGAACATGGACACCAAAATTAGCATGTGTGTGTAGCATTAGCAGAGGCCTACACTACATGCAGCACTTGTCTGCCTCTTGCTTGCACTCATTTAAATAGAGCTCGTTCCTTTTATACTAATTGGTTGTAGGGTTCATGCTAACACTTTATCTTATATTGATGAGTCATATCTTGCTTCAAGCTAACACTAAATATTAAATATGTTGAGTCATGGTTGACTTTAACTTTAGCAAATGCCTGCAACATATTTACCTCAAGTAGATATAGCTTAGTCTCAATGTTTGATGCTTAAACTTTAGCCTTTGCTAAGGCTACTTTGGGTGACTGTTCATCCCATGCTAAAACTTTAGCATTAATGTTTTAGGCTCCATTCAAATGCTTGAAGCTAAAGCATTAGCGCATAGTACTGCAACATTCAGACAATTGCTCAAACTGTTTTTTTGAATGCGAGTACCCTTCTTGTTAACTCTTCAGGACATAAAACAAAATGCTAAGTGGTTGCAGATTTAATGCTAACATTTGCTCCCCTGAGTGCTAGCAAGCGCTAACCATACACTTTGTACATTTTAAGTCGTAATAAAACCCAAGGCAACGCCTCAACAGAAACAAGAGTGGCAAATGTCGGTGTCCATGTTCCCTTTATTGAATGTCCTGCTTGAGGAAGGCATGATTTTTCTTAAGTCATTTACATCCAAAGGTATACAAAAATAAAAACAAACTGATGTGCTAGCGCTGTGAAGCTAGCACATGCATAGGTCACCCGGTGGTTGCAGTTCTGTGGATTTATGAGATGTGAATTTTAAGATTTATTTTTGGGCTTTTTGCCTTTATTGAATAGGACGGTGGATAGAGTAAGAAACCAGCGAGAGAGTGGGGGGTGAAATGCGGGAAAGGAGCCACAGGCTGGACTAGAAGCCGGGCTGCCCGCTTGGAGGACTATATCTTCCTTACATGGGGTGTGACCCAGCCGCTAGGCCATCCACGCCCCTACTTTCTATGAGTTTGATGCTTCACACATAAATTCAGGGTGGGTCCTGCTTCCTCCAGGTGTCCTTTGACCTGGGAAAGAAAAAAACGTGATAAAGTCAGAACGGGTTTCTATAAATAGTAATCATTTGTTTCCTCTGTTATGATGTAAATGTGGAATTAGGCTCATGAACCGCACTCAAGTGACTCTAAAAAAACTCGGCTACAAAGGCAGGCGGTGTTTACAGGTTGTGGCCGTATTTATCATCTTCATTATCATCACTTTCCTCATATCCTTAAAGAAGAATGACTGCTTCAGTCACTTTGGTGCCCACAGCGGTCATTAATAAACACTTTGATTTGATTTCATTCTTTATTTTTTTTAAATAAGTTACTATGCATTTACTGTTGGAATGAGAGAAAAAGTCGTCCTTTGATTCTGTTGCACTAAGGTCTTCATGTTAATAATCTGTAGTATTTCATTTGTTAGCATTTAATCTAAATATTCAAATTCTCAAGCAAATCCCACCATATTGTTTTCTTAATGAATATGCATCATTTAAGGTTCAAACCCTTTAAAGCAAAGATATATTGTCTTGATTTGTTGCCGTGTTTTGTTTTCAATCATTTTCTTTGTCACATAGGTGGATGTGTATATTTCTGGAGATTTTGGATTTGAATCTTAACCTGCTGTCCATATCACTCGCTGTTCTGCCATGGGGTGTTTAACTGACGTTAGCGCAGAACCTTTCACAGCCTTTACCACTCGCTGCCCCGCATTATTTTTGATAGCGTTCTAATTTTTCATATATAAATATCAGATGCATCTGTCCTTTTTTTGTAGCGTGACCTTTTTATTTTGAGGAAATTTCCGATCTGAAAAGAGAATGGACTGTTTTACGAAATAGCTTAAAAACAATGTTAATAAAAGAGGAGTTATGTACTGTAGCTGCAACTTGTGAATTCAGAGCACCCCTTTAAAAATTCAATAAATTTGATTTGATTAGACTGTTTTGTTTTTCCTTGTCTTGTCTGCATCTGCATCTACACACCATCAGCATCCAAGAGATGACATTTCACTTAAAGTTTTATTTTAAAACCAGTAAAAACTTGGCTTCAAATCTACGTTATTTCCTCACATCTGTTCCTGCAGGGGGCTCCAGAGGCTCATCGGCAGCAGCCACTGTAGAAACAACTTTTTTGGCTGTTGTGTGTATGTGACTTCCTGTGTTCCTGCAGCCAGCCTCTAGTGGACACTCGACAAACTGCAGGATTTGACATTTCTGCATTGGCTTCACTTTTCAAGGCCTTTGAAGGACTTTTTTTTATCTGTTTAAAAAAAATTAATTGGAAGAATGGCAACTTTCAATTAATCTGTTGATCATTTCCTTCCTTAATTGATATGATTGGTCTAAAAGTGGGAAAAGGTGAAATATATCTTTCAGTGATTCCCACTAGATTATGCCTTCAAATGTTTTGATCACAGCCAAAACTAATTCGAGTTTATTGTCAGATTGCTGTAAAGAAACTGGAGAATATTTACTCAATATGAAGCAGGTATCAGGTAAATTAAACATTTTGGCAAAAAAATACATGTATATGAATTGATTATGGAAATACTTGGCAATTTAGTAGTTGATGGCTAATCAGTGAATGAATTGTTGCTGCTTGCATCACAGTCTTTGCATTTCATATATGCATAGGTCTCCGGTCATAAGGTCATCTGTAATATCACATCACTGCCACCCAGAGGCACTGCTGGTTCAAGATGACAACTGAGACTCAGCTGCTCAGCTCCTGGATTGTAGACCGGCCAGTGATTCCAAAACTTTTGTGGGGACCTGCCGTTATGTCAGGAGGAGGCTAAATCAATAACAATGTTCTCAGTTCCCCTTGTGAAAAAACTTCAAGATAATCATGATGTTTATGATTAATCTTCATGAAATGTCACAAGTACTAAAACAAAGGAGAGTGATGAAGAGAGAGTACAGTGCAGTGTGGTGTGTCTCATGGTCTGAGATCATGACAGCATTAAGCTGTGTCAGTGGGTATGGGCAGGGGGCTTGAAAATGTTTATAGGAAAGGGGAGTCCTGCTGAAAAAGTCTGGGAACCACTGGTGTAGACGATCTTCTAAAAAACGACGTGGACTATGTGAAGTCGTCCTGCGTCTAGTGCTGTCATTCAATCTTTCACAGAGGGAGAGCACACACATTTCATGAATGTATCTTTATCCTTTTTTACTAATTATATTTTGAGTTCCTCACTGATTCAGCCATTAGCCAATAACAAACGACAGGAAGTAAAGAGTGCTTCAATGCTGGACGATACTTATTTACAGGTGTTGGGATGAAACAAAGAGAATTGAACATCATGCAAGAAAATGAAGTCATGCCAAGGAGGACAACAATACTGCAAATTATACAAATTAAATACAAATAAAAAAAATTAAATATGGTAATTAATTATAAATACAAAAAAAGCTTAATTTGATGTGGTAAAAAATAGCAAACAAAGCATATATCCAATTTATCCCTCTGACTCAACGATACTTTATACCTTTATACCTTTTTTTCTGTTTGAAATAACTTTTGCTTTTCACTTTGTGTGTTCATAGAAAAGAGTATCTGAGATGTAAGGGTCTTGATATTTTTGTGCAATAAAAGCTTAACTATGACCCAAACTCTGCTATATTTTGGTCCCAGAAAAGTCCAAGTCTTAATATTGAAATTCTCAAATCTCAGCTCCTTCAGTCATGGCCTTAATGTGTGATTTAGAGTTTAAACAGAGCACCCCCCACCCCCCCTTGAGTAATGGTATTGGACATTCTCCAGTTTGAGTCGTGTCCAGAAGGAAATTGGTCTTCATTTTGACATAGGCATCAAAGTCTTGAAATTGACCCCCAGAAGTATCTCGTATCGCAGTTTAACAAGGAGCAACAAGAGACAAAAACATTTGAATAATCCTCCCCCCACCCCACCCCCATTTGATCTTTTCCTGCCTCCCCCGTATGTCCCAAAATACAGAGGCGAACCTGTCGCTCCCAAGCACAGGCGCCACAGATAGCTCAGGCACCCTGGTCTGGGGCAGCGGGGGTAAACGTCTAGGAAACACATAGTAGGTGCAAGAGGAAGAGGGAACTGTTGATTCAACTGGATTCCCTTTGAAAGGTTAGTTTTTGACGATTCCTAAATTCTTGCATGAACCTGATCTGTCCACACAGTACGTAATCTCGTTTCCCTGGCACGTTGAGAAACGTCCTCCATGGAGGTTGATGGGAATAGTGAGATACTGCCAAGGAAGGATTCTCTCGGTAACCCGGGTCATCTTTTAAAACCCTTTTGAAATTGAACTGTATTGGAAACATTGGCATGGAAAACTGAAGACATCGAAGGATTTCTGATTGAAGGACTTAACTTGGAGTTCATCAGGACCTTGATTGAGATCAACCAATAAGAATAAAACAATTAAGGTTTGGATTCTGAGTTTGCTAACCACCCTATTACGCAGTCGACTCGAATCTCAGAGGGGCCGAGAGTCATTAAAGAAGCCATGAATGAAGCCACAATGAATGTTCGGGATGCGATGGTTAGCGAGGCTCTGGGTCAATTCCAGGCCACCTTGCAAGCCGCCGTCAGGGAAGTGCACGTGGACGTGAGCGCCTTCAAGCAGCGCATAGAGCACAGGATCGAGGAGCTGTGCATTTCCATGGACCCTTGGCCGGAGTGGTTACCCAGCTGCAGGAGGAGAACCTGCAGCTCAGGGCGAAGCTGGAGGCCCTCAGCCGCCTGGTGGAGGGCCTCGCCGGGGTCAAGATCGACAGAAGTCCCGCGGAAGAGGAAGGAAAGAACGTGGAGGGTGGTATCGTGAACGGACATGCGACGATACAATCCAAGTTCCAAGACGACCAGCAACTCAACTCTGCGGGATCTGAGAACAGCCAGTCGAGCGAGTCCACCCCGACGTTTCCTGAACCATCAGGGTCGATTGGTGGATTAAACCACGCTTCTGCTGCTGCTGCTGCTGCAGCTACAGGCAGAGCCCCGGCCCTTCCTCCATGGAGGGCAAAGAGACATGCGGAAATCAACGTGAGTACTCATTGCTTTTCTACAATTAATACAGTTGATTGAGTGAAGATGAACTCAACCAACTCTGACCTAGAGTTGAACCAACATAAACAACATCATTCAGTTGTTATGTGTGCAACCTCGGCAGTAAAACCTGATGGGTGTTGAAGGGTAGTACCAAAGCATAAACACCTCAAAATGGCCCTGAGCACCAAAACATGACCAAAACATTATTTACAGGGTCGATGCTGTGAAGGACTCCCCGCTAAATTCCACTTTCAAACTTGTCACCGTCTAGAATAAGTTGAGCCCCCTGACAAACTGCGACACCACAACCGCTTGTAGACAAATCGGTCACACCTGTAATTATGCATAACTCGTATCCTTCAAGAAACCTAATGGGTGAGTTACAAAATAAAATCACATCCCGTACAGTGTGCCGATAACGACATCAAGCATTCAGACCAAAATAATTTTTGAACCAGGCTGTAAACATGTTCATTTCTGCTGTCCAAATGGGACATGCGGGTCTTTTGGAGCCAGCCCCAAGCAAACCCTCAAGGAGCTGAAGTTTTTTGGACTTCCACATTGGCTTCGTTTTTCAACACCAGAGGTTGCCAATTCATTTATATACAAAGTATTCCAGTAGCTATATCTAGAAAAACCCTGCAAATGGGTTAATAACACTGAGAAATACTTTGACAAATCTGCCAAGTTATGCTGCCTTGCTTCCAAGTAAAAGGCGCATATTTTAAAGAGTTATGTTCCAGAAAATTATATATTTCATAATAACAAGCTCTAAGACTTTACAAATAATTCCACATTATGGCGTTACTGTGTTTACCTATCATGTAGGACTACCCTGTGTTTCATGTGGGGTGTCATAGAGAGTGTAGTTGTGTTTATTGGGCTGTGCTAATGACTGTCTGGAAACAAACTTATGTCACTGTACTATCAACATCCCACCATGCCAAGGAATCTCAGCAGCTCTGTCTTTGTTTTTAGAGGGTGGGGGGTGTGTGGGGGTTACTGCTCAGTGTTTGCCTCTTAACATGCAAACCTGACTCTCTCCAAACACCTTTCGTTGGTTTATCTATCCGGACGAACTCTCATCTACTAACCCAGCCTGTTTATCAGAACACAAGTGGTACATCGTCCAATCCTGGGGCTTTACTGTTCATGAATAAATCCCCTTTGTCAGGCATGTTTATGCGACCAGCTTTCCTGATCTATAAAAACCTCCACGTGAAGCGGTGGATTAGAGTATGGGTTTAACTTTGGTGCAGAAAGGCCTATCTAGAATTGGAGGATTGCACACTATGATGATCCAAATGTATATTTAACCTCTGACTCCGGCTTCACACATTTATCCCGGAGCTTTTGTATAGGCTCTGCATCGCCTACAATTACTATTTTTAGACATCATCAAGTCCTAATCATCAATTTCTGACTAAGAGTTATTGACTTGGATATCCAGACGATCATTACAGTTAAAGGGATAATACCCTTACACTGAAATCCCCAACCACAAGAAAAAAAACACATGCTTACAAACTTTCAGCCTACCCCCCTCTTACGCTATGACCCGCTTTTATAACAGCAGGTTCTCCAAAAGGGCACATGTATTTTGGGGTCTGTGATTTGGGACTGAGCTGCAGCTCTTTGGAGCCTCTGCAGCTCTGCAATGTAATCCTCTGAACAAATGAATGGAGAAAGCCAACATGGCAAGGAATACAAGTCCTAATCACCACTAAATGATTAGTTAAGTCCTGCAAATTTGGAAGTGAACTCACAGCCATGGTCGTAGTGGACTAGCTGACAAACAGGATCAGTGCCCCCACACTACGTGCTGCTAACAGTGCCTTGCGACGACCATATTGCGTTGCTTTTTTTATGACGTAACTCACACGCACACACTGAAAGACATGTACATAAATAAAGCTCTGTGCCCTAATCCCAAAGGAATCCCGCTCCCCAGCCAATCCAAGTCTCAAATCTCCAAATGGAAAGTTGAATTGCATCTACGTCCCTGTCAATAATACTCCCCCAGCCTACACCCCCCAAGAGGGACGACCAGCTGTCCCGCTGAAAACGCCGACATTCCTGTATGTTGATATCAGCTGGTCTTTCCCACCGTCAGCGCCTCAGATGTACCAAAGATCAATCCCCCAGGACTGAAGACTGGTTCATAATTTGATGTTCAGCTCCATCATTTTTTTAAATTCCAATATCATCTTCCCTGAGTAGTTTTGAAATCTGTTGAGTTCAGCAGAAAAGGTGGGAATAGTGAAAAAGTGGACTTCTTCCTTAAGTTCTACTTTATATTCCTCACATCAGTCCGTCATTTTACACCTCTGCAAAAATGTGCAACCCAAAAATAAAAAGCCTTTTAGGACACACTTATCCTCATTTGGATTCGGGTTGTCACAATATAGATTCATATCAATACCCGTCTTTATACAAGGACAGTAACTATAAAAGTCCCAGGCACTGAATCTTTGGTAATTTCTGATTTTTAACCCCGAAAAAGCAGGAAAACTCCTTGACACTGTCTAAAGTACCCAAAAGTATTTGTGTAAACTAGACCGGGCTATCTCTCTTGTGTTCCTGCCAGGTCTTGGTTGAACATATGACTAAATATCTGAAGTGTTTTTTTTAAAGCGTCGATACTGTTCGAGACTATTGATCATCAAAACAACAGATTGTTCTAAAAAGACAAAAATCTGAGTATTGAAAACATTCTGACAACATTAATTTGGGATTATTATTACATCTCTTCTTATGTTAGGAAAGCAAAACAAGATCCGCACACCAATACGTTTTTGTTATAAGCATTTATTTAGTGATGTTTTGAGCATCTTTGTGTGCAAATCTTGTTTTGCTTTCCTTACCTATTTGTGTTATTTTTGATGCAGCACCCACTAAGTGATGTGCGTGTCTTTTTTGATTCTTCATCTCTTCTCTTGTTGCAAGCAAATTGAAACAAGTGTCTGAAGACATACTGTTGTTCCACTAATGACCACTAGAAGCGAGCTCCTGAAAATCTTTAACAGCTCAAGTCCTTCTCTGTTAACCATCAAAATATTCTTACAAAGGCTACTGTCCAACAAACACTTGATTTCCTCCACCAACTCATCAGTCACTTGGTCTGTTTACCAATGGGCCGTCAACAGGTTTTAAACACTGGGGTCAAAGCATTCCTAATAAATAAAGGTTAGAAAAAAGGTAGACGGAAGGCTAAATCAAAAGTAAACCCTGAAAGCTCCTTTGAGGAACTTTCAGTTTGTGTTATTTTTGGCGACCCCGGAAAGAAGAAGGTAATAAAGAAGACAGTATAATGCATGAGATCTTAACAATGTTGACACAGGTTGTGTTTCAGTTCTGTTGTAAGTGACAGGATCATCAGTGGTCGTTAAAACCATTTGGTCAGCTAAGTTTTTCTCGCCTTTTAAACGACAGACATGCCTGTGTGATTGTGTTTGTTGGTATCCAACCAAAGTATTTTTGTGTGTTTCCAAGAGAGACCTAAAGTGACACAGAGGTAAAACCCAGATGGGCGTTAGCGGTATTAACAGGGTCAGACTGAGTCGGACTGTGATATCCTTCAGGAGCTAGCATGGAGCCCAAAGATCACGGTGGTGCTAATCTCCCTCCTGACGACCAGTTGACGGACTGGCTGAAATGGCTTTATTGCGTGGCTGCCAGACCAAATGCAGTTCTCTGGAAAGCAAAAGTCTAGGGGGGTTCGGGGAGGGGGCAAATACTGGCCAAAGCTTCAGGCTGATATACTTTGAACCACTCAGGGTAACTGCCTGATTTCCAAAGCATCCATTTGGGGCTATATTGGGATGTAAGAAGAGTGCTGCGGAAACTCTTGCAAAGGGGCTGATTGCAAAATCTAAAATAGCCTCTCAGTGGGAACATGGGTTTGTTGGCCACAGCTGTCATTAAAGAGGTTTTCAGCTGTTAACAGCTGAAGATCACACTTTCAGAGAAGTGAGTGCACACTCTCACACACACCGACTCACAGACAAATTTATCACCGATGATAAAAGGCCACAGATTATTTTTAGCTCCGCAGCGTGCAGAAGTCTGACAGACAATAGAACTAACTGTGTTTGTTGTGAATACACTCAAATGACTGATGTTGCTGAGGCAAAATGTACAAATAGATCCACACTGTTTGATGCAGGTGATGCACAAATCACTCACCTTCAAGAGGGTTGGGATTTCATTCAGAACTCTTCCTTTAGGCTTTTTGCATTTCACTATTATTTTTAGAGCTAATAGGTAAAGTTACAAGTGGATTTATATCCCTCAACTCAGTGTTTTTCCAAATGGGGGGTCTACACAGAGTGCTGGGAGGGGTTGGAAACTTGGGGGGAACAGAGATGAGAAGGGAATATTATTTTGGCATTAATATTTTATTATATCTTTGTAGTTGTTATTAATCACTGCATATTGAGATCTATGTGTTTTGATGTGATTTAGAATAGAGTCACATTTAAAAAAAAAAAAATCATGACTACTGTTATTACTGTTGATTATTGTGAAGACTGGAATTTTAAAAGACGGTTTACAAAAATGTTTCCCTTCATGACATCACAAAGGGCAGTAACCCCTCCCCCAGGTGGGTGACACTCCCACAGCTAGGTGTTTGTTCTGCCCTCTGAGTCTGCCTTCTCACCGTAAACAATAGGACATGGAGCGAGAAAGCACCGAGTACACCGAAGCCCTTCCAGAGAGGGGGCGTGGTCAGACACAGCTCATTTACATATTTAAAGGTACAGACACAGAAACAGCCTGTTCTGAGCAGGGCTGAAATAGAGGGGTTTATAGACATGATCAAACACAGGATCAGAGTGGATTTAGAACAAGACTTATTGAGACTTATTTAAACTGGTTGAAGAGGAGGAGAATATGTGACCTTTAAGAAGTGCTAGTGCGATTTTGTGCTCAGGTACAGCGCTGAAGTAGATGTAGTTGTCATGCAGAATCAACGGGTCAAAGAGTTAATCAAACAAATTAGAAAATCCAAAATTACTCATTCAAAATCATCTAAATCATTTTTAATACATTAACATTTTTAACTGCAAACTGCAGATTTTATTTTCCTTCAAAGCAGCCTCCTCAAAATGGGAAATTCAGGCAATCAAGCATCCTGTGTTTCACAATCATAACGTAGAGCACCCATGAGGAGGAAACAACTTCACATGGATCAATTTTTTGACTTTAATTGGCTTTGATTTGAATTACTAGTTTACTGAAGCGTGCTAGATCGCTTGCTATAGAGCTTGCTATGCTTTAACATAACTTTATTGAAACGTTTCATAGTTGGATGATATTGATGGCTTATAACAATGGTCCTGTTCGCCTGGTGTGTTCCATTGAGACGACAAATGACTCCCCACCAGTGAGAGGATACAATTGGTTTAGTGTTGTGAAAAGACTCTACAGATATAATCAGCTTCTGTTTTTTTCCTGAACAGGGCACTGATGGGAAAAATGTTGCACTGCCTGCACAGGAGAACGGAAAGCAAGGTAGGTGAATAATCTGAGAAGCTCCACACAGGTAACCAGGATGAGCAGGCCTCATCTTTGGTTTTTGTGTCCTTCAACAGAGAGCTCAGCAGTGGACTCTGATGCTGCTCCCCAGTCCTACCGACTCCAAACCTCCATCACCAAACAAACGGCAGAGACGTCTGCCTTAACTTACTCTCCCAACAAGCCTGGTCAGTGGGTTTAAGAAGTTCACACCAAGTTTAATGATTTTATGCATTTTCTTGTCTTTATTGGTATTATGTGAATCGTCTGCAAGCAGTAGCATTCCTCAGAAGACTAGAAAAGCACTATACAAGCTCAAGTCCATTCACCATTTGATTTTTTCTCCCAGACCAAGAAGTATCAGGTCTTCTTACCAAACCTCATCAGCCGCTCACTTCAATGACAAGAGCCAGCTCCGACACTCCAGCTGTTCCTCACACTGCTGCCAACACACCTAAAGAACTTCCAGTGAAACCAGCAGAGTCTCCTGCTAAATGTGGTGAGTGTAAGAATGATATTTGTGTCGTTTAATTCAGCGCTCTATACTCAAAATCTGAACTGCCACACGGGGTATGTAGATAATCAAACAACCGAATAAGTGTTTGATCACTTTAAAAGCATCCATATCATTTTGACTTTCATTCTGTATTCAGATTGTGCCTTTTTCTAGATAACCAACCCCTGCCCCATCTTCCCGTCACCGCCATGATGACAAAACCCGGCCCAGAGACGATCGCCAAACCTGCACAGTCAGCAGCACCGACTCCAAAAACAGCAGAAGCTCCGCCATGCGACGAAGGAGGATTTCCTTTCACAAGAGGTCAGTTAACGGGTTTTTAATTTCATGTTGTTGTACACAGATACCGCCTAGTAACCGACTTTGGCGACACAGCATTGAGCAAATGTGTTGCTCAAGATGAAATGTTTGATGTAGGTATCTGTTTATAGGAAGAACAGATCGTCCTCAGGTCACTTCCAATTGGAGCCCAGATGTTATTTTAGTGGATTGCATTCAGCCTGCTCTATTTTATTAAATACTAGTTTTAGTTTTAGATTAGATAGGACAGTTGAAGAGAGACAGTTAATCTTGGGAGGAGAGAGTGGAGGATGACGTGCTGCAAAGGGCCAAGGTCGGATTCCAACCCCTCACCACTGCAACCAGGACTATAGCCTCTGTACATGCTGCAGGCAACATGACCACTAGGCCATCCGGTGCCCCATTCCTCCTTGTTCATTCCTCCTTGGAAATGTTGTGTTTTCCATTCGTTGTATATGTGTAGTACAATCTGTATCGAGCACATAACATTATCAACAGGCTTTGGTACATGTCCATCATCGTCCATGGATGATCTGCACAGTACAGGAGATTAGTAACCACCCGGCAATGCCCTAGCAACCACCATAGCAACTGACACCTTACAACCTGATTTAGGTTTTAATTTTAATAGACCTTTAATTAGATAAAAAGTCTGAAAAAAGGGTTAGTTATGTGACGGATGTTTTTAATAACGAGGGTGAAATAATGATCTAATAACAGATCTGAGATGAACAGACAGGTTCCTCCTGTGAGAGACTACGATCAACCTCTCTCACCATTCTTTAATCCCATCTTTCCTCTTGCTTTAAAGTGATGTTTTTCTATTCTGTGTCTAAGGTTCAGGGGCATCTGGAGTAAAGGAGCAGAGGTCCCAGGTCTCCACAGAGCAGTCAGGCTCTGCATCTCATCTTCTGCTAACAGCTGTGAGCCGAGGCAGCGCCGAGACTTCAGCTCTGAGCCCTGCGTCTGCACTGAATCCCTCCATACCAGAATCCCCGACCATGAAGAGAGGCGAATTTCTTTTCAAACGTGGTCAGTAGAAAGTTATTTTCCAAGTTTTATCTGCTCATGTTTGCCAAATAAAGAAAACGAACATCAACACCTGTCACACTTGTATGAGTGCTGTGTCTTTTATCCACTGAGTTAAAATGTTTCTTCCACTTTTTCTCCTTTTCTCTAGACGTCTCACAACCCAAGTCACAGCTGCCTGTTTCTGCCACCATGACTACGCTGAACACAGAGTCTACATCGTCCGCTACAACAGCTCACCATCTCACCAGCTCATCATCACAGGATCCTGCAGTCAAACCCGGAGAATATCCCTTTAAGAGGCGTGAGTTCTGTCAGCAAAGTGACATGATTCATGCCCTTTTATCCAGTTCCTCAAATCATCTTCATGTGGTCGCCCCTTTTCAGACGGCTGTTCTCACAAAAGTGATGCAAACTAAGCTCAGTCGTCATCACGTCTTTGTACATTTGCACACACACGCAGCGCTGTGCTCACCTGCAGGCCTTGCTGAAACCATCTCACCTGTAACGCCTCTGTTACTACCTCTAAAGACGGTAAAGAGGGGGGATTACTTCGTCCCCCTTTTGATGCCTCCACCACATTCAGATTGAAGGTGAAACAAACAGGGGCGTAAATATTGCAGCTTGAAACAGCAGTCTGAATCTGGCCAGTGGTACACAGTGTTTATTTATCTTTTTAAAGCTCCTGTGAAGAGTTATTGTCTGCTTATAAAACATATGAGATAAGCGAAGAGAGAAGAGGTACCGGTAACGCTTTGTCCACAAGGGGGCGCCAAAAATGACACAAACCAGATGTTCCTCACAGGAGCTTTACTTTCTTTCTTTCTCAAATGTTTTTTTTTTTTATCGTTGCTCATTCTTGTCTTTGTCTTTCATCACTTTATTAATTCAGTACCAGTTCTCAAGACTCCCAGTCCCAGTCTGAAGAGAAGTGTGAGCTTCCCTCAGCCTGCAGGTAAAACACAGTAACGCTTCATCTTTCACGTTTCTTAAGAGTTCTTACAAACCCATCTAAAATCAAATGTTCAAATCTGAAAGTTTGCTTTTGAATGTATTTGAAACTTCTTCTCTCATAGTCCTCCATTTATTTTTATTTTTCTGTTTCTGCAGAGAAACTCCTCCCCTCCAAATCAATCATAAAATCCAGTTTCTCACCAAACTTGGAGAAGTAAGTGTTAAAAATGACTATCAGCATTTAGTAAACTGACTTTAATTTAATAACATACCTGCAGCTTCAGTTCAAATGTGTCTATGTGTGTTTTCCACCGTCTGTCACAGGAAAGCAAACAAGGCAGGTGTGGAGTTTAACCTGGACGGGATGAAAGCACAAACGCTTCCACGCGCCAACAGTGCTCAGGCCAAACGCGCTCTCTTTGAGAGGATGAACTCGGAGCCGACAAAGTGAGTGTTTTTAATAATACCTATAAGTCTCAGGTGCAGGGACACTTTATCGTTCACTGAGTTTTGTTTTTCCTGAACAGAGCAAAGGACCCCAAGCCCAAGCTGAAGCGCTCTCAGAGTTTTGGAGTGTCCAGCGCCAGCGGGATTAAACAGATTCTGTTGGAGTGGTGCCGCTCAAAAACCATCGGCTACCAGGTACGGAAATAAGATATACATGTTGTGTTAATTCTTAACTTTGAAAGCAGCAGCTATGACCTGCTGGGTTTGATCTCTCGATGATTTTACATAATCCTGAAACCTTTGCAATCATAAAGACAGTATCTGTGTGGATGCCCCGTTAAAAAAAAAAACCACACACACCTGATGATGTCGTCATCGTCTCTCTCTCTCAGAACATAGATATCCAGAACTTCTCGTCCAGCTGGAGTGACGGCATGGCTTTCTGCGCCCTGGTTCATCTTTCTTCCCTCTGGAGTTTGACTACAACGAGCTGAACCCGGCGAACCGAAGACAAAACCTCCAGCAGGCCTTCACCACCGCAGAGTAAGACGACTCACATGGACTGAGTGAGGCTGTGGGTGTGGGAACAAAGTGTTTTTATGCATTTCAACTACAGCTACAAACAATTCATAAAAATCTATAGAAGGACGCCCACACCCTCTCTCCAACTCTGATGAAAATGTGCACAAATGTCTTCATGCAAAAACTCCCCGCTAGATCCACTAGGGTGATTTCAGAGGAGCATTTCTGTTTTCTGTCTCTGCAGGGATCGTCCGGTGATGTAGTCCGAAACTTTGAAAAACGATCAAGTGGCCAAACAAACACTTTGATTGTTGTCAGGGCAACAAGGACTACAGCTGAAGCAGACTAATTCATAACAATATGTCAAAACAGGGCCCGATATATAAAAACATAAAATGATTTATCCTTTAGGACAGTGGTTCTCAACTGGTTGAGCCTCAGGACCCACCAACTACTCCTTCATGAAAAATCGCGACTGGAATTTCCGATATTTTTCAATCAATCAGATTTTCTTTTTTTTTTTAAACAGTGCAGCCTGGACCTCCGACGGTACAAACTGTGATAAAACAAATAAACTGAATGAAACTAACTTGTTAACAAAGCGCTTTAAAGACTATTAGACAGCATTTTTCGTCCTGGCACACCTTCGCGACCCCCTGAAAACAGCTCCTTGGCCCTCTTTTGGGTCCGACCCACCAGTTGAGAACCGCTGCTTTAGGAGAAATGGTTGCTGACTTTACTCAGAATTTTATGAACTTGAAGAAACCAAACAGAGAGATATTTAGCAGAAGCTTGAAGCTCTTCTGGGACGGAGTAAATGAAGTCCAATCTCTCCTGGATGCTCAGCTTTTCCTTTTTTTTCATAGATATATTTTGCTCTTCTTTTCATTACTTCATCATCCTGTCTCACGTCCGTATGCTTTTCCCTCCAGGCAGCAGGCTGACTGTCTCCGTCTGATCGAGGTGGAGGACATGCTGAACATGGGGGACAAACCCGACCCCATGTGCGTGTTCACATACGTCCAGTCGCTCTACAACCACCTGAAGACGTTTGAGTAACTCTGTATCAGAGTCCATCACCGAGCCTATAGATGTCATGAAGCACAGTGTGTCACAAGCTCTTTGAATTAAACTAATATGAAACCAAAAACTCAGCAAGCATACAGATAGAAACCACTGCTGTTTGAAGCACATAAACAATGACGTTAGTGTTTGACAAATACAACCCTGTCTCCTAAAAAAAGTTTGGACGTTGTGTAAAGTGCATGAAGACAGAATGTGATGATTTGACACTGAAACTGAACATTTCAAGTGTTAAAACTGAGAAATTTAATAGTTTGGGGGAAGATTAAAGGCCAATGTCTAAAGTAGAGTCAGTAGCTTTTACCTAAAAGAAAGGAATTTAGAATTTACAAAAGTAACGCTGTTCAATCATCACTGATGGGCCTCCATACATGTGTGCTGGTGACTCTGACCTCTGACTGGATTTTACTGTTTGGTTTGTTTTGGTTGGTTCGGGATGTTTCTTTTTTTTTATACTTTTTATTTGATAGTTTTGAAGAAAAACAACATAAACTGTCAGAATGAGCATATATACATTTATATATGGTTTGTATAGAAGATCTACATATAAGTGCATCATCTATACAGGCATGGATAAATATTTCTGTATGCTCATTCTACGACAGAAAAGAAGAGTGAGCAAAAAGGAAGAAAAATAAAAGAATCCCGGTTGGTTCGGGATGTTTCTGGTTGGGGAGACACTGGTGTGTTTCCCCCCAGCTAATGACAGCGTGCAGGTCAGTTTTGAGGTGGATTAAATTCAGCAATTGAATGTGATTTAAAATGGCCAGATATGACGGATGTGGATGTAGCAGGGGTGAACGTTGGGTTGGCTTTGGAAGTGGAGTTGGCCTGTTTTCTGTTGGACAGGCAGGTGCTGAACAACAGGGTTTTTGTGTTAGCGTGCGGCAGCTTGCAGTGTAGGTACGAGCAGTGAACGTACACACTACGTCCTGCAGTGTGATGGAGCCCAGGAGGAGGAGGGACCCAGTTTGAATGTTGTGTTTACAAGCTACTGACTCCACCTTCAATTTGATAGCATCAACATGTTTCAAAAAAGTTGGGGCAGGGTCAAGTTTGTCGATCTGCTGCATCACCTTTTCATTTTAACAACATTTTGGGAACTGAGGAGACGGATTTCCTGCTCAGTGTTTTCAACATTTCATCAGTTCATGGTCTTCTTTGTCGTATTTTACACGCCATAGTGCTCTAAATGTTTTAACAAGGTGTTAAGTTTAAAACTGTAGGAAGGTCAGTTCATCACCTGGACTCTTTCACTACGGAGCCATGCTGTTATAAAATGTCCAGAATGTGGTTTGAGATGGTCTTGATTGAGTTGTCTATTTGCTGCAGTGGTTGCCTAGCAGCAGGGAGGATCCCCTTCTGACATGATCCTCTCTGTGTGGAGTTTGCATGTTCTCCCAGTGCATGTGTGTGTGTTCCCTCCGGGTACTCCGGCTTCCTCCCACAGTCCAAACACAGTCCAGGGTGTACCCCCTGGTTCAGCCTTTAAATGTGCATACGTCATGGATGATAAGAAGCCTGATGGTCCCTCTCCTCTTTAGTCCAGTTGACCTTATTCATTGTGAGATATTCCATCAGGTGGGTGTTTTTGCAACCTTTCCTTTTGTTGTCACTGTCCCAACTTTTCTTTTTTATACATGTTGCTGCCATCAAATTCCAAATGAATATATCATTTTCCAAAAACAACTGAATCTGTCAGTTTTGAACCTTTTAAATGTTGTCATTGTGCTATCTTAAATAAAACATATGGCTTTCAGTGTTATAGTCGGTGTACATTTCACAAAACGTCCCAACTTTTAAGGATGTGGGGTCGTATTTTTTTCTGCCAAATAATAGAAAAAGTGATCCGGTTTTCGACTGTGAGTGTGAATTCACCAGTGTTCCTCATTCTCTGAAGCCTCCGTAGCTGCCTGACTTTGATTCTTACACTACAGTTGAAGATGTTTTATGATGTGTGTGGATCAGATTTACAAAAGGAGGTTGTCTTTGTGGAGTTGTGAAATGAAAACTAGAGAGTGGAAGATTAGCTCTCCTTTAGAAAAATAAAAAAGATATGAACAGTTTGTAAAACCTGTTGTTGATCAGTCAGTGTTTGGAAACATCAGCGATGTTAAAAAAAACAAAAAGATTTATGGATGCTCCACTAATAATAAACTGGAGTCCTGCCTGAGACGAGTAAAATAAAGCACTTTTCTTATATTTTTGATTTCCAGTGTGACTGTTTCAGAAAGAATTAGTGTGGAAAAAGGAGTATGTGAAAAAAAGTATGTGATGTTTATGCTGTATATCAATCAATCAATCAATCAATCATTATCTTATTTGTATAGCATCAATTCATAACAAGTGTTAACTGAGACGCTTTACAAAAGAGCATATCTGATAAGATGCAGGAAGGATTCCTCGTGTTCCTGTTGTCCACACTTCCTGTCGCTGAGGTGGAGGTCGGAACAGGCCAGGCATGAATGAGGACGGCGATGGTTTTGGGGACGACACGGTCCGATGGTAGAGGCTGGGCGTCAGGGACGTCGAATGCCAGTAGTATAAATATATACAATTCAACTTTCTACATTATGTATAAAGTTGTCATTTTCTATAGGTCAAATTCAGGAGATCAAACTTTAATGAAACTGATTATATTAAGTATGAATTACACATATTTTAGATACTACACTTAGCCTATATTAAATTAAAAACTGTTAATATGAATTAAAAATAGTATTATTGATAATAAGCATGCAATTATTATGCAGCACAGGCACTAAAAATGTCCCCACCGCTCCAAAATGATTAAAAAAACCACAGATTTAAAGACACATTGTTTTGGTTATTTGGTCTTCTTGTTATTTCTCCTGTTTGATCTTGTCTTTAGTCATTCAGGGGTTTTGTGTCTGTCTGATTCACTTTCGGTCTCCTTTGGGGTTTTGATGTGTGTCTCTTCTCCCATGGTCCCGATCAGTTATCCAAAAATGTCGTTTACACTGCCATCTAGTGGTGAAATGAATGTGGCGCAAAAGCCCGCCAGTCAAAGATATGTTTTCTTTTTAACTCTCCAAATCAAAATCAGAATCGATTTAATAACCAGGTAGTTTTACACTTACAGAGTATCTGTCTTTATGTTTTGCTAAAAGCATAAACACAGTTATAGAATAAAACAAAATCAAACTTTCACAAATAAATAAATCTAATTGGTTGAGAGAATCTGAAATTAGGGGAAAGATTTTATATTAAGGATTTGATGGTGGGTCCTGAGGCTAGAAAAGTTGAGGACCACAGCTTTAAATTGTCCAAACATTTAACTGATAAGACTTTAATAATTTAAATTAAGAAATACTTTAAAAACAGTACTTTAACTTTAAGAGTGCTGCATTTTCTCACTGTCTTTTTTTCACTTAAACTGCTCTCACCTGTTATGAACTTGTTTTTTAATATCACCATCTTGACCGTGAATACTTTTAGTGTTTAAAGTGAAGTAAAAACCAATAAAAGCACACTTGTGCTCTTATTTGAGGGCACATTGGTAGAAACCGAAGTCAGAAAAAAAGCTTAATAATGGTGCATTCAGGGCCTCAAACCCGTTTGGACGTATTTCTCTTAGTCGTTACTTAGTTTGATATTTCCCTTCGCTTACTAAAGTATTATACTGATAATAGCTCCTTTGTATTTCTTACAACTTAGATAAAGTGTGTGTCCAATTAACAACGGGTCTTAAACAGGTAGAAATGTAGCTTGTTCATTTTAACAAGATTTTTTTAAGGGACCGTGAACGCCCCTTGACCAGGCATCCCTTCCGGTAGATGATGAGGTCAACTTTTCCCCCAGATCCGCCATTTCAGTCCCGGAGTTTCTTGTTGCACCTTAGTTTTGATTTTTTTAGTTTTAATTTGTTATTTTTAAACACCCACACGTTGGAGCGTTGGTGTCTGTTGTGAAACGGGAGTCCCGTCGACCTAAAAGCGTTGCCAATGACTCGTAGAAGTTGCTAGGGCAACGGTAGTCAACCAAAAGTTTTTTGTATGAGTCGCGGATAAGGGAGAGGCTGCAGGGGGGGAAAGGCCTCAAGCCTCGGACTGGATTTCGCAGCCATGGCGGGTAATTTCGATGCCGAAGACCGCGGGAGCTGGTACTGGGGACGGCTGAGTCGCCAGGAGACCGTTTCCCTTCTCCAGGGTCAGAGGCACGGCGTTTTCCTGGTGAGGGACTCGACGACCAGTCCTGGAGACTACGTGCTGTCCGTGTCAGAGAACTCCAAAGTGTCCCATTACATAATCAACAGCATCAGCAACAACCGGCAGTCCGGTTCAGGTAATGTCCAGTTCATTCACCTTTAACAGCTTCACACCTGGCTGAATCGGCTGCACACGGTCAACCAATTGCATGATCTGAAATGTGTGTTTTCATTTGATTCTGGATTGTTAGGAGTTAGCGCCGTTTCGTCTCCACTCGTGCCAAACCCCCTCGGATATTTTGCAAACTCTTACCTAGTCTTGATAAATTCGAGAAGTACCCGACTTTTATCGCACAAGTTTGAGTTTTCCCATGTTGCAGGATGTCTACCTAAAATTCGGCAAACATATCATGAGAAAATAATGATTCTGTTGGACATAAATGAAAACTTTTATGATGTACACCGCTCGCTACCGCCCATGTATCGTTAGCTAGCCGCTTAGCTTAGCCACGGTGGAGCCCAAAGTTTGAACACCTTTCACTGAAATATTACCTCACTATGGATACTCTTAATAAAGCCGATGTACACGTATAACCATTTAAAGTAAACCAGAAGTAACACCGATGTTGTAAAAACTATGTTTGTCTGTGAATAAGCAAGTTAAAGTTAAGTGTGCTACTTTTTGAATGGAGTTTGGTGTAAATCTAGCCACCAATCACCTTTCAGGCTAAACTCATCAAACCACCGTTCTGAGGATCATTTATTAATCTTTCCTGGGGGAGGGTGGTGTAGAGGTGGGCTGGGCTGCTGCTGCAGAGTTTGAATGGAGCTGCTGGGTAGACTGGGCTGTCATAACTGGTGGATGACTGGTTAGATTGGCGTTTCAGGAATGTCTGTGATCCTGCCCTGAACGCAAACAAAGTCCTGTTTCTTACAGGTCTGCTGCTGTTCTTGTTGCTCCTCGTCCTTTCTGGCTTTCATTAGGATTAAGCCACCTCATGTCTCCCTATAGTCAAACTGATGTGTGGAAGCACTACCCAGTTTTGGGGGCTGATATGTGGACTCAACTTTTACTAAAGCGTGCTCACCGGTGACATTAAAGTAGACCTTATGTGGAGGCTATTAAAACAACTGCTTCTCTCCGTGCCTCAGTCAGGATACAAACCCAAAGTGACTCACTTAAAACTTGATTCATTGTGTGATTCATTCATTGGCCTAAAATCCCCAGCGTTCAGGTCGCTGCCACTCTTCATATTTTGATTGGATTGGGTGATACTAAGGCGTGGATTTGTCAAACTGCAGATTTTTTTAACTACCGGTATGCGACTGTAATGAGCTAACTATCTTTTTTAAATGTTTATTTTGGGGATTTTAATGCTTTTATAAGAGAGACAGGACAGTGGATAGAATTGGTAATCAGGGAGAGAGAGAGTGGGGATGCAGAGGAGACACAGGTAGGACTTGAACCCAGGTGGCCTGATTTGAGGATTGTACATGGGGGTGCGCTAACTATCCACGAGGCTACCGGCATCACAAGCGAAGTATCTTTTTCATATCACTGGTCAGAGCTACCGAGGGGATTGTTGATCTCTGCAAGGACATTGGTTTTGATTGGTTTTCTTCTCACATGTTTGACTTTCTGCTCACTAACAGAGTTACCTCTTTGTCCTCCAGGTTTGGTTCCCCCTCGGTTTCGGATCGGGGATCAGGAGTTTGAGGCGCTGCCGTCCCTGCTTGAGTTTTATAAGATCCACTACCTGGACACCACCACACTAATAGAGCCCATAAACAAGTCCAAGCACACAGGGTTCATCAGCTCCTGTGCTGGCATCCCACAGCAGACCGAGGAGGCTGAGTTTGTACGGGCGCTCTTTGACTTCCCCGGCACTGACGAGGAGGACCTCCCCTTCCGCAGGGGGGACATCCTGCGCGTCCTGGAGAAGCCCGAGGACCAGTGGTGGAACGCTGCTAACCAGGAGGGCCGAGCAGGGATGATCCCCGTCCCCTACGTGGAGAAATACCGGCCTTCCTCGCCCACTGCTGCTGGCGGAGGTCCCCCTGTTGCGGGGACTGGACAAGGGGCGCCTGTTGGAGGGGTAGTGGGCAGCCCAGATGGAACAGGGGCCCCATCAGCAAACCCACTGGGGGACCCGGGCCAGTACGCTCAGCCTGTGGTCAACGCTCAGCTCCCTAACCTACAGAACGGACCTGTCTACGCCCGGGCCATTCAGAAGAGGGTGCCCAACGCCTACGACAAGACGGCGCTCTCTCTGGAGGTAGCAACCTCCCCCCCCCCACACTCTGCTTTTCTCCAAGAATATTCCTCCATTCACTGATGACCTTTGAGTTTCTTTCTTCTTCTTTTTCGTGTTCTGCCTCATCTGTAGCTGCATACATCGTCCCATTTGTTTACAGTTCACTCATGCATGTGAACATACACACAAAGTATCTTTACAAATGAAGACACTCACAGCAGAGATGGCTCTATAGAAAAAATAGACACAGATCCTTTACAGTGGCCTCTCTTTATGTTCACACCAGGGTCCATTGGATTAATGTGAGTGTAACATTGTACACTCATTACCACTGGAGCACAGTAGAACAAGGGGCGATGTTTGTAATCGTTTACTTGGAGTCGATAAATAAACAGTGTTTTCTCAGATTAGTACATAAAATGAAAACATTGTTAGGAGGTCATAAAGACTGTTTGACATCAACGGGTCTGTTGAGAGTCCTCTTAGGATTTCCAGCAGTGATCTGAGCTCACAGTGTTTGGACCACACTTTTCTTGGGACTCCCTTTAAGGAATCACCCATCGGAGCTCCCCAGAGAATATAACTGGGTTGGATCATGTGTTCAAGCTCAACCAAAACACACACACCAGCATCAGTCAAAAGCCCTCCTAAATTTTGAAGACATTTCAGGACAGTCTGTTCTTGAAATTTCTCAAAGTCATAAACACATGTCCCTCAGAGTGGGAAGTTTGCCTGTCGGACCGGATTAGGGATGCAAAGTCCAACGTTACATGACAGTGTTTGCCTTGATATTAATGCTTCATGTTGTTAGATGCATTCAAAGTATCGATGAAAGATTGGAAAAGAACATACTGGAGAGCAGAATAGAGTATTTAGCTTCTTATTGTGTGTTCCACTGTGACTCACAGATACTGTGATATTCATTTATTCAACCTTTATGTGTACATGAGAGATCATCTGATGAGCAACCCTCATATGACATCGAGTCATTACAGAATCAATTAAAAAACAGACAACAAATCAATGAAAAGAACCAGAAGACAGACGAATACAAGGTCAGTCAAATCAACCAACTGGGGGGTTTTAAGATGCTATTAATTTTTAATACACTGCATCACCCCCTCCTGCTTGTTTTCAGATTTACATGTCCTAAATTTTACCAAAACATCAGCTCACCCGACTTCACATGGAAATTTGACTGGGGAACGTGCAGGAAAGAGTGAAAAATTGGGCAATTGACGTTCACGTGTGCAGATTTTTTTAGGAGTTTTGTGCAAGTTTGAAACACCAAAGTTTTCTCTTTTGCAGGGAGTATCTACTCTGAAGACAGAGCTAAAACAACCTCTCTGAACAGAGCTTTAAGAACCACGATAGTCCCCAGTTCTTTCTAGGGTTAACTCAAGAAGCTGTGTGGAAATGCTGAACGTCTGTACATAGTTTAATGTTAAATATGTCAACAAACTGATGCTTCATGTGCCTATCCTTTTGGCTCACACCTTTAAAACCTGATAAACCACCTCTGCTAAAAAAGAGGTGTTAAATAGTTTGTCCAGAGGTACCAAAGGATGCTCGTCAACAACCATCATCTTATTTTTGGTGTGAACTTCAGCTGACCAGTAAAATAGCTGGTTGTAGCTCTCATTTGTACACTGGGTCTTTTGAAAAATCTGCTTAATCCAATAAACTGACACTCTACCTCACGTACTTAAAGTTGTTAGCCAGTTTTAAACACAGCTTCCTCTTAAATTCCTCAGCTGTCGGCTGTTTGGCCTCTTAGTGTTCTCTCTGTGCTGCTCAGTTTATTCAACTCTTTTTAAGACAGGCAGACGCCGACATTTAGTTTAAAATAACAAAAGTGGAGGACCGTGTAAATCCATGCGCCCGACACAGAGCAGACTGAATGACAAGACTGTGTTTATAAACCGCTGCTGGTGTTACAATATAAGGTCACAATATATTTCTTGAGCCTGCTGAGTGAAGTCATGCTTCACAGTGATGCACATAATGCTGTCACTGCAGATAAAGACTGTTTATTATTCTCTTAATTTACAGCTGCTGGCCGTGTTGTTTTAAAATGTAAGCGCATTTAAAGGCGACTGTCTGCAGCCAGACTTGCTGTAATTTACCGCTGTGAACCTGCTTCACCTGTTGCATACAGTTCACATTCGACCAGTGTGATCTGAGATCATGACCTGACTGCTCTTGGGTTTTAAAGCTGGGGATGAAGCCCCTCTAGTCTCTCTGGATGATGTTAGACTTTACCTCTCTAAACATTGCCCATTTGTTAAGCAATCGTTTTAAGTGGCAACATATTTGTGCTGAAACACTGCCAACATATTTGTGCATTTAGACAATGTGTATAGTTCTATATAGTGCGCTCATGCTTGCAGAAAACTCCTGAAAAACTACTCAATTGAATTTTTCACATGAACATTTCAATTCAGCCAATGATGGACGTGGGCTAACTAAAACAATCCCCCTCCCCAAAACAGACATTGACTTTACATTTCAAGTCAAACATGGATGTCCATTTGTGTGTTTCCTGTCCTGCAGCTGATGGGTCAATCAATACTTTTCTTTCAGTGGACCTCAGCTCATATTGATAGTTTTGACTTGAATGAACTGATCGTACCAGTTCATACAGAGCAGAACTAGAAAACGAGTTCATTTGGATCCCGTCCCTGCATTTATATTCATATTTCTTTTGTCCTCGGCAGGTTGGAGACATGGTTAAAGTGACCAAGATCAACGTGAACGGCCAGTGGGAGGGTGAGTGCAAGGGCAAAAGAGGCCACTTTCCCTTCACTCACGTCCGACTGTTGGAACAGCAGCATCCTGACGACGAGAGCTGAGGAACACACCTGGCCTCGAGCAGGTCCCCCTTTCCTCTTTTGGTCATTTTGTCAAGCTCGGAGAGGAAAAGGTTGAAACAAGCACACCGTGTATATGGACCTATGAATCAGTCAGAAGCTCCTGACTGCTGATGCAAAGACATGTTGGATGATGTTATTTGAAGAGTTTACACTAAGGTCAGACTGATATCGGTTTGCCTCTATTAGCTCTCTCCTAAAAATTAGTCTGTTTGTGATGAATTCAACTCGTGCTAAATCCACTGCTGACCACCAGCAGCTGTTAAGGTGGTCTCCTGAGCGGTCTTTATACGTGGTAAATGTATGCAAAGTTGTTTGTTAACATTGGTAACACACACCGTCTGTTAAAGCCTTTGTGTCTAATGTCTAACTGATGGGCATCGTTTAAATTAAACCAGTCTCATTTTAATCTCAATTAACACTGCCTATTAACCGAATAATAAATTCACAAGTTTTAAGAATCCCATGCACACCCTACGAACCAAACCAAAGTGTCAAAGTGACCGTGGGTAGAGTTAGGCTTGGTGTTTTTTACTTGACCAACAAGCAGTAAATTCAGTTATTTCACATAGCATCATGTAAAAATATTGACCGCAGTAATTTAATAAAATTAAGAGAATAATAGGCTGTGAGAGAAACAGTTTTAAAGGTCACACATTAACCTTGATTTTAACCAGTTTCAGTAAGTCTCAGAGCTCCTCAAAACATGTCGGTTAAGTTTCTTGTTCTAAATCCACTCTGATCCTGTATTGATCATGTCTATAAACCCCTCTATTTCAGTCCTGCTCAGAACAGGCTGTTTCTGTTCTGTAGCTTTAAATATGTAAATGAGCTGTGTCTGACCACGCCCCCTCTCTGGAAGGGCTTGAGTGGCTCTGGCTTTCTCGCTCCATGCCCTATTGTTTATGGTGAGAAGGCAGACTCAGAGGGCAGAACAAACACCTAGCTGTGGAGTGTCACCCACTTGGGGGAGGGGCTTCTGCCCTTTGTGATGTCATGAAGGGAAAATCTCCAAACGGCCTGTTTGAGCACACATTTTCTGAAAAGTGAAGCAGGCAAAAGACAGAGAGGATGGACTTTCTCATCATTGGGGGGTTTGTAGACAGACTAGAGAGACATATTAGTGTTAGAGAAACATGGTGAAGTATTTTGAATAATATGTGACCTTTAAGTGTAAATATTGGCCAAATGTCAGTATAAAGCCTAAATGAGCTGTATTTGGCGGCAGTAACCGATATCAGTCCAACCGTAGTTTACACGCCTCCAGACCATTGAAGTCCACGCCAAACAGACAGCGCGGAGTCTACTCGTCTCTTCCTGTGGTATCTGTGTATCACCACCCACTACTCTTCATTCAAACACAGACGGGAAGAAAATCAATGACAGACAGGAGACAAAACACTCGGCTGCTCTCCCAGAAACCATGACTCAGTGAGTTTTGGGAGAGCCAGACTGCAGACAAGCAGAGAGGAGACTCTTCTTCATGGAGGGAAAGCTGCTCTTCTTCGCAGAGATGACATCACTGACTCATTACGTGCCACACTACAAACAGAGTCCTCTTTTTTTATTGTACCAAAAGTGGAAAATATTATGAAATTGACTTTATATATATATATATATATATATATATATACACACACACACCTTACATGCCAAGAACTGTAAACATTACCTTTTCCCGTATATTTGTTTTCCTTTTTTTGTGCCTGAGACTTTACGCTAAGTATTTTATGTTCCTCTTTTTTTAACACTACTCAGTGCCCAGTTGAACGACTTTAAATGCAGCGTTTGGCAAGAACAAAAAAAAAAAAAAGCATCTGAACAAGGAAAACCCAAAGATCCTCCGAGGCTGATTTTAGAAGATAAGAGGAGGATGAGAGAGAGGTTGAGAGATTTTATTTTTGGCTTCCAGCAGGTTATTTATGACACTTTTATCTGGAGATGCTTTCGAGATCATATCTGGACTTTAACACTAGAGCTGCTGCCTTTGTCTTTTTAACAGGTAGAGCCAGTGTCATTTCTCAGTGCCAATAAGATGCCCTGTATGGATTGTATGTTTCTCATCATTTTTGCCTCGTATTTGAATACATGTTGATATTATTTCACACAGTGTTGTCATTAAAATACACATACCCACTGAGCATTAGGAACGGGCATTATTTTAAAGATTTATTATATAGTTACCTGTAAAATGATGCCTCTTAGCAACAGAGAACTTCATTCATTTCTCTTAAGTTCCCTCTTAAGCTGACCACACACTAGACCTGATTTGAGGCTGTGTGTGTGTGGTGTCACTACGATTATTGTCCCTCTCCCGATCTGGAGTCATAAAAATCAAACATGTTTGATATTTATGATTCCTGGTCGGACTGCCTTCGACCAAATACCCGCAATGAGAGCAAGCAGACCTGGAAGTGTCACCAACCACATTTTGCGTACTCTGACAACTCGCCCTCAGCCCGCACAGCAAATTAAATAAAGCTGCACAAAATCCGTCTTCTCAGCCAGGATGTCATCTCTGTTGTTTTTTTTAATTTCCTGTTTATATTTCACAGTAAAACTAAACACACAGCAGGACAGCCAGCTGACGGTGTCGGCTGTCCTTATTTTTTTTTTGATCAGACATTATGTTTAGCACATGTTTTTGTGAGATCTTGTGTCTGTGAAACCGTTACTACAAACAGCAGCTGTGTGGTCTCATGGTCTGGCTGAGTCGTCTACCCTTATGTCTGTTTTCTCCCATATTTTTAAAAACTGGTTAAGATTTGAAAATCGTCTAGTATGTGTCCAGCTTTGGTTAATACTAAGCAATGAAGCATGTAGCTGCCTATTGGTTGGCTGCAGCAACAACGGGCCAACCTCATGTCCTATGTAGAGGATCATGTAAGTCAGTGGGTTGTTATGGCACAGAGGGGTCTTTCTCACCCTCTCACTATAAATCATCCCGCTCATTACACGACTACTTACTTTTGAAACCAGTAACTTAACACAAACTAAAGATGTGGAAATTATTTTGTTGAGTTAAAAATGATTATTTCTTCTTCTAAACAAATGGTCACATGGAATCTATAGTTGGAGCTGTTTCCATAGCAACAGTTAACTCTGTAGCCCTCATACAAAGAGCTAACATAGCTGTTATTACTCACACTAAAGTGAACATTTCCACAGATGGTGAAGGCGATCAGATCTGCATGAATCAGTGCAGCACCTGATTTGAGTTTTTCTGCCTCGTCATGTTGGAGTCTGTTGACATTTTTCTTTCCCACTCAGCCGTTCTCTAACACAACTGTGGTCCTTCAACAACGTTCTCTCATGAGTTTACTTCATGTGCCATCTTTAGTTTAGCAGATTTCTCACTCACCGCCGGAGGTTTTTTACGCCTTTAATGCGCCGTTATCTGCTCATGTTTCTCTCACAAGTAAACAGACTGACAACAAACAACCTGGGCGGTTTTTTTACACAGATTGATATGATCACAGTTAGTCTCCAGAGCCTGTGATTACAGCCCGCTTCCATAGCAACCGTCTGCTTTTCTTAGTAACGTTGGTTGTGTTCTTTTTAACGACAGTGATCTATCGAGGGTAAGCAGGCTGTTGCCATGGCCAATCAGAATTGAGTATTTAACACAGCAATGTTATTCATCTCAACTATTTCTGCATTCATATCAATATTTGTAAATTGAAGAGCTGGGTACCAGAAAAGATCAAATGCAGGACCGTGATCTAAACACTCTTACCCGGTATGTGGCATCAGAATAAGCTGTGAGTATGTTCTATTCTTTTCTCTAGTCCTTGACTAAACATGACGTAAACACAGCTCTCACAACAACAGAGTCATGTAAGAGTCACGCTTCTCACTCATTGTAGACAGTCATGACTCAGAGACATCCACAGAGGATAGACTTGATGTGTAAAATGTTGCACATTCTTCCTCAAAAGGCATAAAAGATTTTTTTATTAGGACCTTTAAAACTAAATTTGTCGTGAGGGAGATTTAGCTTTCTTAATTTAACACAAAAAACATTACAAACACACAAAGTTCAAAGGATGTCCATACAAAATATAAACAAAACTTAATTTAAATCCAGTCATGACAAAGCACTTCAACAGACGCCCAATTAAAAGTAAAAATATCCTCGTGGTTGAAGTTGCATCATGTTGTGCCAGCTTTGTTAAGAAGTGCTACGTATAATAGCGGGTCCAGAAGTGTTTCTGTAGCGTTTAGTTCTCCCTCTAAGAGCGACGAAGCAGAAACTCACAATTTAAAGGAACAGTCATGAAGAAGAGCGCTCGCCTTCTGCTGTAAAGCACACAGATCTGACAGCTGGGGTCAAGCAAATACACCCAGCTCCTCACAGCTTTATGATGAAAGGAAACCAAACTATAAAACGTTTCATTACTGAAAGAATTGATCCGTTCATAGCCTCATTTATCCTGCTTCTGAGACACAGACAGAAACCTTCCCCAAAGCAAGCAGAGCAATCATTAACTTGGGATGAGCTCCTTTATTTCATCCTTATATCTTCCTCAAACAACCTTGTGAACATCCAGTGGTCGTCTATTAATTCAAACTTAGATAAAAGTATTTAATAAAGCCTGATCTATTGACTTTCTTATGATACATAAATGTACAGAAATGCTTCTTGATACAGTCGAATCGCTTCGTTTAACAAACTCAAACTGCTCATGTGAGGTTCACTTAAGTGAATCTGCATCGTTGTGTCCTCTCGACCTCGAAGCTGCTGTTTGAAAACATGAAGAGATTTGAGACCTCGATCAGTCCCTCAGTGAGTTGGTATTGAAGTTAACTTGAACAAAACAGGCTGCACAATGGGGCAGTGGTTAGTCCTGTTTCCACACAGCAAGAAGGTTCCTGGTTCAAATCCCTGTTGGACTGGAGTCTTAAAGTTCTCCCCCTGCATGCGTGGGTTCTCTCCATGCACTCCGGCTTCCTCCCAAACTCCAAAGACATGCTTGTTGGGTTAATTGGTGACTCTAAATTGCCCGTAGGTGTGAATGTTAGTGCGACTGGTTGTCTGTATATGTCAGGATGTGATTGACTGGTGAACAACACAGACACGTTTTCCCTTGTCTTGGAGTTGAGGTTCATAAACAACACCTATGCATAAACATGATTCATTTTCACCTCCCACATTATGAGTGATATTTATGAGGAAGACAGTCTGCTGAGGAGATGTAGCGTATGTGTGGTGGTCTTCATTAAGCTGAGTGTGAAACATGCAGCATAGTCTGGTTATCTGAGAGTGCACACCTTTCTGGGTTTATATATTAAATGAAATCAGAGGCATATTTTTTAATCGTAATTCCTTGAGGTGTTTATATGCATCAAAGGAAATAAAGTGCAAAAACTGAGCTCTACTTTGCTGCCCACACACTCTCAAACGGAGATTTATTAAACAGGAGTGAATGCTTTTTTTTTCTTTCATGAAAACTTTACAAATATTTTAATTCATCAGAACCTTAAAATGTTTTCTTACAATGTGTTTAAATTTTGAAAATTTCTCTCCATTTCTATTTTTCTATTAAATTTAAGGAAATTATTTTTTGGTTTGCTACATAAATGTCATGTTTGTATTACTTTGATATGTTTATTAAAAAATCTGAACCAAACCTGCAGCTAAAATACACTTTAGTTTATATATGCAACCTCTTTATGTCCCTACATATTCCACATGTCTCATTAAAAGTGTTTAAAATCCCTTCATGTTATTGTAGTCTTCATGTAATGACATTACAAGTAGAGCTCACAATGGAATATGTTTGGCCTGCAGCTATCAATTAATTTAACTTTTTTTTTTTTTTTAATTTTGGGGCTTTTTATGCCTTTAGAGAGATAGGAAAGTGGATAGTTAGAAATCACAGAGAAGTGAATTCTGCGAATGTGCACAAAAATATGTTAAAAGTTTGAGTCTAAATATTTGATTACCGTGGTTCACTATTCTGCGGCAGAGATGGTGTACTTATGTGCACACATGTAGATCTGTGTTTCAAAAACCATTGTAAGATTTAAAAGTGAAGTAAATTCATATATTTGAGTTAATCCATGTATTTAAGTTTGAAGTTAAAAATAAGTTAACATTTATACAGTGAACTATTTACATATTTGAGTTTACTTAAGTTAATATTGATATATTTACATGTGTTAATGTTTGCAGTAGCACCTAGTAACTGTGACCAAATTATATTGAATCTACTTCTGTGTTTGCCATAATGTTTGCCTTGAGTTTAATCATCCTAACCTCTGATTGGCTAACGACGGGACATGTGATGAGTAACAAGGAAGTGTTGTTGTTGTTGTGGAGGAGAACAATGTGGATGACAGTAAAGTGCTGCTGAGAAAGTTATCCGTCTCCATCCTTCTGTGATCCATCCACCACACATCGGACCCTCACGTTACACCATTAAAGTAGAATATCATCCCATTATTCAAGGGGCTTGCTCCTCGATCCCGTCGCCCCCGTGCTCCCACAACTCCCAGGTGGATCAAGCACAAGTAAAAAAAAACAGCATGTGGTTAAGGACTAATGGAAAGGAAGGAAATAGAGATCTTGAGGAGGAGCATCTCAATGCATCTGAGCGCTTACATAAGCAGTGAAGGTCATCCCCTCAGCATTACTGACAGTAAACACATGCTTGTTGACATATATGGATGAGCCGTTTCAGTCGACGAGAGAGAGTGTGGAATCACATGCAGGAAAGGAGCTACAGGTCAAGTTCGAACCCGGGCCCCCAGCTTGGAGGACTATGGCCTCCGTACGTGGGGCACACGCGCTAACCACATAAAGGGAACAAGATAATTACAGCATATTGGAGCACAATAACTTAAATATGATATAATTATTAATTATCCCTGCACTCAAGTTCACTTCATTTGTCTGTCTACTCGCCGTTATATTGAATAGTCTCTGCTGACAACATGTCTACACTCATGCACTTTAACTTATGTCAATACTGTCCATTTACCACTCTGTTTGTGCACATTTACATTCAATCTTTTCATATTTTAGACTAGTAATGCTTAGTTAAATCCTGGTTGTATATATTCTCATTCTTAGTTTTGATATTTTTAGTGCTTATTTACTTTGTATTTAATATTATATTGTGTTTCGATTTGCTAATATTGTGTTTTTTACTCATATTGTGTGTTGGATAAGTCATTCTATTCTATTGTATTTTAGAGGACATATTAGCCCCTTTTCCAACTTTTCAAACAGTCCCTTGTGGTCTATGAAACACGCTGTGCTTTGGTCAAAAAGCACAGCATGTTATAAGGGTAAAAAATATTGTGAACTCATCAGCAATGAGGAAAGTGTGACTATGAGACATTTTGAAGTCCAAATATCAAAAATTAAACGCTGTTTGTTGTTTTATATAAACGTCGAATTAAAGAGCAACTACAACATTAACTAAACATTATTTTGGTTGCAAAAACTGAAAGTAAATCATGGTTATGCCATTGGTGATGTGTGTGTCACTTTTTTTGGTTTTGGTCTGTTTTGTTTTGGGTTTGCGTGTGTGGGTTTTTTTATTTTTATTTTTATTTTTATTTATTTATTTATTTTTTAATGTGGGTTGCTTGTTTTTTTGTTGTTATATTTTTCAAATAAAAAAAAAAAAATGAATGCAAAAAAAAAAAAAAAAAAAGAGCAACTACAACTGAGCACAAATGTTTGAATAGGTTACCATTCACTCTTAATTTGCTGATATTAAAACTGAGTTTGTTGAGTGGTTTATTTCTGGATTGATTGGGAGTGTGTGTAGGCGTAGAAGAAGAAGAAGAACACTGCTGCTGCCTGCGTGGAGTTCCCGGATGGAGTATCGACGCCATCTTTACGCCAGTGCTGCCGGTGGGTCTTCGGTTCAGCCGTAGTGTTGCTGATCCACCAACAGGACTCAAGCCGAGGAGCAGCAGCCCGATCCCGAGAATCTTTCCCTTTTCCACCGGGACGCTAGGAGCAGCAGTCCCCCCCCCCTCCCTCCTTACACACCATGACGGACCGAACGGACCTAGTTTACCAGGCGAAACTCGCCGAGCAAGCGGAGAGATACGACGGTAAGTGTCCACATTAAGTACCCGTCGTTGCAGAGAGCCTGGCCCCCTCTTCTCCCACCCCCCACCTCCCCCCACCACCTCAGCGCGGGGGGCTCAGGTAAAGCAGTTCACATGGAAATGCTGGGGCAGGAGACAAAATGGCGGAGATACAGCAGAACGTTAACACCCAAAAGGACACGTTTTTTCATCCTCTTTACTTCTAATGTGTTGAACTGAGCTTTAATCTGCGTGTCCTCCTGCTCGGCAGCAGCTTTATAAGCTAACGCACCGCTCCCACTTGACGACGAAGAAGAAGAAGAAGACCGGTGTTACGTTGAGAAATGCATCCCTGACGAATTGCACGCACCTCGCAGGACAATTCCCAAAAAAATGTGGCAGACACCATTTTTCTACACTGCCGAAGTTTGTGTCCACCCCTTATGAAACGTGTTGGCATCGATTCTGCCAAATCATGCACCCACCCTTAAATTAACTCCACGGTCACTCTCTGTTTTTTTTTTGATAATATATCGTTTTCAAACACTTGGGCGACGTGCGAGCACATTCTCGACAGGGATGCATTTCTCCGCATAACACCGGTCCTGCCTTTGCAAACATAACAACGCCAATCGAAAGGTGACACATGATTTAAGTTTTAATGTATTAGACTAATTCAGTAATTTTATTGTTAATATCTGTTTGAGAGGGTCTATTTCGGGACAAAACGGCATTAAAGTTGATTTAAAAAAAAAAAAAAAAATGTTTTTAAACGGTAACCAGGGTGACACCATGATGTACGGTTGTAGCACCAATGATAAACCAGAAGAGGCGGGGCTTAGAGAATGGCTTCATGTGATTGTTTATTAAACAACAATCACGGTCAGAAGTTTTGCTTGAGCAAACTTTCCTTTACAGGCTAGAAGTCCTGTTACAGAAGTTTATATTAATTGAGGCTTTCTCAAGTAAATTTAGTTGTAAATTGAATTTCTTGTTTTGATTATTTAAAGAGCTCATATTCTGCTCTTTTTGGGGTTCGTATATTTAATCTGTGTTCCTACTTTTGTACGTTCATAATAGATAAAGTCCGAAAAAAGTGTCTGTTTTCATGAACTGCTCCTCCTTGCTCCCTCTACGCTCTGAGTCCGTCAGCTACACTCTGTTGAGCCCACACTGTTAGACCCCACGTGGGCCAAGTCTGCTCTGATTGGTCTGCCGATCCGCTCTGTCGTTATTGGTCAGTTGCTCAGCACGGTCTCGGAAATTTCAACATGAGCTGCAGGGCCACAACGAGCCAATGGGCTTAGATCAGTGACATCACACTGACAATGACGTCGCACTGACAAATTTTTATCGAGGGGGGCTAGAACCGAGCGTTACATGCAGCTAATGCTACAGCTAACAGGAGGACGTAGGAGAAGCCGCGTTTCCACAGACTTTGAATTTTTGCACATAGATGTGACTAAACATGCACAGGACACTTGGAAAATACACTAAAGAGCAAATAAAACCAGAAAAAGCCTAAGATGGGACCTTTAATAAATCATTATTTCAAAGCTTGGGTTCTTTTTTGACACTATTTGTCATTAAAATGACAGCGATGGCATCCTTTTTAAAACACCTGTTAAGTGTTGAATTATTGAGAATTTTACAGCCATATTACAATCAATAATAATGTCTTCAACATATGACCTAAAAGCATGTTATAGCTAGCGGTGAAAGTCATAGACAGTATGGTTTTTTGATGGTGGAGCCAACATGGCATCTTAAAGTGGTCAAAACATGTGCATGCTTTTTAGATTTTCAGCAAAGGACTCACAATTTCTTAAATGCCAAAAAAATATGTGAAATATTGCCAAGATTTGTCTTCTAGTCTCTTATATTTGTCAATGAAAATGGGGAAAAAAGAATCCATGTTTTTAAGTCCATTTGATTTCTTTTAATTCCTGTACGGTAAGTCCAAAAGGAAGTCCATATTCAGTTTATATATTATGACAGTCAAAGGAAACAGACAGTTTCTGCACTGAAGAGTTGGTGCTCTTTAGACTCTTGCATGTGAAATTGAGTTTTTAAGGAACTATCAATAATGGTTTGCTCTTTTTTTCCTGTCCATTAACTAGTCGTAGCATCTCTACTAAAGTGTGCACAGCTGCTCCCAGTGGCTCATCCTTTATTGTGTAACGTGTCAGAGCAAGACATTGACCAAACATGGCATCGCATCAATTTATGCCCATAAAACACATCGACTGTGTACACAAGGAGGCTACTGGTGAAGTACTGGGGAACAATATCTATAATAGGAAAAACAAATGGCAGGAGAGATGTTCTGCAGCCAAGTTTTAATATCAGGGCAATTTATCTCTCAGCACAAAGTCATTTTAACTCGGGTTGCCTTTTGTCTCTCGGTCATAGCAACACACCCTGCATACATGTGATTCCTCAATATCCTCTATTAGTAGTAAAGTTACCTTTTCAGAGAGTAGTCATAGACAATAGATTGATCAGTCACACAGCAGCATTTGTCAGTAAGCCCCAAAGGGAAATATCAGAAAAGAGAAACGTTGCTTTCAGACATTGAGAGGGTATAATAGGTTTCTTTTCAACAAGGACTGCTTCCTGTTTTGTCTGCAGACTCTCCCCCTAATTATGTTAAAATATAGCACTGACAGTTTACAAAATAGCAACATGGGTTGTTAACCTATCATTTGATTTAAGGAGTTCTCACATCTCCATTTGGCAGGGTGACTATAAGTTTTATAGTTGTATTTGGTCGATGATGCATGCTTCTGTTGTGTTATGAAGCTGTACACTGCACATAACTGCATTAGGTTTTGCTTGTGCTTCATCTGTAATCATTCTTTTCCAAGTGTCTGCAGACTACACGTGAAGCATGCTCTGGTTCGTTTAATGAAAATAATCCTATAAAATATGATCTGCCGTCATGATCTCTCCAGAGCTTTTAAATCCTCTCTTGGAGTCTTGCATAATTTGCAGCCTTTTGGAATCTAAAAAGTCTTTAATCTGTTTCTCAAACTGGACCTCCTGGATTTCATTTCATATCTCATCAAACCCATCTCCACCAATGCAGCCGTCTGGATTGTTGTATTGCAGGGCTGAACAGCTGCTCTTATATTAACCATGTTTGGACGCAAATCAGTAATAAAGGAGGTTTTTGTTGCCATCCACTTGTTACGATGTGCTTTTTCATTTTGCGCAAAAACAACAAAAACCCCAAACCAGATGTAAACTATCTGTAAAGGACGTTTGACTGCTTGGCTGAGCTGGAAATGTTGTCCCATGGATAGAGAGAAAATATAATAAAGGCTGATTGTAGTATTAAGGACCAGCTTCTTTGTCCTAAAATACCCCTCCCCCACCCAAAAAACCCTCAACAACAGACATGTCATGGACAGTGTCCTGTATTGTAGGATCCAAAGCCATGTATTGTAACCTAGTTTAAGTGTGGTCAGAAACACCCTTTGCATGTTACATCCCCTTAGAAATGAGCTGCAAGCTGAATATGGGACATGGCTGCAAATTTACATCAAATACATTTTCACTTTGATTTGATTGCACACACGTTTTCAGTAAGGATTCATTGGTTTGACCTACTGTTTTAAACTTCTATGCAGTTATCATCTGGTTATTTTCTTTTCCACGGCAGTAATTGAACATATTTGGGTTGTTTACAAAACATGACGTTTGAGAATGTTGTCTTTGGCTTTTGTAGACATGTATTAACATTTTTTTTTTTTTTTTACCAATATCAGTTTTAAGTAGATTAAACTACTCATCATGATAAACCTGTAATGACATATGGTTCAAAATCATAGCTCCAAGTGTAAGGAGATATGAAAATGTTAGTTATTGACTCTGATTTTATTGTGTTAAAGAGCAAAGCTTTTTATAGCATGGCCCACACAGAGAGCAGCTTTTAAGATTGACTGTAACATCCTTTTGTAGCAACCCTAGAAGTTGGTTTCCATATGGGGGTTAGAGAGTTGCAAAGTAGAAGGAGCTATTTTAGGGATTCCTGGTTCAGGAAGTAAAAGTCTCGTTTGTTTCTCCTGAAGACATTCTAACTGGATTCACAGTGAGAGCACTTTATCAGCGAAGGTCAGCAGGAAACTCTTTAATCGTCCATATAAAACATTAACAGCTCCCTTCTGGTTCTCTGATTAAAAAATGTGAGGGTTGAGGCCTGTGTGCGTGAAAACTACAACACCCAAAGTGCACCGAAAGAAGGGCAAGAAACATCCCATTACCAAGCCTTAAAAAAATGATACCTCCGTCACTAATGGTACTTAAGATAATGTTAAAGAGAGATGAAAACACTATCTGCAGCTTAAATCTATTTGATTTAACCTTTAAAATTTAGATCAGTTCAGTACTACACAACAATGAAAAGCCTAGTCTCCATGGTAACAGCAGCAAAGGGGCATGCATGTTGTAGTTTTAGCAACTCGTCCACCCATTGCCTCAATTACAGCCAAAACACATCTCAAACACAAAGTTAGGATAGAAAAAACTATTAGCAAGATATTAAACCTGTGTGTTATCTCTTCAGGTTTATATGTTTGGTAACACTGTCAGTGTTATTACAAATAAAACATTTTACAACCATAAGCAGCTGCCACTCGTACCTCGAGACCCCTTTGAAGCCTAGAAAGGGCGCAACAATATTTGTTTCCCATATGCCAGTTGCAACCAGTTTTAAGAAATTGGCAACCAGTTGGTGTTGGAGCAGCTGTGGCTCAATTGTTAGAGTCGATCGTCGCTCATCCGGAACATCGGGGTTCGATCCCCAGCCCCTGCAGTAACATGTCCAATGTGTCCTTGTGCAAGACACTTAACCCCAAGTTGCTTCTTCTGCTTCATTAGCGGTGTATGAATGTGATTAGTTACTTCTCATGGTCACTTTACAAAGCAGCCTCTACCGTCAGTGTGTGAATGTGTAGGTGTGACATACTGTTCAAAAAGCCTTTTGAGTGATCAGAAGACTAGAAAAGCGCTATACAAGCTCAAATCTAGTTACCATTTAGTGTAACATAAAAAATGGAAAACAAATGTATAGAATAATAACTTGAGTGATCAGGAACATATGAATGTAATCTGATTCAACAAGCAGCTACCTGTAACAACAACCACACTACAGATATTTAAAGAAGAGAAATTGAAAATATTTTGTTGCATTATTTTGAGTGTTAAAACATTTGTACATTATGTTTGTGTAAAATAGCATACAAGGCGACTGAAAGAGTATACCGTATTTCCAGCCTGTCATCCCGACTAAACGGTGAGTGTTAAGCTGTGCCGAGTTTCTTTCAGCCAGGCGCTGTCAGTTCATTCGCCAAACCTTAAAAAGCTGAGAAAGACTTTAAAAAGCACCGCGAGGTCATTAGGGTTTATTTGAGAGCAGGTCGGGCTGCAGGGTTTAGTGATCAAAGCCAGCACAGTGCTCCTCCTGGCTTCCACCACTGTGTATCAGGTTTCTCCAGCATGCTGCATTGAGCCCTGCTATTGGCTTCTGCAGATAACACCACCCTGTCTGGGAAGTTAAAAAACCGAATGATTGACGCACTGCTCTTACCTCCAGGCTAGCAGCTTTAACATGAGAGGTGTGACATGTCTGCAGCTTACACCTCTGCTTGTTTTAACAACTAAAAATAAAGATAATAATAGCCTTTCATTTGCCCACCACACGTTATGTTATTATGCAATGTTGCATTTTCATATTCAGCTTATGAGTGTAATATTTGGATTTATGTTTTGTCCAGGTTATCCATACATGACGTGAAATGTATCACTGACAGTTGCAGAACCAGTTAATTATATTCCATAGTTTCTGTTTCTGCATGTCTCCTTGAACTCCTCCTTGTTACTCGATAGAAGAGGCTCCATACTATGTCTTGTTTTATCTCAGTCTCCATGGCAACGGTTTGTTGTGCTGATTAGTCACTCCTTCATAGTGGTGAATTGTTGTCGTCGCCAATTGATCCCTTGATTCTATATTCATTCCTCACGCAGAGACAAAGCGTAAAAAAAGAGAGGTCTCATTAGTTCCATGTCAGCTCTGTGCTTTGTTAACCTTGAACACTTCCCCTCGTCTCACTACTCATGCCAATAAGAGGTGAATCTATGCATTAGAGGAGTTATTGTTTGGTGCAGAAGATCTAAAGCCTCGCTCACACTGCAGGAGTTTTAAAATCCTTCCTGATTTTGAAAGCAGGTAGCATCATCCACATCAGGAGAATCTTTACAGATATTCTTCTCCATGAGCTCAAACATGCTCACACTGCAAGATATGAAAATAATCACAACACACCACCTCACATGACCTCACAAACAATGGAGCTGGCCGTTACATTTTTGACTGTAATGCTCTGTGTAGAGAGGAAAGACATTTAAAAAAAACAAACAAGTTTTGTGGGGAGATAAGTCTGGAGAGACGCAGACAACATTGGTTGTGTATCCTTTAGCAAGAGCTGGAGGTCAGATTGTAACTGTCAGATGCATACATGTGTCTGTCTGTGCATCTTGCCCCTGTTCCTCACTACTGTCCACTTATTACTGCCCTCCCTTGTCTCTCGTGGTTATTGTAGTCACACATGACTTCTGCCTGACCCTTTCATGATAACCGTCAAGATTTTAAATCCTAAATATCAAACATGTTTTGTATAACTCAGGGTGTTCCCAACGATCTCCGAGTAGATCAGAGATGTTAAGATTGGATCGTTATGCCACTCGCACTACGAGATAATCTGGGAAGATAATCGGTTCCGAGCAGCCTCGAGTCGGGACCACCCCTAATGTCAGGGGCGGTCTGCCTGTAAATTTATATTAATGTGAATACTGCATGTGTGAAAATGGCTTCTGAGAAGCTGGTAGCTCATGTCATTTGTTTCCCCGTCTCCCAGAAATGGTGGAGTCGATGAAGAACGTGGCCAGTATGGACGTGGAGCTGTCGGTGGAGGAGAGGAACCTGCTGTCTGTAGCGTACAAGAACGTGATCGGAGCCAGGAGAGCCTCCTGGAGGATAATCAGCAGCCTCGAACAGAAAGAAGAAAACAAAGGCGGAGAGGACAAACTAAAGATGATCCGAGAATACAGGAAAACGGTGAGAAGCTGATATTGTCCCAAATCTACAGAGCTGTTGCTAGAATAGATTTTAAGCAGTGTCCTATGTTTCTTTATACTTTTCTGTGCACAACACATTCCTCTCTTTGTACAAATGTACTAATTCAGAGACTAGCTTTAATGCAAACTACAGAGAAACATTGATGATATTTAAATTTTCCTCAACACTTCAATTTGATGTTTTTTTTTACCACTTTAATGAAAAGTTGCAGAGAACCTAAAACCCTTTTTAGTCTTTTTCTGCACATTTGAGCCATGTTAAATTGAAGTAGTGAAACCACATTACACAGCTGCACTCCTTCTGTGGTGTCTGTAACAGATTCTGACAAAACATTAACAGTCATCTGTTATTTTAAGGCAATGTGTGGATTTTATCTGTGTTGGTTTGATTTATCTTTGAGGGAAACTGGAGCAGGAAGTGGTCACTTTTAGTCCTGTTACAATCATGTTCCCAAAGTACAGCATATAAGTCGCACCTTTATAGAAGACGAGTCTGTTTTGGAGAGTTTCTGATCGAGAAAAAAGGTTTAAACTGAGTACCTGCATGACGATTTCTATTGGGTTCAGCGAAGTCCAAAACATGCAGTTATATATGTACAGTAGTTCAGTTCAGGAGTTGCGCAGCCCACCTTTTGCTGGGCACTCGTAAACTTTCATATAGGAGTCTTCCAATCGAAAAGCCCTCCACATGTTTTACTTACTGAACAATATACCATTGTTTGCTTTAAATGTATGATCATGACCTCGTGAGCAAGAAAAGATGTTCAAAAGTGGCGCCGCCAGCCTGGTTTGCGTTGCTATGCTCGGTGTCCCAGCACAGCTTGCGATACACAATGAATGGGGATGATTTTTCAGTTGCGTCAGTGGGGGATGTTGGCGGCTGCATTTCGGTAATGACAGTGCCTGTGTCAGCATTTTTATACTGGTATGTTGGTCGCACCGGTACAAAGGACGCAGCCAACGTTTAAGATGAAAAATAGGTTCCTACAGTGAGTCGTATACACCAGATTTTACATTAATCTTTCATTAATCAAATATCAGACAAAGAGGAGAATCTCCAGTGGATTGAAGTGAAACTATTTGAAGTTGCTACCCTCCTTGTTTCTTTCACGGACAGAGGTGAGGTTTGACCCTTTAGGAAATCTACTTTCCATATCCAGTAGGCGAGATGCCAGAGAAGCTTTAGTCTCTTTGGCAGCACTTTTTAAAACTCTCCTCCACTGACCTCTCCACTGTGAGACGGAGACACAGGGAGATTTCACATCCCACCAACACTCTTGTCCGAGGGAAATAATGAGGCAGGCAGCAACCATGAGTCAGCTTTTAATCAATTTTTCTCTACTTCTGCCGCAGACCAGCTACCAGGCACTGGTGGCACCACTGTGTTGATTCAGTGAGGGGAGAGATTTCTTATGTAGGATAATAGATGTTTCCTGCAGCTCAGTGTTTGAAGGTTGTTTTTTTTATACCCTAAATGACACCCACATATTGGAATTGTTGCTGAGACTTTCTGCTTTTATTTCTTTGTTTCTCAAGGTTTGTCCAGAGACTTGGCACTTTAATTATTATATGCAAGAACTCCGTCATTGACCAGAAGATATTTATATCCCAGTTACTGTATATTAGGGCTGCACAATCAATCCCAAAGGCATTTTAATCGCAATATGAGCTTTCGCAATATATTTACATTGCAAGAGTTTGAATTTATCGGGGCACCAGTGGCCGAGTGGTTAGGGTGTGCGCCCCATATGCTGAGGCTACAGTCCTCAAAGCGGGCAGCCCAGGTTTGCATCCAGCCTGTGGCTCCTTCACCGCATGTCGTTCCTCGCTCTCTCATCTTTGGTCATCTTTCAAACCAAAATCTATCCCCAGCCAAAGAGAGAGTTATTGTATTTGTGCTATTTGCAGGATGTATAGAAGTTTACCTGCAACTTAAATTCAAGAAGTTTCCCAATATTGGCTGCCTTGAGAATCTCTTATTGTTGCTGCTGTATCAGAACAGTCATCAAAATCATCATATCGAAGCTTTAGATTCTGGTATCATGACAACCCTACTTCTACTAAGAAGACATTTGAACTCTTAATGACGTATTTTAAGATAGCTGTCTAATCGAACTTTTCCAAACGGCTCATTTCGATATGAAAATAAAGGTTCAGATGACTCCTCAGCTGGGTTAAGGCGGGATCCTTAGAGAGCTGGCGTCCACATTGTGATGGTTGAAGTGTCTGATTTCGACTGCTGACATCGTCTGCCTCCTCTGTGATACAGTCATCCATGGCGACTGCCAGCTTTTAAAATAATGTTTCCGTGGTGGTCGACAGGATATTAGAGAGTATGATCAATACTTGGAACAAAAGAAGAAGTATTGATGTTTTTTTAATTAGTGACTGTTAGTTTCAACACTTTGACTCTAATATTTGATGTTGAATGTAAGCTGAGTGCAGTGACGTGCAATGGCTTTGAACTGCATCCAAACTTTTATTTCTACTAAAATGTGGGCATGCACATCACTTCTTCCGGTGCTGAGTCATAAACCACTGGATATGATGCACAAGACTCGCATCACCAGGCCTCCCAAAGATATACTTATACATTAAAGAACACAACATTCATCCCGACCAGGCTCTTCATCAGCTGCTGTATGACAGTCCAGTCTGGCTCCTTCATTTTTAATACCCATACTAAGTGAGACTCAGCCCCTTCAAGGTTATGTGTGACCCCCCACCCCCAGACCACTGACGGCACTGTTTATGTTGTTTTCTTATCCCCCAGGTTGAGAAAGAGCTGAAATCAATCTGCAACGACATCCTGGATGTACTGGACAAGCACCTCATCTTAGCTGCAGTCACGGGAGAGTCTAAGGTTTTCTACTACAAAATGTAAGTATCTAACACTTCCTGTTTATTTGAATCACTGTTTAATAAATAAATAAAGGTATCAGTGAGGATTCAATATGGTGGCTTGAGAGTGAAAGCTGTTCCTTAAGCAGCTCCTTATGCACCGACAACGTAAAGGCCTTGAAGAGCAAAGATGCCTTTAGTGGTGCATTCATGTCTTCCTGGAAAATGTATTATCTCCCGCACAGATTGACGCTACAGAAAATAAAGTGGCTGTGTCAACCAGGACTGCTTTAAAAATAAATAATTCACATATTCCATCAACTTTCCACAAGATGAAACGTCACTATCACTACACAAGAAACATTTGACCAACTATTGTTTGACTGTCAGTCCATCTGGGTGTCTTTGAAAAAGCTCCACACTACATGAACATTTAAAAAGAATAAACCCCCCTCCTCACCCTGTGTTACCTTATTTCACTATGCTAAGTCAGCTTGGATGGCCAATCAGATTTCAAGGGGGCCCAGGTCACCCATTCAGTCACGTCCCAGTGGTTCCACCATCAGATCTCAAGACTCAGGACTCTGGTCATCGTCCTAAGTGAGGGAAACCTTAATGATTTTGAGGATTAAATAAAGGTTGATGATGAAATAATGCTGACTAATGCCCACTGCAGTTTGAATAAAACTCAGTCTTTGTTGTTATCTCAGCTGAGTTCAGTCTGTGATTATTTCAATCTAAAACCTTCTTTTTATGTCTGATTCTCCAGACTTTTATTCTCTCTCATAAAGCCCATCGTAGTCTTTTGTCTCCGCTTCCACAAATCACAGCGGGGATCTTTGTTCTCTCGGCTCACTGCTCTCTGAGCTGTAGATGCTGTTCTGCCTCCAAGAGTTGTTCGTGTGATGTATGATTCCTCTCCTCAGCAGGCTCCGTCTCTCTTCAGCTGTAAAAGACTGACTGTGCAGCGTGTAGTGAACAGCTTCCCTTTAGATTTTAATTTAACATTATATGAAGTTAAAGTCCGAACATTAAACACTTTTATATAGAGGTGTCATAGAGCAGGGGGTAACTGGTGTGTGTGTGTGTGTGTGTGTCCCTTTCTCTCTCCTTTCTCTGCCTGTCTCTCTCTCTTTGTGTGTATGTGTCTCCCTCCCTGTCTCTCTCTTTATGTGTGTGTGTCTCTCACTCTCCCTGTCTTTCTCTCTCTCTCTCTTTGTGTGTGTGTCTCTCACTTTCCCTGTCTCTCTCTCTTTTTATGTGTGTGTGTCTCTCACTCTCTCTCTCTTTTTAAGTTGTGACAGATAGTTCAGCTAACCCTAACAAATAATGTCACACATTTATAATTGATCTTTGTTTGAGACTCTGAAAGAGGCCGGGATTCAAACATTAAAAATATTAACATTGTATTGGTTTTGTATGTCGATGCATTGTTCAGGTCTGATTCAACGTTTTGTTCCAGGCTCTAAACTCTCATCGTAAAGTTTGCACTGCACACGTGTTGAGCTTGACGCTGTGCTGTCTTTCCCTGTGCTCAGGAAGGGAGATTACCACCGGTACCTGGCAGAGTTTGCCACAGGCAACGACAGGAAGGAGGCAGCAGAGAACAGTTTGGTTGCGTACAAAGCTGCTAGCGACATCGCCATGATCGAACTCCCTCCAACGCACCCCATTCGCCTGGGACTGGCCCTTAACTTTTCAGTTTTCTATTATGAAATCCTCAACTCGCCAGACCGCGCCTGCGGGTAGGTGTGATCGTTGACTTGTTTAACTGGTATACATTTGTGATGTCACTGCTGCAGACACTCCCCCAAAATGTTGTAGAAACACTCAAATGTACAAAAATCTCTTTTCTGACTTTAATTTGGTGAAGGCCGGGCTTTCCTTCCTTTGTATTGGGATGTTCTTCAGGGTATTCCCACATGTGCATTTGAGGTAATCAGTGTTAATCAGATCATAAAACAATGGGAGTAATGTAACAGGGTTTATTCATGTTGGCAGAATCCTGGAGATAAACTTCTTAACTCTTTTTTTAGCTCCTTTGAGCCTCGTCGTTTTTGTCCTTTTGCCTCCTCATTTTGTGTCATGAACCGTCAGCTGTTCTCAGAGAGAGAGAGAGAGAGAGAGAGAGAGAGAGCTCTGATAAAATGACTGTGCTCTTTTGCCCAGTGCCAAACAGGAGACAGAAAAGGTCAAACCAGTTGCAGGGGGACATAGTCAAGAATTTAGAAGGGGGGGGAGTATTTTCTTCTCAGCAGGCACTGGGAAGCAAACTGAAACTAAAAAGAGGATTACGATTAGACTCACCTGTTTTTTTTATTTTTAAGAAGAGGTCTTTTGGAACTCAATCGACCACTTCAACCCTCCTATAGAGCGCCACGTTAAGCTAGTTAATGGCGATCTACACGGGCTGGGTGAGGTGCTTTGAGTTTGACAAAAATCTAATTCAATGACTTGTGCACTAAGGAGGGGAGATTGATCAGGGGTTTGTTTCCGTTAATGCAATATGAGCATCGCAATGAACACATGGGGCAAGTCTGAAATTATCACAATAAATAAAAAAACACTTATCTAGTCAAACAATGCTTTCTCACGCAGCAAGTTTACATTATAACTGTTTAACGGGGGCCTGTGTATAATGTTCTTGTGTTCACACTGTTTGGATGCAGTGCATGAAGATAAAGCGAAGTATCGGCTACTCTCAGATTAACAAATGCAAATTTAGTTGAGGGGAAAAGAACAGTTTATTCATTTTTGGATTAAGAGGGAAATGTTGCAAACAAACTTATTCTGTAAAACATGAACAGCAGAAACTGTGAGGGAAAGATAATATGCATTTCTATTTTTTGTTGATTCATCACAATGCATCGTTAGAGCAATAAGTCACAATCTTATTGCATATTGCACATTTTTCTCATATCGTGCTGGCCTGTTAGGCACAACAGAAACTGATCAAGTATTCAGACATTTAATAAATCTAAGAAATATTGAATAGAATAGATTATTAGATCAAGGTTAAATAAAAATGAGAACAGAAAACTGAATCAAATACAGGATACCTCTGAGAGTGGATATACATATAATTAAACCATACACTTATAAAAAGAAAACGTTGGACTAAATCATAATCATGACTGAAATGCGTTTCTGTCTAACCTAAAATGACAGCCACATGTTGAAACTTTTCCTTTGAACTTTAGCTTAAATCCCACATTAAAGGAAACTTTGTGTCCCAGCTGTTGGCTTAGATGCTGCAGGGTGTCTGTTACGTGATTCACAGGAACGCCACTTCTTAAAAAAGAAGGAACAGATGATTAATTTCTCTCCCGACACATTAACCCCACGGCCTCTGAGCTGGATTTTTATAACCGCATCAAAAACAGACTCATGAAAATCATTAAAAACTTCACTATGTTCTGCAGCGTTCGGTTACTTTATTCCCACCTGTTTGTAACTGTGTGGCTCTCTCTCTGCTCACAGCTTGGCCAAGGTGGCGTTTGACAACGCCATTGCAGAACTGGACACGCTGAGCGAGGAGAGCTATAAGGACTCAACACTTATCATGCAGTTGCTACGTGACAACTTGACACTATGGACCTCAGACGTGCAGGGAGACGGTGAGAGATCATTTCCTTTCTCTAACAGAAGCTCTGAGCATCAGGCCTGATTGAGTCTTTGTTGTTGGTACTCAGTGATGATTTGCTTTCTCACTATAGCTCTCATTTCTTTTCATCATCAACTTGCTTCTGACAGATCTTACAGCTGATTCGTTGCTTCAGGCCCTTGATTGGCCAAAGTTGCAGCATCTTGTCTGGTCAGCACAAAAAATAAACGTTGAAGGATTAGAGGCTTCAATAATATATTTTTCTTATCAATACACATTTTGTTATCCCTCAAAACTGAACCCTCAGATGTTCCAGCTTAAAAAAAACTGCTGAATTTCCAACAGTGCTCGTTCTGACTGATGTTTCTCTCTCTACTAGCATCATGTTGTTGTTTGCCATTTTTAGGCGATAAATACCAAAATCAGACCTTTTTTTTTTGCCGGTCTAAAACAGCACTGCAGCCATAATTTATTCATGGTTTACTTTTATGCAGGATACGGTTTTGAAGCAGGAATAAAATATTACCAGACTTAAGAGATATGACACTAATTCAGGCCACAGATAGGTCTAAGGGCGTTTTCACACCTAGAGTTCTGGTCTGAATCATGGTCCAATTTGTAACCTCAAGTTTGTCTGTGTTCACATGGGGACATTTAAAGGCGGATCAATATGAGTGATGCACATGGATAATGCTCTCTGATTGGTCCGAATTTCTTGCAGGAAAAATTAGGTAGATATAAACGACTTGTCGACTCCTGCCTGGCTGGAGCTGCTCCAAAGACACTTTACAATTTCTAAATGGACAGACAACTCTATGGATTAGTGTCGGCTCTGCTCACCGTTTTTATGATGTTTACATTTATCACTGTAGGTAAACAATGCAGATTGGAAACGCGGTGCAACTACTCTAAATATGTACTGGAGTGGCTAATCAAGACAGTTTAGAAGGCGGCGGCGCGGCTTAATCCAAGCGAGTAGATTTCTGTATTCTTGTGTTGAAATGTCTCTATGAGCAACTGCTCCTCCTCCACGAGTCAACATCTGTCCACGATGCATCATGCTGCTGTTGTAGTTAAAGGCTAATCCTACCCATAATGCACTAGGCAACTGGCTGCTGTTTTGCTTTTATTGGATAGGACAGCTGAAGAGAGACAGGAAATGTTGGCATGAGAGAGTGGGCGATGATGTGCAGCAAAGGGCAGAGGTCAGATTGGAACCCACAGCCTGCTGCAATGAGAACTGTAGCCTCTGTACATCGGGCGCGCATCATAACCACTAGGCCGTCCAGCACCCCAAAATAAAGTGGTCCCAGTACGGTTCTTTGGTGCACACCAGGGTTCGATGGACAGCTTTCACACCATCGCAAATGAATCACACTATCTTGGCAAACGGACTCCAGTTTGTTTTGACCGAACAAACAGGTTAGGTGTCATCGGATCCTGTGTTTCGAGCTGAACAAGTAGCATTTCTGACACGGGAGGGAAGAGGACCAACTCTTTGATAAATAGTCAAGAAGGTTTCAGAAATATTCTTTGTGTTTAGGATGATGCATAAGAAAGTGTTTCTAGAGTACAGTTTAGAAAAAGCTAACATCTTCTCTATCTCTCCCATCATCATGGTGGTTTCTCTCTTTGGTTCCTCTCTCAGCCTCGGCTCTCACTCACTGCTCTAATCACCTCTCATCTCTCCCTCGCTCCTCTCCAGAGTCTTAAGGACCGCCCTCTTCCTTCACTCTTCCTCCATTGTAGAAGTGTATTTTGTAAGTCATTCCTCCTGTCTTTGGATTGTCCACCTCTAACTATCACTCCTGTCTCAGTCTCACCACCCTGACACTCCTCACTAACCTCCTCACATGACTGAATGAGTTTGTTTGAGAGATGTCGTTTGCTTTTTGCCCTCAAGCTCTGAAGGATAACTGAAATGTCTTTAAACGTTTTCTTCTACTTCTCACCTGATCTTCGCCTTCCTTTGCACATGTAGAAGTAGAGTGCTGAGCGATTTTAAAGTCGTCAGGGTGGTCGCAAGCTGGTCAAAGCATACATTTTGCACGGTTGTATTTATATTCCCCCAGAACTACAGGTTCTGAAATACTTTCATATGACGAGCTATGACAGAAGGACACTTTTACTTTACACACGTTTCTGACAATTAGGGTTGTCATTTTTATGTCAAAGTTCAAACATTAATTTCTCAAACCTGGGGGAGAAAGTTCACATTCAAACGCTGATAGATTTACAGTCTCATCAGCCATCAGGCCGTCTAAAGTAGTTTGCAGTTTGACCCAGCAGAGGGCGCTCTCAGCGTAACTTGAACACAGCACGCACTCTTGACCTCGGTAAATGTAGACCGTATTGTTGTGGCAAAAGCAACGGGGACGTTATTCAGGAGATGCAAACTCGTCTCTGCAGACTGCAGCCCACTGATTCGGTGGAGAGACACCGGATCGCTACATACCAACAAATATTTGTGTTTACCGCGATCGTCTGCACGCTCTGAGTGATCTCGTCAGTGGATAATATTGTGAATAAAAACAGAGCTGCACTCGATCCCGATCACGATCACTTGTGTTCTATAATATGATTAAAGTCTTCCCCTTTAAACTCGTACCTTTAACATGTAGCAGGTCTCAGTCTGCCGTTAACAAGAGGCTGTTGTGGTCAACAGAGATATTATATAATGATATTTCATTTTGTTAAATATTTACAGAACTTGTCCGCACAATTGTTTTTTTTATATATATAGATTTTTGTTGATTTTTCACCATTACAAAGATCGTTTAACACCCTAGTGCTCTGACATTCACAGCAGTAGCAATAGGAATAAATTACAAATTAAATTAAATCAGGAACAGGCAAACAAACAACACAAAAAAAACAGCCATCATCTAATGTAACAGAAGCAGATGATTGTTAATCTTTAAAACATGTTGTCATCTTTTTAAGCGCGGTTGAGATCCAGGACCGACATTTATATATTTAGTATTTTTGATTCTTTCTTTTTTTGAGGGTTTTTTATCGATCTTGTAAAATAAATGGCAAAAGAAAGAAGGAATAACAGGGAACAAACGTCTGCTCCTTCATAAATTAAAAAAACCTTCACGTGAGTGAATGATTAAAATGAAAATATTAGCAGAAATGTGTGAGAACTGTTTTCACCATGATTCATCTAGCTGTGATTGTTTTAGCCCCTGTGGCGGACTTGGACATCGTGCTAACACCCAGCTCCTCCTCGGTGCCCGTCAGTCCCTCCTCACCCAGCAGGTGGTGTCTGGGTGAAGCAGAGAGAGTTTTAAACGTGTGAGCGTAGCTTGTTGAAGTGTGATTATGAACGGACAGAAGCAGCCTGTGACGCCGCCGCTGCTGCTGCGTCTCCTGTGGCTCCCCCCCTCTCCTTCCACATCCCAGTTAGCTGTGGTGCTAATGAGCACTGTTACGCTTTCTATTTTCATCATGACGGATTCTCAGCCTTTTGTTACCCGCGCCTCTTAATTCTTCATTACACGGATGGCTGTGCTGTCTCCGTGGTAACCTTTCCAAGCAACCAGCCGCACAGGTTTCACATTTTAGCCCTTCCACTAAATCTGTCCAGAGCTTGTTGTGAGTTGACTTGAGCTCACCGGACCGCATGTTGACTCAGTCTGTTTAAACACTGCAGCTTGTCTATGAATGTCGATGATATTTGTCATGTGATTCACTCACTAACGTGTTTGTGAGCTGAGCTTTACCACCTCTCAGACACACAGTCGTACACGCCTCGTTCAGCCATGTTTGTTCTGCAGAATTTAAGTTTACCTCTTTTTATGAAATTAGCATGAAAGCATGAAATGACGGCTCAGATCTTTATTTAAGTTCCTGTTCTCTAAACAAAGAAAGGGGACTTTCACATCCTGTGGTCTTCCTAATCTTAATAAGAACTCCCTCAGCACCTTTACCTTACCTTTGAGCTCAGTGTGGATTCTTTTTATTTCCTTCTCCTCACATTAACACTGTAGTACCGTACATACTAATTCTAACTCTAAGGCTGCAGGATATGGTGAAATAACATGTTTGAGTTTAATTTCTTACAGGTATTAAAATGAGAGTAAAACTAACATCTGTCTTCTCGGAGAACTCGAGGGACAAACTCCTATCGTTGTCCTTTGCAGAGAGCAACACTGCACACTGCACACAGCGTCACATCATGTCAGGAAAACAAAGATGGATCTGATGTTTAGCATTCAAGACTTCTAGTGATGAAAGATAAAACAGACAACTCAGTCTCACATGTCTTTTTCGATTCTCTGGGTTTTTGAAATGTTCAAAATTCAAAACAAAAACAACCAGAATTAACATTTTTAGACATGAGCAAAATGACAATCTTTGCATTTTTTTTTTGACAACCCCTATGATAATGTGACTTTTCTTGTAGTTGGTGCCAAATTAAAAACACTTTCCTAAAAATGGAGAACTAGGATACATCATCAAATCTTCAGTACTTCATCATTATGCTGTTACATTTAAAGGTACAGACACAGAAACAGCCTGTTCTGAGCAGGGCTGAAATAGAGGGGTTTATAGCCATGATCAAACACAGGATCAGAGTGGATTTAGAACAAGAAACTTCATACACATGTTTCGAGGAGCTCTGAGACTTATTTAAACTGGTTGAAAAGGAGAAGAACATGTGACCTTCAAAAGTCTAGTATCGGGACAAACCAAACTCAACTCAAACCAAACAGATAAAAAACCAAAAACTCTTAATTTCTTGTCATACATCTCAAAGAAAATCCTCCCTGTTTACATGCTACAAACCGCATCTGTGTGACGTTTGTATTTACAACAAGATAAATAATCGATTATCTGTCATTGCACTTTTCTGAATCATAACGAGCCCTCTTGTATTAGCCTGAAATAACTCACAGTTTGTTCTAACAGCAAGAGAAAGGCATCATGCTCATCTGTAACTGTTACTAAACTCTCTTTATAATCGACGTAGTTGAAGCCGGTTCATCTGTTCATAATGGTATGAAGATTCCTCCTGCATCCTCCATAACTGTTCCCTGTTCCTGTCGTTTCTCTCTCAGGTGAAGAACAGAACAAAGAAGTACTGCAAGATGCGGGGGAAGAGAACCAGTGAGACCGAACAACACGAGACAAGCCCTCCTCCTACTACTACTCCTCTTCTTCTTCTTCCTCCTCCATTATTTCTCTCCTCCCAGCACTAGCTCCTTTCCCCAGCCACACTTCTCTGCTGGGTTTATCCTGCAGCTCACTCTCTCCCGTTTCTTACCTTCTCCTTTTCGTATGCACGTCCTCTCCCGGGTCTCCATCTCCACTCCTCTCCGGGGTTTTACCTTTATTTTTTTGCAAGCCCCCTGTACCCTTTAAGGTTCCTGTCCTCTCTTTTTACGTTTTTTATTTTCGCTTTACTTTGCTGTGTCATCTGTTGCCAAGTACGTTCAGCCTGTATTTGTAACACACACATATGCAAGAGTTTATTTAAAGATGATTCTTTGCTGTTTTTTCAGGTATGTGTGTTTATGAACAGTTTTCTTGTCCATTGCTTTAGTCGGTTTAAAACATTTCTGTTTTGCAAATTACGGAGGTCGAGCAGTGATGGGAGGTTCAAAAGGGATGCATTTAAAGCTTTTTAGGAAGAAACTAAGTGCCCTCTTTATCTTTACTTTGTGGTTACCGAAACCTGCTCCGTCGACACATCATCTGCGTTCTTTTTTTTTTATTATTAAAAACCTACAAAAAGCAGAATGTCCCCCCCCCGCCCCTCTCTCTCTCTTTCTCTCTCTCCGAGCTTAACTCTGACCTCTATTCTCGTCCACTCTCGGACCAAGTATTGTGCTGCGAGGCTGTAGAGCTTAAGCTAATTGCAGATAGTTAGGTAATGGCTTTTTAGCAGACAAACCGTGCGCGTGTGTGTGTGCGCGGGAGGGGAATGCTCAACACTCTTTGATTGTAACGTAATGCAGATTTGCATTGGCACTATATAAGTAAAAAAAAAAGAAAAAAAAAAAAAGGTTTGGGAAAAAGAGGCCTGCTGTATCTTTACTCCCCTGATTCTTTCAGGTTTTCCTCGTCTCAACTCTCCGTCTTCTCTCCGACTCCTCTCATGTCCTCTCTTCCTTCTGTTCAGTATGTGTAACGTGAATCTGATTTGTACTACTGGATGTTCTCACCGGAGCCACGAGTACCATCTGTATTCTTACTGAAACACAGCATGGAATTAACATTAAACTTCAAATTGAGAAATGTTAAATCATCGTGTGACGTGTCGTCTTTATGCTGCAAGATGGGCTTTTTACCCCGTTTACTTTGACATGTTGAATCTGTTTTTAACCACCAGAGGGCAGTGCAGGTCTGCAGCAGGAGACTGCACTAAATCTCCGCTCCATTAACGATCAGTCATTCAGCATTTGTTATCCTCAAGAGATTTAAAGCTTTAATTAGCAGTTGTAGAAGAACTATTCAGATCCATGACTTAAATAAAAGTTCTGTTATGAAGGTGAACATAATCTGATCAGATTGTAAAAGTACAGAATAATTATAAACTCAATTTGCAGATGCATAATGAGGTATTTGTTACATTCAATCCACAGAATCTGAAGAACAGCTGATAAACAAATTCAGATTATTTAGACCTCACTCCAGTCTGTCTTTCACAGGCCACAGATTCAGATGAATATATTACTATTTACCAAGGCACACTGCATTAGATGGATGGATGATATATATCAGAGTCAGAGATACTTTATTAATCCCAGACGGAAATTCGGTTGTTACAGTTGCTTTAAAACATGATATGAAGCAGTAGAAATAGTTATATACAATCAAAATGTTAACCATGTAGGAATGTAAGTAAAATGTCAAGTTATAAGGACGAGAATAAGAGTACAAATAATGCAGTTTGGTACCAAGTGCATCTTAATAATTCGTTTGTGCTGTGTAAAAGCACAGTGATGGAGGGATAGATGGATAGACGATGATACTTCATTGATCCCAAACATCCAAAATTAAACATTTGTTACATCTAACAACACCTGCTGTCCACCTCCCATATTGTATATTTGAATCTGAACCAGGATTTAAAGAAACCCCTACATAGATCTAATTAAACCAGGACAATAAAAATTAGACCTTTACCAAAAAAAGTACATAACTCATGCAGGTATAAGAACAGAAACCTATGTACAATTTAATGAAACCTAGGTACTAGTATGATTAAACCTGTACAGGTGAGAGAAGACCTACAGCAGCATACAGTACCTACGTACAGCATTTATATAAGGTTCAGCAGTGTCTGCGCATACTTTAAGGTGCGGTTTTCCTAATGTTAATTTAGACGTTAGTGGCTTTTGTTACTTTACAAATAAAGATGTTTTACATTGAAGGGCCTTTAAAATATATTTTGTATTTAAAGTAATTAAACCCTGATGGAAAAATGAAGATAATAAGTTTTACTAATCCGACAAAGAGCAAACTAATTTGTAAAAGCAGATCTCAAAAAGAGCAAATCAACGGAGAAATTCAGCAGGGGAAAAAGAAGGAAACTGTAAAACACATCAGAACTTGTCCAGCAAGTTGCAGGGAAATATGAATATATGTTAGAGTAAGAATGTAAGAACACATAAAATATGCATCCTTACTTATATTAGTAATGAAAAACACGCTCCGCTCCTTATCAGTGTAAAACAACTGGGTGCTGAATCCTGAATAAATAAAGGACGGCACCGGAGCTGAACTTTTAACTGTGGACAATTAAAAGTTCAATTCGGAGTGTGGTCCTTATCTTTTTTCTGGTCCTTACTTCTATTCCCAAATGCATAAATGCACCAAATGTGTACTTATATTATCAGCTACGTTTTGGCATAAATGTTAATTAAAGTAGTAAATAAATAAATCAACTTTAAGGTAAATTCTTGTTTGAGCTGTCGCGTTTAACCTTCCCTTATTGAAGGATTTTAAATGTGTTTTTAAACCTGTTGAGGTTTGGGCTGTTGGTTGAACCAAACATTGTTAAAATGTAAATATAATTTAAAGTTATTGTTAACAATATTTGTCTAAAAATCGTCTTTAGTTTGCGTCGGTCCTTCCTGGCAGTTTGTCCAGGCAGTGATTTTTAAAGCTGAGGGGCACAGATGTTTGATCAGCGTACGTGTTTGCAGGTCATCCTGAACTGAGTCAGAAACCGACAGAAGGCCTCATCTCTTTATTCTCAACTCAAACAGTTTTACAGCATGTTATTTTTGGTGTCTTTTATTGAGTGTAACTTTTTACACACTGTCCCCTCCCTGGTTTACGGAGCTAAGTGCAGTTTGTATTTTGAGCATGCTGTGGTTTGACCTCGTCATGAAACAGATGCTGAAGGTTGAACTGCATTTCCACCCTCATATCTCACCTGCATCTTGTTCAGAGATCGCCGGCCCAGTGAATCCATCTCCTCCTGCAGATAAACATTCTGCCATCACATCCATATTTCAGAGACTAGAACATTCCTGTCCTGGGCATTACAGGAACCACTTTAAGTTGGTTTAAATCATATTTATTGGATCAATCTCCGTTTTTACATGTTACACCACAAACATGTTCCACAAGGTCCTGTGCTTGGACCGATTATCTTCACCTCATGTATGCTTCCTCTGGGTAATATAATGAGGACATACGCCATACATTTTCATGTTATGCAGACGATACTCAACTATATGTATCAATGAAGCCGGATTACATCAATCAGTTATGAAAACTAGAAGCATGTCTTTATAATACTAGGATCAGGATGACCAGAATTGTCTTGCTGCTTAACTCAGACAGGACTGAAGATATTGAACATGGCCCTAATAAGGAGACTTTTTCTAATGATATAGCTGTCCTAGAAAGCATCAGCCTGGCATCTATCGCCACTGTAAGGAATTTGGGAGTTCTATTCGATCAAGATGTCCTTTAACTCTCACATAAAACAAATTTCAAGAACAGCCTGTTTTCACCTTCGTAATATCTCTAAAATCAGGAATATCCTGTAACAAATACCATGCAGAAAAACCAGTTCATGCATTTGTTACCTCCAGGTTGGATTATTGTAATTCTCTTTTATCAGGGTGCTCTGGTAAGTCTCTAAAGACTCGTCAACGAGTCCAAACCACTGCAGCTCGTGTACTGAGTAGAACTAGGAAAAGGGACCCCATTACTCCAGTATTGGCTTCTCTGCACTGGCTCCCTATAAAATCTAGAATAGAATCTAAAATCCTTCTTCTAACTTTCAAAGCTGTGTGTATCGAGTCTCGGTTTATGTGTGTATCTGTTATCACAATCTGGAACTAGTCGTAATTTAGCTTGAAGCCCATCAGCAGAAACATCATCTATGTACCTTTCTTATCTTCACAATGAATAAAGACACGGTACAGTGCAATTTGAAATTTGTTTTTACTTAAAAAAGATCAAAATAAAGATGTACAATTGAACGAAAAAAATAAGACGCCATATTACACTTCAGCTCTAGAGACAGATGACGGGACAAAAAAGGCATGACCTGAAATATTTCCCTGTTGAGAACAAACCTGTTGAGAACCGGGAACAAACAAACAAACAAACACATTTAGAACCAACCTCACCGTTGGCTGGTGTTTGCTGAAGATGTGGCGTCTCGTATGCTATTGCAGATTGTCCTTCAGTTTTTTTAAAAAGAGACGAGGACACTTTGGTCGGCAAGACCGAAGCAAATACATTTTCTGCTACAGCGTGTCCAGCCTCCCCGGAGGATCCACAGTGTTTCGAATCAAATTATTCAACATACAAACAGAGGGCTTCATCAGCTCAGGTTTTCGAAAACATGGACACGTTAAATAACATATAGTGAGAGAGAGAGAAATGGCATTTTTCAATTTCGTTTTGGACTCATGTCTCCACACACAAAATGGTCTAAAAGATCTACCCAGATAACACTCGACTGTCGACATTAAAACCAGGAGACGGACAGTTTATTTTTTTAAATTTTCAGTACAAAAAATAGATCAAAGAATGAAAAAAATATTATATTCTGACTGCAGAAACTTGATTTATAAAGCTCTACTCATGAGCGACTGTCTGGGTCTACATCTGCACAGTGAGGGGGTGTGGCTTAAGGATTGGGGGTGGAGCTACTTAACATTCATCATTGAATATATTAATGATTTTGTGTATGTAACAGGTATCAGAATATTTGGGCAGTCGATACCCCTTCACATTAAGAGTTTGAATGTTCCTATATAATACAGTTAAGTATTCAACACGTTACAAATTTTAACACTGCCGTCCACACGTCTCCTTCTTCAAGTGGCATCGTCTTTTTCATTATTGCGATGAATAAAATCTTTAAAGATGATTTATAAAAGAACCGTCGGTCTGTCCACTACAATATCTGCTATTTACATCTGTTTAAAAAGCAAGCATGTTACACAGTCGTCCCTATGTACAGCTAAATTTCTCACTTTGTTTTTTTACGGAATATACATATTTACTTATTTTCACAGTTTTCTATGTTTGCTCATATATTCAATATCAATAGATTTCCTTTTTCGTTATTATGAATACAAATATTTTCTGTCGTATCTTCATGGCACCAGGCTTCAACTCCTCCCAGTGTTGATATCTCGCGAGATTGTTGTCCTTGAACACAGCGCATGTCTGTGTAGCAAATACTGTTCAGTTTGAAAACAATCTTGATTGTGGTTCAGTTTTTTTTTTTTTTTTTTTTTTTGCCAAATCACAGCAATCCCCCAAAAAACGCAGTTTTCAGTTTTCAGTTTACAGTTTTCTGGTCTTGGATGTTATCATAAATCATGATATTTCTCATGATTTTCCCCACTCTGGTCCTCTTCCGTCACCGGATTAGAAGGTTGAATATCTCCAGTGGTTCCCTATGACCCTTTGATTCAAACTTATGCTTCCCTGTGGCCACAAAATTACAAAAAATCTCGATTGTTCTGCCTCTGGTTTCCACAGATTTCAGAGAGAAATCATCGAGCCACAACAAGTCAGTGGGGGGTTGTTTTTAATGCGCCTCTTTCTGTCCCATCGCACCCACTGCAGGTGACCTGTTGTGTGCGAATCCTGTTTTCTTTGTGGTTAGTTTCTGGTAGTTTCATGGGCGGAGTGGTTATTGTTTGTTCTCGTTATTGGAATAAGGCACTTGAGAGGTTTTTGGTTTTCACGGTAGCTCAGAGGAGACCAGGGCGAGGCCGGAGCTCTGTCGGAGTGGGGGTCCGGTGTGAACGGCCTTGGGACAGTCGGGCGTCAGCACCCGTCCGTTCTCCCCGACGCTGCCTGTGATGGACAGACGGGCCTTGTTCCTCATGGCTTCTGTAAATGTTAACTGAGGAGAAAAATAAAGAGAGAGGTTTGCGTGCAGAGCAGGGGACAAGAGGAACAATTATAAAGTTGCAGATTGGAGTTTTAGGAAGAAATCTGTTTTTTTTTTTCTTAATGAAGATAACTTAAGGTTCCTATTGATGGATTCACAACACAAAGGACTAATTTACACTTCTAGAATATTGCAAATTCTTTGGTTGAGACCATTTTTCTTTAAGCCAGTATCTTCTTGGTTGTTTTTGTTCATAAACCAGTTTGTTTGGTTTGGAAAGAAAAATGGCATCAAGCCAAACCTGCTGTAGGTCACCTTAACAGACATTAGTTAAGCGAATTTGCCTTTGAGTGATTGCTACAACAATCAGCCTATAGCGAATCAGTTGTCACATAACCGACATCAGCCTAGTAAACCAACCTTTGGTCACGGTTAAGAAGAGTAGTTTAGCATCTTTCAGGTCGGTGTTTTCAGGTTCTTGTTGATGTTTAGTAAACTCAGTCATCAGCTTAGCTAATCTGTTGTGGTCACTTTAACAGACCTTAGTTTAGCCTATGGTGACAATACTTCCCAATTTGACCGTGTTTTCAAGCTCTGTATCCTGAGACACCAGAAATATCTATAAAACACAAATATGTCCCAGTTCTGAACAGTTCTTGGCCTAGTTTTAACCAACCAAAACCATACAGCATGCTGGCAGCACTGGTTTGTCTGTAGCCTACATGTCAATCAATTCTGTTGCTTAGCTAGCCTAGTTTACCCTTCCAAAAGGACCTGCTGCGTAACGAGAGGTAAGCTAGCTGTCATGCCTAAAAAGGAAGTCAGGGTTTTTCAGAAGAAGTCCGGGAGCGTTACAGCTTTCTCTGAAAAGTACCAGGCGATAAATATGCTCCGTTTTGCACACATTGCTAGTGTCCATACAAAGCCATATTAAAACGAGCAAACACAAACGATGGGTACAGGAAGTACCACTGTTATGTTTTACTTCAGCGAGGCAAACGATGGTGACAACCAACGTATACAAACTGCTCTGGAATCTGTGGATTGATACGTGGGGGTTTGTTGTAAAATTAAAGTGTCCCAAATTGGAGGTCTGAAAATATGGTCACCCTAGCTTAGCCTGCATCCCTGTTAAAGACAATAGCCTAGCGAAACAGCTGTCAATGATACATGTTTTAGTCAAGGTTATCAGTCTTTGTTACCTGTTATAGACATTAGCCTAGCCAATCCGCCTTAGGACACGGTGGGCATTAGCTTACCATCTTCTTTAAGGTCAGTACTGTTAGCTGCTTGTTAATGTTTAGTCAATGTAACATTTCAGTTAGCCTCTCCCAGGATCTAAGAAGAACTAAAACTCCAATCTGCATCAACATCATCAGTAAAAAAGAACAGCTAGAGAAGCCTCACAATACAGATCAGCTGTAGAGTATGTATACAGTATACATAAATGTTGCAAACACAAAGTCAGAAAACAACCTTTCATAGCCATTCAGTACAGTATCAAGCCAGCCCCAAACTACAAGTAAGTCCATTAGCGACAGAATTGTTACACAGTGAGTGATAGTTGCAGGCGGAGGGACAGGGAAGCTGACTCAGCAACAGTGAAGCTAATGAAGAGATTGTGCTGAAGTGCTGATGGGGGACACATAACCACGCTGGACAGATACACACCGGGCGTGAGAGGAGATCTGAAAGTCTAATGGTCGAGTACCTGGGGGAAATATCCGGAGGAAGCAGCTCACATCAATAAAAATCCGCTCAGCTCGAGGGGAAACTTCACTGAAGTTTACTTTAGCTTCTAAATGTATAGAGTTCAGATATAGTGTTATTATAGAGGGCTTCCTGAGTGCTCAGGGCGTTGGGTTCTCATTAAATTTGTTCTGTGGCTGTAGTTTGATGGTGTGTTGTTACTGACAGACTTGAGACAGTACAATCCCTGAGCTACAGCATATACCATTCAGGTTTAAGTAAGAGTGAGAGTATTAAAGCCCTCCTCGCTAGGATGCAAAGAGCTTTAAAAATGGTTTGCTGTGGAACAACAAAGCAGTGGAGTGTTACTAGATGGACGAATGCACTGCAGTTTATGAAATGCCCTCACAAGTGTAGGCTACTGTGTACAAGTAAGACATTGGTCCTCATTTAACATGCAGTTCCTTCCTGTAAATATGCTTTTTGGAATTCAGAGACCTGTACTACAAAGCAGGATTTGTAGTTTGCAAGGAAACTTGGTGGTTTACTCCTCAGCTAAGGTTGTAACTCACGAGGAAAAGCTCAAGAGAAAAAAAAAAAACGGATCCAGAAGAGTGAAGGAAGTGAAGTCAAACTCCCTCTGGGTTTGTTTGTTGTTCTGAGCTCTGTGTTGACACTGGAGGGACTGTGCCTCCCTCAGAGATTAAAACATGTTGCATACATTTTGTTTTTCATGGAAGAGGGCCGTTGTTTGTAAAGGCATAAAGGTCATCGAAAGAGTAGAAACTGTTTTTTTTTACTTCAACTTAGCACTAAGAACTGATAATCTGAATGAAGGTCAGCCTTACAAACAGGTGCACTCAGTCTGGACTATAACGGAATCAGCAGTGGCGGTTCTAGACCACTGGCCAAACTGGGGCCAGTTGTTTTGTCAGAGGGGAACTTTAAACCCAGGTGAAAAATAGACAAAGATGATCACTTTAAAAAATATATATTTATGCCAAATAATAGCGCACATCATTAAATACCAAAACATAAAATACCATGATTTATATTTGTTTCAGTAAGAGTATTTAAGACTAGATTGTGAGTCCAGTTAAATACAAATAGGCCGGCTCTTCCTTTTGGAGGGGGGGCCACAGGGGGGACCAAGCTCAGTGTTACAGGGGCACTGGCCCCTGCTGGCCCCTGCCTAGAACCGCCCATGGGAATAAGGGATGAGCTGGGGGGCCGACGAGGCGAAGAAGAGTTTTGTTTTGGTCTAACAGACTGGCTCTTAAGATCGGCATCTACTCTGAATGTTGCATATTATACCTTTAATATACACCTGTAATTATAGCACGGAACAGCCTTTCCGCAGCGTGCACTGGTACATGTCTGCTATAAGTTACTTGCTGCAGAAAATATTCCTTTATGGAATTTTCCTCGATCACCATGTTGGGCTAAGTGAAGCCAGATAACAAAAAAAAAGTTCCCCTGATTAGGTTCAAGTTGCTTTGTAATACAGGCCTCTGGTCTCAACAGTAACACATTCAAATGCTGAATATTTTAAAATCAGCATTTTGCATTCAAATGACTTTAGAAAGAATGCTAGGATCTGTATTTCTATGCCCATAAAACGACTTCATCTTACTTAATTTGTTACTTAATTCTCATATTTCAACCTCATGCCGATCCAAAACCTTCTTATCAAACAGCAGGTTTTAATAGCAGTGATAGGATTAATCATGCCTTTTCTACGTTATTGAGCTCCCGTGAATACACCAGTTAAGAATATTATCTCCCCACTGTGTTCAGCGTGAGTAAAACTTTTTTTTGATTATGGAAGTTAAAATGGGTCACACAGTTTGCTCGCTTGATAAATGAGGGCCAACGTCTGCAGCCACACAAGCTGCGAAGCATTAGCGGCGACGTCATGTCTGAGGATGACTCATCGCTTCCTGTCACATTGAGAAAAAAAAAAAAGCTCCAAACGCAGACCAGGACGTCACACGACCACATACTGAGCAGATCAGACAGGAGGAGTGGTGAAGCGTTTTTTGCAACTGGTCACGACAGTCACTCAGCACGGAGAAGCTAGCAGCGAGGGGTACGAGAGGTTTCACTTACAGTCTCTGTGCAGGGGGGGCTAGTGGGGGAGGGGGGTGCAAAGGCTTGGACAGACCCTCTACGAAAACCCCCAGCTACATCTTATCAGCTTCCCCGTCGCTGCCATATGCATTGAAAACCTCGCTAAACTCGGCTAAGTTGGGGATGCTGGGTCTGGGGCTCTGGTTCTGGCTAGGCTCGGGGCTATGGCGGGGGCTGTTGGTGTGGCAGGGGTAGCAGGGGTGCTGGGGAAGGCGGTAATGCGGGTGTCGGGACTGGGATTGGACCTCCACCTTCATTCTCTTGGCCTCGTTGCGGGACTTGTAGCAGAATTCGATGAGGGCCACCAGCATGGCCAGGCCCAGGCCCCCGACGAGGATGTAGAAGACCCCCGCCACGTTGCTCAGACTGAGGGCCTGGGACGACTTGTCCTGTATAGCCGGCGGCGAAAAAAGAAAAGAAAAAAGTCAGTGCTGTTTTTTTTAGCAGAGGCAGAAAACAAACAACTCCACATTTACACAGAAAAATAAAGAACAGAAATACTTCAACATCCCACATCGACTTCACACCATGCAAACATAAACACACTCACACACTCACACACAACACTGAACATTTATCACTACTCCTCTAACACCTGAGTCTACTACTGCACAGCCGACGCCAGGGGAAACTATCTCCTGCAACCATCTCGCCTCAAATGTTTCAGAAAATTAGAAAGGGAAATTAAAGGGACAGTTCAACCTAACTCATCCTAAGTGCTAATAAACATGCAGATCATTTTGTCACTTGTATCTTTCAGGTTTGTGCTTTAGGATCAAATGAAGGTAAATAAGAAGATGTTGGCTGTTTAAACAACGTCAATATGAGGCTCATCCTAAACGCACACAGGACAGTCAGCAGCACTGCAGGTGGAGGAACACGTGTGCAGGAGTCGTGCTAAAACAAAGTCGCCTGCTGATGATATAGCGCTGAGATTTTTTTCAATAAAGCTAACCTTTACTCTGTGTTTTTTTTTTTACTAATTTCTTCTTGAAATCAGCTAAAATACTTGGTGCTGACGACTCCATCTGCATTGCCGGATAGCCTAGCCTGGTCTCTACTGAAAGGGGCCGAGCTGACCCCTGTGGTTAATATAAATACTATCGACAAGTACCTCATACAACCCGACTTCATAAATACCAAACCATTCCTTTAAACTTTTATAAAAACAATATATTCATCAATTAATTGCACTAATTGCTTCATGACTGTAAGCACTTTTACGTTGCTTTACTTCATATACTGAACTTTTACTGTAATTAAAATCTCATTTGACATCTTGTTCTTAGTTTTGGGAAATGCTAGTTAGTATTTTTTAATTATTGTATCACATTTTATTGATCAGACGACTAATGGATACATTGAGAACATAACTAACTGACTTATCGACAATGAACTGGATGTTCAGTTGCAGCTGTGATGCACGGTGAATGAATGCTGCTAATCTCATCAGCAAACATCCACCATCTGCAGGGCCATTAGGTTTGAAAAATGCAGCAAATTAACTGTGAGGAACTTTTGGTTTACTTTGATTTCTGCGCCCTCTATAGACAGAAGGGTGCGTCTCGTAGCTTTGTGGCAGGTTTTTCTGTACACTTGTAAGTCTCATCTTGTTTTCTTTTTAACATTAAATAAATCAATGAGAGTCTTTGCCAAGGAGAATGTAAACATTGGCTTTTTGCAGTGTTGTTAACCATCTCACCCGACCCCTCACAGGGGCTTTAATAAATGTAAATTGTAGTAATTCTGCAACACAAATCCTGCTTAAATTTGCCTTTGTTGAGTTGAACTGTGTGTATGTTTTCTTACTTAAAGTTGCACCAACCAGTGTATTCTGTGTCACATCAAGGCATAACTCAACAAGATTTTTCCTCAAGACTGCTGAAAAAACATCATTCAAATTCTTGTTTGTTTAGCGCCAAGTCTCCAGAAAAGTAACCTCACGGCATTTAACATGAAGAGCCAAGTCAAGACAGATGTTGTAAAAACACCAACACTGTTCCTGAAAAAGATGATCTCTAAAATGATCTGCATGGCTTCATTAGACAAGAGGTAATGAGAATATACGTTTTTTTTGTAATTTGGAAGAACTAGCCCCTTAATTCCCCTCCATATTTCTCAGCTGTGACATTCACCTTTTAGCCCCCTTTTATTCAAATATATGCAGCTAATCTCACTGCGCTGTGACTCCTGCTCCTTCCTGTCATTTATCTCCCCCCCCAGATAAATCACCTGAGTCCTTAAGGGGCGTTCAACTTATTACCTCGACACAGAAGAAAAAGTCTGCCTGTCATGCCTGGTCTCATTTGTAGGTGATGACTGTGTGTGTGTGTCCTGCACTTAGGGATCTGATTAAGAGGACATGACTGATGTGGAACTGAGCATGCTGCTTTATTTAAGAAGGTGGCAGCTCTCTCCCTGCTCCGCTGCATCAATAATGTGAATCAGTTCTTGAGTGTGTTACCACAGACTGAGGCTTACATTAGTGCTGACATGTAGTGTGGCGTACAGTAGCGTCTGAACGTGCCCCCTGTGACCCTCTGAGGTGACAAACCAATGTGAGTGTGAGCCCTCGTCTGAGTCTGCGGCGCCGCGCTTAGTTGCTGTGAAGCTGTCAGAGATGTTGCATGCCTTGTTTCTGTCATGCTGTATCCCTCAGGCTACGCCTCAAGTCTCTACCTGCATGTCTGTCAAAGTGTCAGGTGTGTGCGTCATGTCAGCCAGCCCGCTGTGACAACAGAACAGAACTGCCAGCGTCATAAAAAGTTATAAAAGACAAAGAGAGGAGGGGGAGGCTCCCGGGTCTGCTGGAGACTGACCTTACTTCCCGAGTCCTTGGGTCCACACTCCCCTTTATCGTACCACCATTTGTTTTTCAGTTTGTCTAAGACTCCTGCTTCACTCAGTTTCAATACGGCAAGGTTTACAGGCGTTCTTCAAATCACGAGGGACGGGGAAGGGTGGGTTGGGGGGGAAAATAACATAAATAACATCATAGGACATGTTATTTTATGTTATTCAATCAGAAGAAGCCCAACAAGAGCAGCTCAGTACTCTCTACAAAGTGACGAAGCCGGGGAGGGGGCCCCACTTTTTTGCTACATGTCTCTTTGCTCATTGGTTCGAGAAGCTTGTTAACAGGGATGGGGGTTTATTGGGAGCTATTCATGGGGAAGGGGCGGAGCTAACAGACACATAAATGTGGGGCCCCGGCTGCATCGCTTTTTCTGGAACGGGCGCATCCTGCCGGGACCTTTTTATAAAGAAATTCAGAAGGTCGTACTGTCAATGCAAAACTATTGGCTGAAGAAATGAACCCCAAAAATCTAACCCCAAGTTCAAATTCTAACATATCTGAATTAAGCTATCTGCTAATGATGCTAATAGCAACATTTTCCAATCCATCGCTATATAAGCAGTACAGTGAATATTTTTGCTTCGGCAGTACTCCCTCTCTTCTTGTGAGGTTAGCAGTAAAAATGTTTGATCGTCCCGGCAGATGCTCCTGTTACCAACAAAACACATTTCTCTTTTTTCACCGCATCAAGGTTCACATGGGCATAGCGTCATAGCGGCTAACCTTCTCGCCACCGCCTCCGCTGCCACACTCTCCTTTGTCGTACCACCACTTGTTTTTCAATTTGTCCAACAGGCCTTGTTCATTGAGTTTTAACACTGCCAGGTTAACTGCACTTCTTGAAAACGATAAAACATAATTGGTGAGAGGGGGTGAGTATGCCGTCCAATTTTGGGAGGGGGAGGGGGAGAGAGAGGGGGGGGGGAGGGGGAGGAGTAAGCAGTAAGAGAGAAACAAAGGTGGAAAAGTGCATTTTAAAAGGTTACATCCCATCCCAGGACCCGAACACACACTGAACACAAATCTCTCTCGTTTAATGTGGTGTGTATGTAGAATAAAGATGGTTTAAAGCAGTGATACTCAACCCGAGGCTCTCCAGCCACATGTGGCTCACTAGACGTGGCTCTTTTAGGTCCTACTTGGAGAAAAAAAATCCAAAGTAATTATTTAAAAAATGGAAACATTGTCAGCAGAAACTAATCTTTGCAAGTCATGTCACTGTGTTTCCCACATATATTTTAATTAATAAAGAGGTTTTTTTGACAATAACAAGGCGGAGTACCACTGGTTTAAAGGTTAAAATGCTAAATGTTAGCCTAAATTGAGCGGCTAAATTTTAATTTGTGTTTCAGTCAGTTTGTGTTATGCACGTCTAAAATGGGGGAAATGATCCTAAACAGATTTTATGTCAGCTAACTTTTACTAATTTTTAAACCTTTTACACAGTTTCCAATCATTTTTTTAGCATTAGCTTGCACTAGCTAGCAAACTGGTGAAATTTTCCAGCTGCAACATATTTTTTTTGCCATTAAGATACAAATCCATAACGTCATTGATATGTTTTCGTTTTTTTTTGCCTCGTGAAACATTGCCGATCAGCACCTTCAGTCCTGCATTATTGCCATCAGCTGGCGCTTTGAGTAACAGCCTTTAAATAACCTGGTGCTGCTTTCACTCATGTGCATGTATAATGTCAGTCGATGTAAAGCTCACAGGATTTCTGAGCATTAAGCTGTTCTGGAAAATTGTGATTGACTTGAAAAGCTGTTTTTAAAATAAGTGCGCATTTTGATTTCACGGCTTCTTGTGAAGGCTGCTGTAGTGAGGCCTGATTACTAAGATTGAGAGATTTGTCTCAGGGTGCGTTTTGATCCTTTTCATTTATTTGCATTATTATGAAAAAAAAACAAAAACAGTCAGAGATGGAGATGGATCAGATACAAAAAAGCAGCACAGCTAATATTTCTTTATATGCAGATGATGATGTGGTTTTCGGAGCCATTGGAAATGACAGCCCTGAACGACTGCGCTGCCTGCTCTTTGATGTTGCTGGTGTGTTTCCTCGCTGATATCTGGACAAGTGACTGACAGAAAATGATAATCCCCAAAAACAACAAGATGGAGGCCCGGAGATGGCGGAGGACTACCGTGATCTGTCAGGGACTCCTCCTGGTCAAAGCAGTGGCTGAAAACTGGCACCAGCCGGGCTGCGAAATAAACCAGCAGCCGCCTTGTCTGCTTCAGGCTTCATGTGCAGAAGAATTTACAGAAAACAGCTGGAAGGGTTTGATCTATTGGCTGTGTGGAGTAAAACATCGATATGTTACTGATCTGTTTATTTATTTGACAAATGTTCACCTACACCCTGATGCTTCAATATATCTTTACTTTTTAAACCTTAAACGTCTACGTCAAAATAGACAATTTACCTAAACTTTAATGTATTTGATTGGACTTATTGGTTATGTTTGTGCAAGAGGTGAATGCATTATTGCAGATTTGAGTTACTTTAATGTTGGTTATTTTGAAGATGCTGTTTTTGTTTTATTTTATTTGAAGCTAATGTTTACAAGTCTCCAAAAAGGACACGAGATTTAGCGCTTTGCACACAAAACAGCCAGAAAAATGTTCTTATGTAGGTAACTTTTTAAACTTCTAGACTGTGAGAACACACTATAGTCTGTACTTCACTTTTATGTTTATGTTCAGGTTCAGGTTACTTTTGTACCCGTAAATTTGGTTGAAGCCTCTACTTTTCCAGATTTCTTTCTCCACAGGTATTAGCATTTCTTCTATGTTTGTACTTTTGCCACCCATAGTAAGAAGTGTAGAGAACTATCCTTGTAAATATCTATTCATAGTTAATAAAAAAACATGAACATTTGGCCATCGTTTCCCACACTCTCTAATTACAGATGATAAATGACAGCGGCGCTCCCCTTAAGTGGAGAGCCTTTATAACACTGGTCCTCCCTGGTGTGTTTTCTTACATGTGTGTTTTGTGCTACCTTGTTCACCACAGGCGGAAATTAAAGTACAAGCAATCATGGAGCTGTCCCACACTGTGTTGCAGACATATATACACCTGTGCAGTTTCGCCTTTAGTATATTTACCCATTCCCCTCAGCGGAGGCCTTGCTGCCGGGCTTTGATCGATGAGCCTGTGGATTGAAAGTGCGACCCCCCACAGTAATGACACTGTATTCTGTGGCAGGTCTGTAAATTCTATGTGCAGGAGGCAGTGACAGAGTCTGGCAGAGTCACACAGGGCTGCGCTTTTCCAACGGCTCCCAAACCGCTATTTCAGTCACTTTTAGTTGAGCAGAAAGAACCAGTCAGCCGTGAAGGAAAGCTGAAGTAGTAGCATTAGCGGGAAAAAAAATCTCTACTAATTACATCTGTTTATAAAAAATATGCACATTACCTAAAGAGCATTTCTTTCCAAATAAAGACATTTTCAGATGAGCTCTGTGAGCATGCCGTTCAAACAGCGAGCACGAGCACAAAGACTTACCTGGTGTGGAGAGCTGCAAAGACAAAGAATGAAATAACCACCGCTGCATCATCACACTGACCCCCACATGCATGCAACAAACACAGATGTGGAAAAAAAAGCAGCTACTTCTGCCCTAAACGAAACACATAAAAACGCCCACCCGCCCCGAGCAGTAAATGGACACAGATAGAGAGAGAGAAAAGGCGGCACACCAGGGAAGGTGGAATACCATAACAACACGTAGCACATATTGTTACACTATTCCACCCACCTTAACTGTGAACCCTTGGGTGTAGCGACTCCGTAGCCTTTGGAGTCCAGGTTGCCGCCCACTTTCATCGTGTCGCAGGGTTTCCGCTGCTCTGTGTACTCGTTCATGGTGGACTCCAACAAGAAGGCGTATTTCCCTTTGGACTTTCGGACCCGCGCCACGCCCTCGGCCGTGGTCTTGGTGAAAACCGTGGGCTCGGCAGACTTCATGTAGCCCCACATCTTCTCGTAGACGGCGATTTTAGACCGCTGTGGGGGATTTCGAGGGAGGTGGAGGTTCAGAAGTAGATGTTGTATGAGAGGGGAGGACGGTGGAGAAAAAGCATACACACACACACAACAGCAGGCGGAGAAAAGTGGAGCACCATTACTCCATTACTACATCATTACTTAAAATTGATCTCAGACTAATTTAAAACTGTGCTTACTTGTGGAGCAGGTCATTAAGTGCCCTACATATACATGCACAGAACAATGTTCAGGCTCTTAAAGACACAGAGACCATTTTAGCCGCTTTCATTTCTTCACGCCTTAAATATCGCTAGTCATTGTGATTTTATGTGTTTTATTGAATTCACCTGTTTTATCGGCCTTGTTTTTACGATCACTTCTCTTATTGGCTGCTTAATTGCATTGTGTGCTTTGTTTTATTAGTCTGAAGGAACCTTGTAAGTCGGGGAAATCTAAATTAAAACAGAACGTGATGATTTGAAAAGTAAAAACCTTTTTTTTCTAACAATGGTTTTGGTTTATCCAGGGACGGCGCCAGGAATGTTTTTCTCTCCCGGTGATGAGGGGGAGCTCGCCTAATATGCTCGGGTGTTATGAATAGTCGGTGTTCATGAGTTCATAGTTACTTTTTAAGCTCTTTCTTTGTTTTTCAAAATAAAAGCAGACATATGTGAGGGGGCTCAACCGGGGCTAGACAAGATTTGTGATGGGGCTATAGCGCCCCCTAGCCCCTAGAGTTATTTCTTGATAACTCCTTATACACAAATACTCTGCATTAAACTACTTATAGATCTAGAATAAAATATAGTTGAACTACTATATTGTTACCATTATTCTTGTATGTTATTATATTACTTTGCTCTGGCTTTTAATACAATTTGAGCTTGACATTTTTTAAATTTTATTCATGCTCCAATTTAGTTTTGTTTTTACATTGTGTGTTTTTTATGCTTGTGCAGCACTTTTGTCAATCTAGGTTGTTTTAAATGTGCAATAGAAATAAAGATTGATTGATATTATTCTGCTTTGTCATGGTACTCCACTTAATTTCTATTATAGAGACACCAACAGTGACTTCATAGTAATGTATTGGACACATCCTGTCAGAGGGGAGTTTATTTTTCACACATATTTGACATCATTAACTTACTATATCTGCGGTATTTTATCTCTAAAGACTGTGGTTTTTTCTTCTTATTTGTTCAACAATCTGTGATTTTTTTTTATCCATCTACTTTATTCATAAGGTTCTTTATTGTTTTTTTTATCTCCAAGTCTGTCTCTGTGTGAATTTTCCCCCCTCTGGGATCAATAAAATGTTATCTTATCTTTTTTAACATCCACCCGGCTCACCTCCTAAACTACATTCATCGGTGCAGCAGTGTGTAACTTCCTGAACCTGATAAACCTTTGTGACTGAACATCGCCGTGGGCAGCGATTACGATTCATCCACAGGGTCGTTTCACAAAGCGTGGGAGGAATGCATGATTTTAATTTGGACTGCTCAGAGTTTTCATGAAAAAAAAAGTCTGTCAAGTTCATGCAACTGCTAAGAAGATCAGCTTTTTTCTCAGGTGTGTAGAAGAGGTGGGATCAGTGGTTTCCTCCCTACCTGACTGAGAAGAGCATGCCGTCGAACCCAGTGACCCCACTCACCTTGAAGAACTCCTTGGTGGACCCGGAGTCCAGAGTGCCGTAGGCGATGTCCGTCTGCTTGGCCAGATCCTCGGCGCTCTCGATGGGGGAGACCATCCTCTCGACGGTTAGGAAGGCGGCGAGGTTAGCCGTGTAGGACGAGATGATGATGAGGGTGAAGAACCACCACACTCCTCCCACGATGCGACCCGATAGCGATCTTTGAAAAGGGGGGGGGGGGGGGCGGAGGGACGGAGGGAGGGAGGGAAGAATATTGAGGGGGGATGTTTCCAGGGTAGGAGAGGGATTATTGGAGTGGTGAAGGAGGTAAGAAGGAGAGATAAAAAAAACATTCAGTCAGTGTTTGGACATGCAGTCAGAGAACACAGATGATTAAACGGGATGAAATATGGCTTTGGAAGCATGAGGCGACACGCACCACCAGGTGGAGCTCTGACAACGCTCAACCCTCGCAGAGCTTTATTTACCCCTCATTAGTGCACACAAAAAACCTTTTTCTGACCAGCTTCGATAAAGACAAGGTTGGCTACTTGTGTCCCTCTCCCTCACCTTCTCCCTGCCTCCAAGTTTTTTGTTAATTGGCTGAGTTGAAAAAGAGCTGCAGGTCCCCCCCCCCTCTAACTGGCATCGCGGCACCACTGTTCTTTTCTTGTTTGTTCGCTCAGGGGAGACAGATAGCCCGCTGCTCTGGAGCAGCAGAAGGTCGTGAGGAGAATCTTAAAAGCATAAATGCTGCATTGAGGAGAACAAACAAGGCCTCCCCCTCGGTACGAATCAAACAAGAGAAGGGTACAAAACCCCTCAGGCCCTTCTTGTCAGATGGAGAGAGGGGATGGGGGTAAGAGAAGGGGAGGAGAGAGAGGCATCTTGCAGCAGTCAGAGGTTTTTCTAGGCGGGTATTGCCACTTGTCTTATTGCAATCTGGATATTTTCCACAATTTCCACAATTCACACGACCTCTCAAGTCTGCAGCTGCATCCTTTGTTTTCACCTTTTTCCACATACAGTAAGAAATAAGTCCCATCTCAACGCTGCAGGACAACCTTTTTAAAGAAACTTTACTTTCAAAGGCTCCTAGCTAATAGAAATTCTCACACAGGACCATCAATCTAACCAAAGAATCGGCAAAAGGAAAACCTCTGTTTTTCCTGGTTGGTGCAGATCAAAAGTGCCTGCAGCAGCTCGGGCGACTTCCAGCAGAGGAGTGCTGCAGTCGAGCATGTCTCCTCTGCGCACACGGGAAGCTCTGCCCATGAAATAGACTTACTTGACGTATTAGCTCTGGATTTGAATACAAATGACTTCCCTCTCTCTTTCCTTCTTTTTTTTCCTCTCTCTCCGCACTCTCCATTTTCCTTCTCCTTGAGAGACGCCTGAGTATTTCAGAAAGAATTTAAGTGTAAAATAATGACAAAAAAAGGCGAGAGGGGGGGGGGGGGGGTTGTGAACGATAAGATGAGGATGCGTTCTGTTCTCTGTCCTCTTCCATACCTGAAGAAAAATCCCTGCATTCTCTCTCTCTCTCTCTCGCCATCGTTTCTCCCTTTTTGCATTTTCTTCTTCTATGGATGCAGCAGAGGATTGTGGGAGTGTAATAATGGGGACCAGAGGAGGAGCGTCTGTGTGCAGTGTGTTTGCCGGCTGATACCAGTGACTTTGATCCACAGTGACACACTGCTGTGTCTTCTTGATGGGCCTGCAGTAAACAGAGGGGGACTGGGGACGGGGGAGGGGGGAGGGGGGGCTGAGGCCTTAGTGCTGGGAGTTTGGGTGTTTTTAAGGCAACGTCGAGCTATTCTCTCTGTTTAACTTACATTTATGATGCTGGCCAAGCACACTGATGGACTCTTCATAGATAAAGATAAGAAAGGGTCGACTCGGGTAGAGAAGGATGATTACACAGACCATAGGGTGACGTAGGGACTTGGGCTGGTATCTGGAGGGTTACTGGGTGAAGTCCAGGGTTCCTGTTTGTGTGTTTAGCATGTTTGAAAAACATGTAAAAACTGAATTTCCCCTTGGTGGTTAAATGTTTTCTTCTTAAGCCCCCTTCACAGCCTGGATACATCAGGACTGATAATGATTGTGTTACATTTTGGTCTAATGACTTATTGGTTGAGGCAGATGGCTGCCCACCTCTGAGTCTGGTTCTGGCCCGGGTTCTCCAACTGCTTAGTCATGTTGGATTAAAGGAAGAAAGAAGAAAATACTCACTGCTTATTTGGATGTGACATAAGTGTCTTTAGATCACGGTCATTCTGTGTCAATTTATGTGCAACATAAGCTACGAGCTAACTTAAGTGTGCTAACATTAGCATGCAGGACACAGGGAATCGCAGCTCGATCTAAGAACAATTGTGTCCGCTGCTTGTGCTTAATTATGGTGCGTTCTAATTGATAACTCCCTCATGCGAACTCGAGTAGAGAGGAGTTGGAGGTGTGTCTCTGGAGGAGAGCGGAGGCTTCAGAATAGCGGAGCTGTCGCCAAACAGCAGTTTGTTTTGGTTTCATGCTGGTGCTCAAGGGCGACATCTATTGGATAAAAAAGTTGTGCACTCTTTCTTTAATGTTGGATCTGTGTAAAGACATGTTTATTTGTGAGGTGTCACTAAATAACTTTTGCTGCGACTTTGCAAGTTTTCTACAAACACGATTCTGTTCAAGTATCACCAAACACTTAACTTTCTGTGCAGACGTTGATCAAATAAGTCTCAGGTGTCAGGCCAGACAAATAAAGAAAGGAAATCCTTAAAATGAGGCCTTCAGATTGTATAATAAAGGGGAAGTGGCCCTCAGGACCCTCTTGTTTCCGTTCACATTGTGCTCAAGGGGCGCATGCTGAATCACAGGAGTACAATTTGTCCAATCATAACAAACTAATCAGCTCATGTTGAACAGGTAAAGCAGAGGTCTGATATCTTTGGTTAGTTATGAAGCTTTGCCTTAAATCAGCATCACTTTAACCTAAGATCAGCAGCCGTGTCCGTCTGTCCAGAATCCTCTAAAACTGACTAAACTGTCAGTCAAAACCCTCAAATATCAGAGAAAAGATTGTGAGTACAAGAGATGTTAAAGTCAGAGTGAGTATTTAAACTCTGACGGTTATGAAGACTGTCTAAGTGTTTTTGTCAGTTTGGATTCAGTGAAAAAGCGTTGGGGAGAACTTGACTGTAATGATGTACGAGCTCGGCGTTCCCGAGAGTGAAGGGAACAAGCTAAGCAGACGGGGAAGTATTAAAGGGAATGAAGTGGGAACAAAACTGAAATTGGCTCCAGCGTTGGAGGATTCTTCGCTGCAGTCCACGAAGCCTCGGGGTGTAAAAAATACTAAATGTAGAACACAGAAAGAGGAGAGCTTCGGCGATTACACAGCAATTAGTCAGCAGTTCCCCCCCACACACTGATTACACTGAATTAATTGTTTTTTTTTTCAGATTAGATGTGATCTTAAAAAGTTTGGTGTGATTATGATGTTGGCTGGGTGGCACTTCTTCACTCATCTACAACTACTGTTATTAATTTAATGTGAAAATGGGCGCTTAAGTTTCCAAATATACCAAAGAAGACAGACTATAGAAGGGACTGAAGTGAAGTGTTGCAGTACTCGAAGACCGGTCTCGAGACCAGGTCTTGGAATTGAAAACATTTTTACTCGGCCTTGATTCGGTCCTCTGACTGGGCGGATTTGAAATCAAGAGCAGTCAAGACCACCACTGATCAGCTATTTTTGCACGTCATCACTGAGATCAGAAGGGAAACACCTCTTTCTAAAATAACAAATGCGGTCCTAGTTAGTGAGTGACACGCCCCGCTGCAAACAAGATGATGATTTTTCAGAGATATTTATGGTCTTGGTCTTGTCACGATCTCGCCCTCCTGTTGGTCTGGATCCCTAAATGTCTTGGTCGGAGCACTCTGGTAGGTCTTGACAACAACACTACTAAAATGTGACAAAATGGGTAAAAATGATGTGCAATCAGGGATTTACCAAAATAAAATGTGTTTAATTAAAAAAAAGAGCAAGCAAGAGAGTAGAGTACGAGGATGTAGAGCTAGTGTGAAATCTGGACTATAAGAAAGCTGCAGCGGTATATAAGACGCAGGGGGTCTCCAAGAAGAAATAAATTATCTGAGAATAATTTAAATTCTCTCTTTTTTTATTTAATTTTTTTTATTGGTGATAACAAAATGTAGACTATATAGACATTACATAGACATGACAACTAATTACTAAATTTAAATTAAATTTTAAAAGCCATTTTAAAAAGATTTGTCAAACGAAAGTACAGTTACTTAAAGGTTGAATTTAAAATATGACATTGATTTTAGGTATCTTCTTTAGAGATGCATACGCCCCCTTGGAGAGTTTAATGAGCAGGATCAGATCTTTTGAAACGAGACAGAGAGGATGTTCAACTTTTCGCTGTTACTGGAAAATCCTGACAGCATGCCAAGATCTCTAATATCTCTAGAGCGGATGATTCAACCAATTTCATGCTTTGATGTCAACGGATTGCATCATCAACCGAATCTAAGAAACTTCTGGTAAAAAGCAAAATTTTTTTAAAAAACAAGCCCTTTCTCCGGTCATCAAGATGATAACGTCCTCATGCACCTGAATGAGACTGTTAGAATATTCCTGTTTGATAGTACTGTGAAGACAAAGACAGACGTTTCAATATTTCACACCTATAGCTTCATATAGCTTCAAAGAACTGTTTGAACAAACAGCATATGGAAACACTGCACATCTGATACCTTTATACTGAGTTCATTTTCTCAATCTGAAGCGTCTAAAAAAGGTGAGGTAAAGTAAATCTCCTCTCAGGATTAAAACACAATATGGTTCATGTGAGCATCGACAACCAGCCTGAAGAAAACCTTTAGCCTCTCTGCGATGGGACGAAGTAAACTCTAAAGCGCTCACACTTCCTTCTTATATTTCCTTTGATGTGTCTGAAATATAAAGCTGCTGTCAGAGACGATTTGGTGCAGAATGTGTGTGTGTGTGTGTGTGTGTGTGTGTGTGTGTGTGTGTGTGTTTTTTTTTTTGCAGGATTTAAGGGAGTGTTTTTTGGGGACGCACGAAGAGAAAAATTGGGGACCAAGAAGACTAGACAAAGTGTCGAAAGGTAAAGAAGTGAAGCACTCTGGGAGAAAGGGAAGAGCTCTGACCTTGAGCGGCATCTAAATAAATGA